AAAAAAAAAAAAAAAAAGAAATGTCCCCAAAATCCTACACCCTAACCTTCACTGGCGACGTCATGCTCGGCCGCCTCATCGACCAACTCCTCCCAACTCACGTCCCCAGCCCAACCGACCACGCCACAATCACCAAAATCCTCCAAGCCTACCCATCCCTCAAATCCTACTCCCCCCGTTCCCCCTGGGGAACCGCCCTGCCCTTCCTCCACGCCTCAGACCTCAATCTCATTAACCTCGAAACGGCCGTCACCACCGTGGACACGCCCTGGCCGAACAAGACCTTCAATTACAGGATGCATCCCCGCAACCTGGAGGTGCTGAAAGTGGCCAACATCGACTACGTGAGTTTGGCGAATAACCACACGCTGGATTTCGGGGAGATGGGGCTCAGCGAGACGGTTGAGGCGGTTAGGGGCGCGGGGATTGCGTTTGCGGGTGTTGGGGAGGAGGGGCCGGCGGTTTTGAGGTTGGGGTCTAAAGAGGATCATGGTGGTGGTGGTGGTTCTTCTTCTTCTGCTACTGCTGCTGGTGATGGTGCCAGTGGTGAATCGAAAGAGTACAAAATCCATGTCTACTCCGCCTCAGACCACCCACGCGCCTGGTCCCGCATCCCGCAGTTCAATTTCATAGATTATAGCTCTGCCACACGTGCAAAGCTCAAGACGCTCCTGACCCGCGGGGAGCAGCCCGCGCTGAAGATCTTCTCGGTGCACTGGGGCCCGAACTATGCGTGGCGGCCGGCCGGGGAGATCCAGGCTCTGGCGCGGTTCCTGGTCGACGAGTGCGGAGTGGATATTGTGCATGGGCATTCGGCGCATCATCTGCAGGGCGTGGAGGCGTATCGCGGCCGGTGGATTCTGTATGGGTGTGGGGATTTCGTAGATGATTATGCGTTGGATGCGGAGTTTCGGAATGATCTTGGGGCGCTGTGGAGGGTTTTGGTTGAGGAGGATGGGAGGGGTGGTGGGTTGTCTTTGGGTAGGTTGGAGGTTGTTCCGACGAGGTGTCGGCTGTTTGAGGTCGAGGTTTTGGGGGTGGATGATGAGGATCATGGTTGGGTTAGGAGGAAGCTGGGGGAGTTGAGTAGGGAGTTTGGGACGGTTGTTCAAGGGGAGTTGGGCAGGGATGGGCAGATTGTGTTGGATTTAGGATGATGTTATATTGTATTATGTTATATCGGATGTTTGGGGGAAGTTTGTGATTTCTTGTCTGGTCTGTATGTATGTGGTTGATTTGGTGGTCATTATGGTATCATGCGAATAATGTACAGTTTTGCCTCCCATGGAATAACAGTCGTGTGCAAAAATGAAAGTGAAGACATGGACCGAATGGTATAAAGCTGGAAACAAAAAAGAATATACAAAGAATGTAAACGAGGGGGGGAAGGCGTCAATCATGATTCCATGACGAGTCTTCGTTGACTGGCGGACTCGTCGTTTTTGGAGGTTTCTTGGTACATCTCCGTGGTCACTTCGATGCCCTTGAAGGTGTCGTCGGGTTTCCTTTCGCCCTGCTCGACATCAATCGTGCACATGCCGAAATCGTCATTTTGTGAGGGCAGATGCATGCGCGTGACTCGGGACCGAGTGGTAGCAGTGGCGGTTGGATTCCGGGTGTAGTGGTTGTAGCTCTGAGTCGACAGGAGCTTCGGGAACAGGCAGCTGACAATCGGTCGCAGGAAGGGAAGACAGGCACATATGATGGCCACATTGCACTCCGCTGCGGTCCAGTACGAGGCGCCCACGTTGCTGTCTGATTAGGGTTAGCGATGGATACCATGCAATCACTCTTGCGTTTTCTTACAAGATGTGTCGGGATCTTTCGCGACCGCGCGAAGACTAGAAAGTCGCAGGATGCTGGTTATGACCACCCTGCTTGTAGTTAGCATCACCCTCCATGTACAATTGCTACAATGGGAGACCAACAGCCCACCGATGGCGAAAACACCCATGAGGGCAAATTTTTGTAGGCGCGGGAGCTGTAGTTGAGAGAGAAGAGGCATCGGCATGATAAGGAGCGTGACGTCGGTGACGATATTCATTGATGCATTGAAGAACCAAACGGCCTCGAAGCTCAGACACGAGCCAGCGATCGTTCGATCCCAGAACTTGGCCACGGGGACACAGTTTACGAAGGCACTCACAACAGCCCAGGTCCCGTACAACGCGACAACGCCCATCACGACCCAGCAAGCAATACGGAATCGGCGGTCGGGGAAGATGCGGAGATATTGGAAAAGAATCGAGAATTTAGTGAGTGCGAGACTGGCATTATAAAAAGGAATGGCCGCCCAAAGTCGCTACAGCAATAGAAGATGAGCATATGCCAGGCAGTAAATACTTTGTGATTGCATACCTTCAATTGTTGTTTCAATTCTTCATCGGAAAGAGCAGAATTATGCGTGCCGAGCCCAAAATGCACCTCTGTTGCGAGTCAGGACTGGTCTGAAGTGGCATCAAGCATATCCTCTCGGGAAACTTACGGGCAGCAACTAAAGCGAGGTAGACAATGGCAAGTACCTGGGATAGGTAAGCAACTCATCGAGTAATATACAACAGCAGCTCTCCAGCAATGGCGCTTACCAGAGAAAATAGAATTGTGTAATCTTCGCGACCGATCATTTTCAGCAAGCCAATCCTAGCATACATCCGCATGCCAACCACGAGGATAGAAATGGCAGTTAGCACGGCTGTCACCACCAGTGCACGTTGTCCCCGTGATGCTCCGTCATCGCCGTCTCGAGGAAATAGAATGTGTGGCAGTATTTCGTCCATTGTGATGTTATGATACTAATAAAGAGTGACTCGAAGGGATCCTCGTATACAAAACGAATGTAATCATTAGCCCGAATTGGCTGCGCATCAGTAGTCAGTCCTAAATGATGCACAGTCCCCAGGCTTGTAACCAGAGGTCAGTGTAGAGTGAGCTGCATGAAAGATTGTGCCATCAATAACTTTGGCGTGTGGGGAGGTTATCTATGAAAAGCTTGGTGGGCTCTGGAGAGAGGGGGGCCTCGGTATGCTGGATATGTGGTAGTCAAAGTTTGATAGTCTTCAATAGCGTAGTCTGAGTCCTGGGACAGAATCACAATGACTCGCTGGGAGCCTGCAAAGTATTAACAGCATTCCTTTCGCCCATGTGGTTCCATAGTGGCGGTAACCGACTGCATTGTTAGTACTCGCGATGAAGGTACTTGGCATGTCTCCACATGCGTCGTCGTCTGTGTGGGTTGTATATCCTGTACAGCGAATCAACGATTGTGCTCCGACACTGTCTGAGAGACGTTCTGTCAATGTAGTGTCGTTGACTCGTTATAGGCAGACCCATGGTAGCCACAATTTGCTAGTCCTTCCTTGTAGAGGATAGATTTACTTGTGCCGTGGCCGGGAGTGGAGTCGTCGGCACTGTTTAGCGCCTCTGATTCGGGGTTTTCCTTTGCTCCACTCACGAATGCCGGTTTGGCTTTTAGTGCGCACGAGTGCATGTAGGTCAACGAGGCTTCAGCGTGGCGAGGAATTGCCATGCAAGACCGATAGTTCGCTCAATAGTGCATCTTATCTTGGGTTGGACTTCGTGAACTGATATAATAACCATAAACCCTCGCGATTGAGGTCGGATTCAATAACAATTAACATGACTGTATCTTTGTTTCGTCTTTATGAAATAAATCATGCCATGTTGGGTCCGAGTGGTTCCCAGTAACTTAGTTTCCGAGAGAGTTCCAAGAATGCTGTTCACTGTGTCGGAGTACCCGTGGAATGCAGCATGTCGGTACCGCCGCAGTGCGGGTTGGCCGTAACAGATCGTATGATCGTCGGTTCTCCAGGCACAACTCCATCGCTTGGAGTATGATTTATGCAAGCAATTGGTTTATCCCAGTGCTGATACACAGTACAGTCTCTGGTTTTTGGGATGTCGTCCCAAGTTCCAAGATCTCTTTCTGCAACTCACTTTCCCTTTTGGGTTCCGAGCCAGGCAAGGGACGATCATTTCCTCCCCGAGGGCCAGCCAGTTCGTTCGAAGTGACGAGTTTAAGCCTCCACCGCGAATCTTGGCCGAAAGGGGCAATGTTGGTGTTCCGTCGCTTGTGGAGCAGATTGTCTACTGTACAGTAGAAGTCTTGACGTCCTGGACTCGTCCGTCGTAAACCGCCTGCTCACCGAATACGAAGCATTGTCGGGAAATAAGACCTGCACACAGGTCGGCCATGGCGGGCTTTACAAGGGACAGCGTCCCTCTTCGTTGCATGATCGACACAGTGGAGTGTCGTTAGACAGGACGACGGTGTCTACCGGGTTTTCTTAGCTATCAAGTTTAGCGCACCAAGCCAAAAAAAAAAAAAAAAAATGAAGTACGGGTTGCAATGCCCGCCGTGTTTTAATGACCAGCAATGAATGATGCAAGTAATTCAGAAAAGTGAATGTGGAGAATATTGGGGTAAAATATGCCGGGAAGGCATCGGCACAGTACGGAGAACCTCCGGACGTGTTTCGCGCATATCTCGCCTTTATTTGGACATTAGGGTTCATATTGGTGGATAAAAATGGCCTGTTCAGCACGCCACTCATGACCCAATAGAAACTAATTTCTTGCATGCATGGCCAACTGTCAAGTTGAACGCAAGGGGCCTCAGGGTGGCACATGTATGTAACTTTACATACATAACTAGTAGATTCAACTGCACTATTGCTTCGCTTGGCGATCTTCGGGCTCCAACCAGACGGTCCGCACGCCACTATTGAATTCCACTGTCGCAAAAGAACGAAGTCGGCCGAGTGTGATTGATAAGAACGATCTCACAGTAGGATGGATGCCACGAGCTTTTCCACTTGGGAAGACTAGTCTTGACCCGCATTCCATGTGGTTCAGCCTTTTCACGCTGCCCTTGCATTAGCTTCTTTTTGCCCCTTATTGAGGAGGGACCAAGAAAGCTAAACCATCAATGCTTTATAATCCCTTGAAGTCAATCAATGAATTAAGTAAAATAAGGAAGAAAATGCATAAGTGTTGACGGGTGAGAAACGGGCGATTTCCCGTTGACAACTCCTAGCCATGAGAGCAAACCGATGAGGCTGAATCCACTGTAACGGTGCCATCGACGTCAAATAGATCAATTGAGGCCTAAGCTGCCCATCATTCCCACTAGTTAATATGACTGTGTTATTGCTGTCAAAGATCGCGCGACGATCGTTGACCAGGTGAGGAGGAAGGGAAAGAGAGAGTTGTGTTTAGCGAGTGTCGACAAATGACAATTTCCCCCCCTGACGATCACCTGAAACGGTCAAGCACTAAAAGAAAACTAAAAAAAAAAAAAAAAATCCTCCCCACAAGATCATGACGACATCTACTGAGAAACTGGGTGATCCGGTTCGCTTCGAATGGCCACAGAAATGATCTAAAAGCTTGAAAGCAGCGTTGAGGACGGATCGACAAACACCGTCGCTTGATATGCACAAAGGTTCAGAAGGTGCGGTTCTAAGCCTATCTGCCGGTGAGAGATCTTGTCACTAGAGCCTACCAACTCTTTTCCGGAGATAACAATGGCTATCAAACCCACACCAATGTTGTCTCTTGGCTAGATATCAATCCCAGTCCTGGCAAGACCTTTGGAAGCTGGAAACTATCCCTATCAGAGTGTTTTAATTAACCCAAATTGTCCAAGTAACCGACATCTCGTTGGAATTTGGCCCGGCTTGTGAAGGACGTGTAAGAACCGAGATTGATATCTAGCCATGGGGTAACATTAGTGTGGATTCAAAACTATCGTGTTGGGTCAGTATCAGTAACGCGTGAACTCCTTTGGTCCGAATGCATTCTGAGCCTTGGTATATAAAGTCCGACGGCGTTCGGAAATCTTTATCTTCAATCCCAGTTTCCAGGAACTTAGGTTGTACTTCCAACGTTCAAGGCGGGTCTTCTTAAGAGAGGCTTTCTTTCGGCCGCCGCCTGGCGTCCTGCTGAGGGCTTCCCAGGTGTCGGTTGAATCCGTTGCATGCTGGGATGTGATAAAACCCGGCCGTTCTTCGTAGGTCTCTATAACGTCTATAGTGTCAGTATCAGCAACCTGATCAGCTGTGGTATGGATTTCGAAACGCTGGGTCTTTGTTTGTTGCGTTCCTTTCCTACGGTCGTTAGCATCTGTTTCTCTACATCGCATATCGCAACTTTCTTCGTCGCTATCATCAAGAAAGGCCTCGGAGAGCGTATCGTACTCTTGCTCATGGATTGAGCTATCGCTGAGTGGCTCTATACGATCGTCTTTAATGTCATCGATTAGCATAAATCCCTGGCGATTTAAAGCAGATGTCTCACCTGCAGCCCATTCCAAATCTTTCAGATTCATGGACTGTCTCAGCAAAGAAGGTTTATAGGTCCTGCATTGTCTCTTTTGATAGAAATTCTGTGCTGCGAGTCGGCAAGCTTTGTCATATTGCTCTTGAAGCTGAGCCTTGTGAGATGCCCACTGCTGCCTTGATCGTATGTTGCAAAGGCTAATGAAGCCGTTGCCACAGGCCAGAGATCTACTTTGATACAGTTCGAGAAATCCCGAATCTGGAGACCTGCATTCATCCCATTCAAACCAATCTTCCTTCCATCGGCCATGTAAGGTATAGAACTTGGAAACGCGGCCAGTAGCCCATCGAACGAGATCGAAGCCTTCTCGGTCCAGATCCTGCAGACCATTCTCAAGTTCAACAAGAACTGGGTCGATGAACATCAAGGCCCTCGCAAAGATAGACTGAACGCGAAGCTCGTCTCTGGGCTTGGGCATCTTTGGGTCTGCCAGTTGGAAAAGAAGGGAGATCGCTGGAGGCGTCCCACTGGGTTCGTACATCGGGTGACCGAACCAGTTGAAATGGTGTATAAGTCTTTGTTCGTCATGTGCCATACAATCATTGCGAAACATAAACTCTTCGTCAAGTTCAGTCTGCATCTGTGCAATCTCCTCGTTGTAGTCATAGCTATAATATAGGTCGTTCTCATGATCTTCTCTGACATGGGGTGAAGTGCTCACAGTAGGTATACATGGTTCCGAGGCTGGCTCTACCTCTTTCCCTTTTCCATGGCGACCTTTGCTCCCGTGTCGATATCGCGTTAGACGATTTTGTCCCCTAGCCCGGGAGCTGTCAGTTCCTAGCTGAGAAGAGATGGGGGTATCAGTATCGCCCAGTGTTTCGGATCTATTGCCCACCCTAGCACTCGAGGCGGTGCTGTGGGTAGATTTCAAACGCTCATACTGTTGCTCGAGCGCCTCCTCAACATCTTCGGCCCAGTCGAAACTAGGTCTAAGGGCCTCAATGATATACTGGGCAAACAAACAACTGGTGGTTAGTGAATAGTGCGATACCACATGGCCGGGTCAGTCACTCACCTGCTTACGAAGGGTATCAGTATACTGACCCATAATCAGTATGGTAAATAGTCAATAGTTGAAGGTTTACAGAGCTTCTATAATGTAGAGGGCGTCCTGTAAATGTAGTCTAATATGAAGAGTGATTGGGAAAGCTTAAGCAGAGGATACATTGAAGCAGCCACTGAAGGTTGGGGAAGACATAAGGTGCATATATACACTGCTTCTGGGAGATTATAGTAGACTTTGGCTTCGTGAGTACTGTTGCAGGTTGCTGTAAAAGGTGGTAAAGATTTGCCAATACATTCAAGACTGTGCCATTGCCTCAGGAAAACACCAGCCCCGATAGAATAATGGCTGTAGACCCAATGTTTACTTTTGCTTGAATTGCATGAACAATTGGACACACTCATATAACTGACGGAGATTCCATCTTATAACCAGAAAGAAGCTGGGGGTTCTTTCATGTCCATGCTCTCCCAAGCCGCATTGTTCATAATCCTATGCAACCTAAAGCATCATTGTTGAGTTACGTATAAGATAAGATACACCATTTGGAAACCAGAAACAAAGAGAAATAAGGTTGAATAATATACTGGCTCTATCTAGCACACTGTGCAACGGTAGGGGTAGTGTTTACTTCATAGTCCTGGAGCTTGCAGACGAGGGTTATCAAAGAAACGCAGATGTATGTATGTTTGTGTCTACCATGTACTGGCTTATTCACTACCCAAGTTTATGTCCGAGCTTCCTAGTGGAGTTCTTTATGTAGAAATGATAATCTACAATGGGAATATGCCTGTTTTAAGAATGTCAGATGATGTTTGTGGAACTCCAGATATTGAACGCTCCATGTAGTAATAACGACCTCTTTGAAAGGAGCATCTAGAATCTTCCCATTATAACATGGGACATTCCTCCCACCTTCAAGTTGAGTCTCTGGATCCCCTGTAGACTAGAGATGCTGCGTATTGATAGCTCCCAGGCGTCATTGTTCCGAGTTCCTGGTGGCTTATTGTTCGTTTATGGTTTACTAAGAGTTAAAGAAGCTTGTAAGATATCAGACAATCAAGAACAAGGATAAATTAAGCTTTCTGAATCTTTGTAGGTTAACGTATCAAAGGAGTAGCTTAGATATACAGCATCTCGCTACATAGAAGAAAGCCCATTGTTCTATAGGTAACTTGGTTGCATGACTGACTAAAGATCCAGCTACAAAAGATTCAAAGAGCAGAAACATATCCGACTTTTGTCTTTCAAGTACAAGGCCTACAAAAGTCAGACAGCACACTATATCTATACCACACTACTTGCTCAGTATAAAGGCTATAAGGCTGTTCTTTGTGCTCATTGTTCGCTAGTTAGACTTTGCCCTCAAGAACTAGCTAATATAACTCAAATTGCAGACCTGCTTTGACTCAGGAACAGATGTTTGTACATGTCTTAATCCCGCTTAAATATGTTCGAAACTTTAAAAAGACTACGTCGGTGCAATTATATGCACTCAGGCCAGCACAATTACTTGAAATAACTTTCCATCCTCATAGTGCAGGATATGATAGGGTAGATGAGTTCTCTCTATCTCAGTTTCCGGCGGGATATATTCACAACAGCCGGCAAGGTCTAGGACCGGTCGGTTTGAGAAAAGTATTAAGCTGCCCACATAAATGGCATCATATCATCAGCATCGGCCTTACAGCTAGTGATAGACTTCTTTCTATTTCGTCCGGTAATTTTGTCATGGAGGTTCCAGCTATTAGCCTTACTCGCCAGATACATATCTTGAAACTTCACATATAGTGATGTTAGATTCTAATAAACATAGTCTCTGCAGAAGACATTCGGGATAAGACCACATTGTATATAAACATAAGAAACTATATTATAGTTTCAATCTGTCTAAATTCGCCGAATAATTGAAATGAAAAGGTCGTTTTCGTTGCAGTTTGCCAATACGTGATCAAACTAGTCTAGTGGAGTCTATAAGGTACATATACATTGAGCTTTTCTATGAGATAATGAAGATTGCAGTGGAAGCAACCCATGAGTGCTTTAATGATGTCAGCCAACGTTCGCTAGTCTTAGTACCTTAATTTTACGTGGGATTTGCAGATAACTTAAGTCTAACTAATTGTCTTTTGTACTAGAGAGAAGACTAGAGGTTACCTAGTGCTAATTTTGACGTGGTTCAATACTACTCATGTACCTGACGACCTGCAAAAGGCTAGTTTACAATTGATAACCTTAAAACTAACTTTTATGTACCCTGGACTATGGTTAACAAGCCCTTTTCTATTGGCGAATAGTGCGTTACTTCCATGATTACTATATTACAAGAAAGTATATACTTAACGCTTCGAAGCAGGGTCTTCTCTAGTCTGGAAAGTACTCATTGAACTGTTATTGCATATTATTGAGCTGTATTTGCCATCCTAAAATATGCTTCCCAGAAATATATACATGTCCAGTATGGATGGGAGGGCCATTTCTCAGTTTCCTTCTCAAGTGAGTTCCACAATGATCCAACAAATATCCCTTTGTCGAAGTCTAGCTATGGTCATATACCCGGCCAGAGCTATACTTCGACGCAATATCATCTTCCAATGACGTTAGAAGAAGGATATTCTTCGGCTGGAAGGCCGATCGGCCAAACCTTCAGCCGAAACGGAACCCCGCCGCCATGCCGAATCACGACATGCGGATATGGCTTTCCCCGCACAGCATTCCGACTCATCGGCCCTCGTATCACTGGCTATCTTTACTCCTATCTTCTCCGTTCTTCTATTTAATTCTTAAATTCCTAATTTAGAGGGTATCGCGGGGTTAGAAAAAAGCTCTTTATGAAGTATTTTCGAGCTTGTTGCAATTCCATCCGACTTCTACGACACCTAGCTTCCTCCCCCTCAGGTACTACACTCTCCACACTTACTCCATCTGCCCGAAGGAACCCGTTTTCCTGTACAGTCCAACCGGCAATCACGAAACGCACGATGGCAACGGCCATGGCAAAGCGCCTCGAGGGCAAGACGATCGTCGTCACCGGCGCGTCATCCGGCATCGGTCGCAGCACCGCCAAGGAGTTCGCTCGCACGGCGCCTAAGAACCTGAAGCTTATCCTGACAGCCAGACGAATTGACTCTCTGAACCAGCTCGCGCAGGAGATCAAGGAGGAAGTTGGTGACGGCGTGAAGACATTGGCCGTGAAACTAGACGTCAGCAACCCGGCCGAGGTTCAGAACTTCGTACCCTCTCTGCCCGCGGAGTTCCAGGAAATCGACGTCCTGGTCAACAATGCGTGAGTTTCGAGCGAGATGCCCCGTTTTTTTGGTCCGATGGTGAAGCTGCGGTGTACTGACGGAGATTAGCGGGCTTGTCAAGGGTGTTGCCAAGGCTCCTGAGATCGCCCCGGAGGATATCGATATCATGTTCTCCACTAATGTCACCGGGTTGATCAACATGACTCAGGCGATCCTTCCGATTTTCAAGAAGCGGGGTGATGGCGGTCGTGGAGACATCATCAACATTGGAAGTATCGCTGGTCGTGAAGCTTATCCGGGTGGCAGCATCTATTGCGCGACCAAAGCGGCTGTCAAGTCGTTTACCGAGGCTTTACGAAAGGAGCTCATCGCTTCGAGAATAAGGATCATCGAGATTGATCCTGGTCAGGTTGAGACTGTGAGGGGTCCCTTTTGATCATCTCTGCGCGATTATGAAAGCTAATTAGGTGGGTGTTAGGAATTCTCCGTTGTCCGATTCTACGGAGATAAGGAGAAGGCTGATGCCGTATATGCGTAAGACTTTCTTGGAATGATTGTGTGAGAAGGGCAGAGCTGACGGATTATTGTGCAGAAACTGCGAGCCACTTACCCCGGATGATATCGCGGAAGTTATTGTATTTGCCGCTGGCCGGCGTGAGAATGTCGTGATTGCTGACACTCTAATCTTCCCCAGCCACCAGGTGAGTTTATTGCACCATTCTCAAGTCATTGCCAACCCATCCATGGATGGTTATGGGGGTTTCCTGTTCTGGAACGGCTATACTGATTGGTTCCAGGCATCACCCGGTCATGTGCATAAGAATTCGACATGAGTTTTAGACGTTAGTGCTGTGAACCTATATATATTGGACATAGAAGACAGATACTGCAGGATTGCAATCCCTATGAATCAAGGCCATCAAACAACTACACAAGAAGGATTTTAAAAATCACCAATGTATGTAAGCCTAAAAGCACAAGAGACTTGGCATACGTTTGCACTGGCAGTTGGACAGCAGTAACTAGCCTGTCTGCAGGAACGACTAAAAGGCCACCTACATATGTAGGATAGACATGGATGGCCCAACTCAACCAATACGAGGCCTTCACGTACATCTCCAGGTGACAGCAAGCTGCAGTTTGCATATCGGGACTGGATTGCAGAACCAAAAATAGTCAACATCCAAAATAATCGCAGCTCTGTTCTACGCGATATCAAGACTCTCTTTTCCTTTGGAATTCGATCCGAAAAGGGGTAACGAACAGTCGGCTCCACCAGGGCCACGGGCGCCCTTTCAACCCACGGGTCATAAATTACCCGTGCGAATGTGGTCTCTGATAGGGCCATTTGCTCCAGGTATAATTTTTTTGGTTCCTCGTGGTGAGTAGTATATGGTGTGATCCCAGTCATAGAAACAAAGCAATTGATAGGCCGGTGCCCGGACAGCAATGGGCATCAAGCGCCTAAAAGAAAAAGGGGCATGGCACTGTCGAATCCCATCCATACCACGTTATTGGGGCATTAAGCCGGGCGTTGGTGGTGAGATCGCTGTCAATCCATGTTGGATGCGCTTTTCGCCCCCGGTGGATGGTTCTGACCTGGGCTAGTATAGTGGTTTGGTTGTATTACCAGCTTGTGCATCATTTCCCAGTTGTATCCTTCTTTTCTTTTTTTCTCAACCCACCTTGAGGATGGTGTCGGGGTAAGCAAGCCACAAAAAGTGATGTTGTCAAAAGAAAAAGAGAAGTTCTAGACTGTAGATTGATGTCATCGAAATATGCTGTATGTCGTAGTTCATCGGGAAGACCAACCCTTGTTCGATATTATATGCATGGAAAATGGGAGAGAAATCTTGAGCCCCCAACTGATTGGATCTTTGTCGCTCGGAAGGTCGGTTACTAGACCATGTTACGGGTACCCACCACGTGAATAATCTCCACGCACTCCCAATGCCAAGCGTCTAGTTTTCGAAGGCTTCCCCTAAAACAAAAAGATCGGCCCCTCCTCAGGAGAAACCAACAGGTTTGGTTGCACGCGAATCGATGGGCGTCGACTTCACATTAGTGGCCGAATTGACAAGACATCTAAGCAATTGAGCTGATTCCTTAAATCCTGGTGAACATCGGCCGTGTTCAGAATGAAAAAAAAAAAAAAAAAAAAAAAAAAAAAAAAAAATCAAAAAAAAAAAAAAAAAAAAAAAAAAAAAAAAAAACCCATGTCTGTCTATCGCTGTGTCTTCCTGGCTGATATCAGAGAAGGTAGCATTGCCATGTAGTAATCATTCTCATGGATATGGGGGCTATTGTTGGTGTCGGACGAATACCTCTAATTCGTCTCTAGGGCGAACGGACACCATTCTAAAGCTCGCCAATTTCCCAAGTGATCAGCCGAGACGATGCAGTAGCCCCGAGGCTGGAGGCGTACCGATGCAACTGGGGATGGGGTCCAATGTCTAGGCTGCAAAGGGATTTCGGGTATCTCTGAATGGAGCCGGTACAAGACGACGATCACATCGCTCAGTAAGCGGAACGATATGATAACTGAATATGTCATTTCGTTACTCCATACTCTGTCTGTCCTAGTATCCTACGGACTGCTCCGTAGTCCGTACGGAGTACAGAGATAAACCACCATTATCGCGCGGATAGTGATGATCATAATCCGTCCCCTCCGTGCTCGATATCGGAGGGATCAGATGGTCAGACCACGGACCATTAGTCTGTCTACATATCATCTTTGGTAAGTGGAGGAGTGGGGAATCACTTTCGGATCACGAACTAGGATCCATAAGGATATAGGCTAGCCGCAATGTGACTTTTTGCGACTCAGGTACTGGCTGCACAAGATACAAAGGACGACCATTGAAGGCTGAGAGGATATTCGATGATGTAAGTGCGCGCAGGGCGAGCTGTCACTATGGAAGTTTCGTTAGTTCGCCGCCGTGTCCGCCTTTGGTCCAGGCTAAGAATGTTTCTAGAAACCGAGGTCACGCAATGGAGGATATATTCTCCGTGTCACCTCAAATCAATCGGATCTGGATTCCACCGTCCCCCGTTGAGAAACAAAAAGATAACCGTGTTCCTCCCAATGACGCAAATGCATGGTTGGCTTCAGACTCCCCCTTCTGAATCATGTGAGGACTTAAAATCATCCACTATGCATACTCCGTAGAGTCGCTGTTCCAGTGTTGATCCAGAGAGTGGGTGGTGTTCAATCTTTCCTTGCGCTACCCAGCAAGCTTGCGTATGTGATTGATTAGCTGACCAAGGTTTGGAAGACCCAGAGGCGGGAACTTGGGAGGTGATCAAGCGATGGAATCCACTTTACAATGCAATTGATTGGATGTAGACATTTCCCTGGACACTGTTCATTCGTTTGTCGTTGCATCCATCGGAGTAAAAAGTGACAGACCCTCCTGGGGGGCCCAGATGGAACAATGGGTGAATTTCGCAGAGGCGTTCAGATGGACTCGCGCTAAGAAGTGGGAACAAAGTGAAGATTGATTAATCTGTGGCTGGGGCTCCTTCCCAGAGGAGGTTGGAAAATGACTAAAGCCAAAGGAATCAACACGAACTTTTTGCATCGCGGTTCCTCTTCTGCCCCTTTTTGAATTTATTTGATTTTTTCTCTGCTCTATTTATCCATGGAAGTATGTCACTACTAGAAACTATCAGTCCCTTTCATTTCCTGTACTCTGTAGCGTCTTGCTCTCTCTATTTTCCCCCTAATCTATTTACCCATAATTATTATCTCCCATGTACTCCGTATGGTCGTGGTATTGGTGGGTTTCATTTCCTCACAACCAACCACAGTCGTCATCTGTAATTTTCGCATTGGAGCAGGTAATTAAGTTCTTATTTATCATAACATTTCCCGGAAGGGGGTGTGTTTGTTAATAAGAAAGCAAATCGCTTTTAACTAATGTAATTAAACATGAATATTGGTCTCGGAAGTTGACCACACGCGCAGTAATGGCTTAATGCCACCCACCTTTTTTTTTTTTTTTTTAACCTTTTTTTTCCCTTCCCCAAAACTAAGAAAGAAAAAAAAGAGAAAAGAGAAAAGAAAAGACCCCTTTCATGAATTTTTATTGATTGTTGTTATTATTCTCCAATCGGTACTCTCATTTTGACCACCGCTCTCCCTGAAAAAAGGAATCTTAAGAGTAATAAATTCCAAGTTCACTCTGACTGAACCATCTCGAGTAACCAAAACGGTATGTTGCTTTATCTGTGTTAGGGTTTTTTTTATTTTTTGATTTTATTGTTTCTTTTCTCTTTTCTTCTTCTTCTTCTTCTTCTCTTTTGGCCCTATCCTTCAATTAATCCCCCACCTCCGTTGCTCACGTTAAACTCTCCTTAATCATCATTCCCCCTTCCCCCCTCTCAATCTCCACCTCATCTCTTTCCCCTAAAACCCTCTCTAAAAGGAGCAACGGTTTGATTGTGTTCTTGGCTTAGTTTGGAAACACGAGAAGAGAAGTCGGGTTTCTGCTCCGTAATAGCGAAAGGAAAAAAAACGGCCTACCGCCTCGCATTCAATTCCCGCCGATTGCTAGCAGTTCCACGAACTCCTGCCCCCTGATCCTCTCAACCCCCATCCGCCTTTAAGCTTGGCCTAGTCGACTCACTAGACCCGCCGTTGCTGTGGACTTGTCTTTTAGGCGCCTCTGTTCTGCGCGAAACTCCCGACAAGCTGGGCCCCGACTCTTGACCCTACTGCAAAAAAGAAAATTGTGCTACCGCTCTCTCGACCCGCTGTCACTACGCCCGTCGAGATAGCTTCGATCATCGCCTTCGCACCCTTCATCCTTCCTATCAGACACACATCCGGGCAGAAGACTCTAGAATGGCTTCAAAGGTAAGCTTGTTCTCCCCGCCGCCCCGGCCCTGGCACCCTTCTCTCACTCCCTCTTCCTCTCGCTCTCGCTCCCTCCCCTTGCTCAACTGCGAGCCCCGATTCCATCATGCCCCTTTCAGAACATGGCGCAAGTTAAGTTACTTACCCTTGGACGAACCCTAGTTCCTACGAGAATACAAATTGGTAGTTGTTGGTGGTGGTGGTGTCGGAAAGTCATGCTTGACTATTCAATTGATTCAGAGTCACTTCGTCGATGAATATGACCCGACAATCGAAGGTGAGTCGCCGCCCCTATCCTTCGAGAATTTCTCGTCCCCCGGCTGGTTACTCATCGGATTCCGGTAAACAGATTCGTACCGCAAGCAGTGTGTCATCGACGAGGAGGTCGCTCTGTTGGATGTCCTAGATACGGCCGGACAGGAGGAGTACTCGGCAATGCGTGAACAATACATGCGAACCGGTGAAGGGTTTCTCCTCGTTTACTCCATAACGTCACGCCAGTCCTTCGAAGAAATTATGACATTCCAGCAACAAATTTTACGAGTCAAGGACAAGGATTACTTCCCCATCATCGTGGTCGGTAATAAATGCGATCTAGAGAAGGAGCGAGCCGTCACAGTAGAAGGTGGGTAACGAGCTAATCTGCCCTCTCTCTCACCTTAATGACTGATGTGACTGATGGATGTGTCTATCAACAGAGGGTGAAGCTCTAGCAAGACAGTTTGGCTGCAAATTTATTGAAACATCCGCGAAGTCTCGTATCAACGTCGAAAACGCATTTTACGACCTCGTCCGTGAGATTCGTCGGTACAACAAAGAAATGTCGTCGTACCCGTCAGGCTCGGGAGCCTTCGGCAATCGCGCCCCAGAGGGCAAAATGGACGTGAGCGAGCCAGGCGACAGCGCTGGTTGCTGCGGAAAGTGTATTATAATGTAATTGGGTAGGCGCTGGAGTTGAAAAGGATACAAACACCACGAGTCAAGATACGGAAGGGAGCAAAACATATAATAAAAATTCGACTGGAAAACGAGATATTGGCGACAGGAATAGCGCCACGGCCTCGGAGCTAATTGTGGCTTGTCGACGCTTTTTGGATTGTGAAATTTATACCACACGAGACTCGCTATCGGATGTGATGCCTGCTCCATGATGCCGTCATCATCTCCATGAACGTTCGATTCCCCCTTTGTTTCTCTGTTTGTTTATTTTTTTTTGGAAAGACTGTTCTTGACGATCTCGTTCTTGGGTAGAGCGAGGAATTAACCCTGTCAGTAGATCTGTGCAATTTATATAGGTACATGCTATTGTCATGGTTTTCATTCTGGTTACGTTGAGCTGCAGAATTATCTTTGGTCGTCCTTTCATCATTATTGCCGTTTGTCTGCGAGCTTCCGCAGGGGCAACATCCCCGTTTTGCATTGTTCTTTTCCTTTCATCGCTTGGGCATTGGTGTGGCACTTTGCTTATCTCTCGAACATATCTCGCGCAAGGACCTGAGCTGTTCGAACACTTTCTCCAGATCGCCAGCAACCAATATCTCGGGGTTTGCGGCAGTCTGGGACTTCAGTGCTGGATCTTGCGGTTGTCTATCCTGGACTAGACTTCTTTTCGCGGCTCTGCTGTTCATTACTCGGTCCCACCAAGACATGCACTGAAGATAGTTCGTCCCATCCTCTCTGTTCCTTTCCTTTAATAATTTGGTTTTTCCCATTCAATGAAAATATTGATTAATCTTGCCTCGGAACTTTTGGGTGGATGCAAAATAGGCGTCTATGTGCTCAGTAGGAGCACTTTTTTTTTTGATACGAGAAAGATGGTCCTGTTTGATATTTCCAGCGCAACACGGGATTGAGTTTCTATAGGAATGTAGTGCTTCTTCAGCTTCATCAGTTTAATCTCCCATACATCAATTTTCTATTCTCGCTTATAAACTGTTCGGTTGAACGGATTTATCTAACCGCAATACTAGGCAGACATCGAAACTCTTGCGTGCAGTTGCTCAAGTTCTATGCTTCGAGCGCGGCTAATGTCTAAGCGTGTATCGACAGTTGCATCAAATCTATGTACATCGATATCACCGGTCGTTTCCTTATTTACTTTCCTCTGCATCGGAAGGGGGGTCAAGCTCATCTTCCTGCGAGACTCTTGTGCCCTGGACATTCTGCTCGACCTCGGAGACCAACGAGTCCATGAAATCTTGGTCGGTTCCAACCAGAGTTACGGTATTACGCTTCTTTCCCCAGCGGGGATAACTACCAACCTTGATTCCTCGTGAAGATGTCCGCGTCGCAAGGTCCGTCAGGTAAGGCGCCACAGCACTTTCGGGGAGGGGGGTGCTGAATAAGTACCGATAGATGCCTTTGCCCTCAGGGTCGGTTAACCGAGGAAGCAGAGTAGGCTTCAGATGCTCAAGGAGCTTCTCGAAGAGACGGGGAACTCCTGGCAAGATATGCACATTACCGTTGACGATGGCGATTGGCACCCACATATCATCCGCCACGAAGGTAGCCTGCTGCTCCTCCGACAGAGTCTCATCGTGGGGAAGTTCAACCATACGCAGCTTGGCTGTTAGACCGGGGGACGGGGTGTCCCAGTCAAATTGCGGTTGCATTGGGTGAGGCTTGGAGAGCTTCTTCATACGCTCAAAAGCGCCTTGGTGTAGTTTCAACTTCAGACCAAATGCCTTGGCTATGGATTCGTACGTAATGTCATCGTGACTTTTTACCAAGGTAAGGGGCGTATAGTTAGCTTCCGATATAGGCCGACGGTCTTGGGAACTGTGAATTCTTCCGAGAGAAAGGAATAGGGTATACGGACGTCGGCCCAATGCCTCCACTGGTCACCACAAAATCGTAGTTGTTACTCATGCGACTGACGGCCTCAATAATTTCACTTTCGTCATCGGCAATGACTTCTACCCTCTTGAGCTGTATCCCAAGAGAGAAGCAATACTTGGCGAAATATGCGGAATTGGTATCAATTGTCTGAGAGTTTGGACTCCAACCGTCAGTCACTCATTCGGGAACAGGCACATGACCTCGGTGCAGCACACAACACCAGCGGCAAGGGAGAAAGGGAGAGTCGGGCATAAATTGTAGTAGATAGGCCGGCTACTAGAGCCGAATGACCGATTCCATTCAATTAATACACACCTTTCCGCCAAGCACCTCATCACCAATGATCAGACATGCTGCCGTGTGTATCGTTTTCGTGTAGTTATGCACCGCGGATGATGTCATGTTGGAGGCACGCGTTTGAGGAATCGACAAGGGCGGCAGAGCGGAAGCGTAATTGAGTGACGGTCGAGCGAGGTGGCGGGTCAACTGACTGAGACGACTGAACATGGAGGGAGAGAAGCACAAATGGCGGTGGTGGTGAGAGAGAGAGAAAAGGAAACCAGATGGGGGGATGAGACGCAACCTCAGGCACGTTTCAGGGCGACTAAATGACGGCTTTTGGAGGTGGAGTGGGGAAAAACTCCCTTTCCGCCTCATCCCACTTTCCGCAGCAACGTGGAGCACCACTTAGTTACCGTTGCTCATTTCTCCTTTTGTGTTACTTTGCACCGGAATTCCTGATCTATATCGAGGAACTCAAAGACCTCACATTCTTTCAGAACATTCAGGAACTGAGCGACTATAATTGACTTTGATCCGGAGAAGGTATTTACAACATGGTGAGATTGCCCCGCATTCCCCCTCGTAAACGTTGCGCCCCTGACGATATCTCGAGGAAACAGGCTTCTGAATCTCGGCTATATGCGTTCTCTCCGGAGACGAAGGAGAAATTGCGCAAGTTTCGTCTAGGAACTTCTAGAGCAAAGGAAGCTCAAGCTATAATATGTAAGGCTCACATTTTCTCACGCCGTCTGTTGCCCCGATGTGAAGTGTAAAGTTGACGGTCAACCTGATAGACATCATCGACCAAAAGAGCCAAGAGATTCGTCCTGAAGATGGCGAAGTATACACAAAGATGGAAGACGTGGCCGATGAGCTCCCTGACTCATCGCCCCGTTTCATCCTCCTGAGTTATCCTTTGACTCTGGTGAGTGGTCATACCAAAAATCTACCTTCCACTCTTATTGACCGGTCAACGGCAGAAATCCGGTCGCCCTTCGGTTCCTTACGTCCTTCTCTACTGGCTCCCAGAGAACTGCAACCCTAATTCGCGAATGATGTACGCTGGCGCCGTCGAATTGATGCGCAACACCGCCCAAGTCAATCGTGTAATTGAAGTTGAGGAAGAGGATGACATTATCTCCATTGAATCGAAATTGCAGAGTGAGGACTGAGCTCGAGGCTCATCTTTGGATAGACGGTTTTCTTTGGCAAACTACTTCATGACATTGGCGCTTCTATCTACGGTCGGCGTTACACACTTGACATTGTTTCCTTTCTGATATATTCGCGACGGATGACGGCGATGCTTGGTTTAGTAAAGCGATACCTTTATTTTCACCGAAACCCGGACTACTTCTATGAGGATGAGAATCTACCCCCAGATAATGGACTATGGTATCCTTGATATATATTGTGATGTTACTAGTAGCCGGCTCAGGGTCGTGCTATATCTCGACCCCGGGAGGTCGAGCCAATCGGGCACGGTACGATACCATCCATACTCATTGTTGATATAGGCACACTTTCAGAACACGTCAGATTCGTGTGTGGTCCTTCTCATGTGGCTAATAACAGACAGAAATCCAGTTAGGCACAATTGAAGCTATCTCGGTCAAGCTCGAGTTCATTCGCTCCTAGACCTTGGTCAATGGGTAGATTTTTTCTGGTGTACGTCTGCAGCTCAGAACGCCTATGATAGTTGCATGGTTATACAATATCGAGGAGCTGGATGGCTGGCTTTCAACATACTGGTTTCCAACATCTGGGCTTTGCAGTCAAGTATTTGCTGTTCAGCATGCATCTCGATTGGTTTTACGGGCCTATATCTGTGGAAGCGTGTTGTTTATCTCTTGTTAGTGTTGTCTGTCCCATTACACCCGGTTTCTGCGAGTATGTAAATGCAAACCTGAAGGCATCCCAGATTTCTAATGCAACAGCTTGCATCGTGAATGCTTTGGCCATGTTTGTAAGTTTAGTTGGTGTTCAAAAGATGCCTACTGGTCTCTTTCGAGCTCAATGAAGTCAACATGAGTACGACGGCAATATCACGTATCATGAGACTTAGACCACACATCATGTCTTGTTTTGGGTCCTCAACGCTACATAGTTTGGTCTATGATGTAAGAAATATTGAGGGGACATTAAGCATGAGAACGTGAGCACAGTGATTTCCCCATTGAAACACGTGTGCTTATATTCAATGCTGTGCCGTGGATCCATTTGACAGACACTTTCCACATTAATCTCGATGGAGAGCAGCACAGCATAATCAGGAAACAGTCCATTTGGGAGGGATAACGAGTAGACTTCTTTCTCGAGTCGAATACTATTCGAACCGAGCATATGCCACATCTTCATCAGTACTAATCGTAGGTAGTATGGACCTTCATAGATGCAGCGGATAAAAACCGACCAATACCTAATCGGATCGCATGAATGATACACAGGGAACCACGATTTAGCAGAAAGCCAAATCCATTACTAGTTCCATACGTGCCGCTCCACAGTGGAGATTTGGAGCCGGGACTCAGGACTCAGCTAGGTTTTAGAGGCCTTAACGCTTGACACCTGGTCGTGCTGCTGCCACGCAGAACTTTCCGGGACAGAAGTTGGAACCTTGCCATTGTGCATTGTCAGCCAGACGAAGAATGTGATTGGGGGGGGTATCTCCACTCGCAGCATCCCAACGATGGCGAGGTCATGGAAATACCCCTGTCTGTACCGGTCCCGGTGACCTGGCCAGTGGCCACACTCCTCAGGCACTGACCACCGTGTCGATACTCCACCGGTGGAGATGCTGATGATGGCTGACGAGGTGTGGATGGTGGTTGATACCGGTTTTTTTTTTTTTTTTTTTTTTTTTTCGACTCCATAGAAGTCTAGACGCCGGCCTGAACAACGCAGAGAAAAAGTTGAACTGCGGACCGAGGTCCATTCCTGCTCATGCAATCTCAACCTGATTCATAGGGCACAATCTATATAGATAACAACCTAACGATCGCCAATAACAAGTAACATCACCCCATTTTAATTCCCTAGAAAACCGGTGGGGAATTCTTCTGAAAAATTCCGTACGGTCGAAATTTCTCCGACACCCTCGTCAGCCTGCAGATGGTGTGGGTGGGCGTTGACCTCGGACGGGACACCTGCAGCACACACACACACCCCGAATACACATTTGTCTAGTTACTAGCTACATGAGTATCTTCGATATGGCTTCTAGTACCTGGGCGCTGCACGTTAGCGAGCCACTTAAAGTCTTAACGACCTTCCCAGTACGGAATACCATGCGCGCACAAGAGGGGGCGAAAGGCGCGATTTAGTCGTCCAGTTGAGTGAGAAGACAGGCTGGGACTGGCGCATCCGGGTCCCGAGGACAGCCACCGTCCTGCATGATTGTCGGACGCCGTTGGGATGGCGCTTCCCTCCCCCCCCTTAGTCAGTGAGAGTATTGTTTCCTTGCGTGGCGAAGGGTTCCTGGGGCACGCGTTTGCATCATCGTGCAGCGGGCCTTGTCCTGTTTCGGTCGCTAATGTGATCGTGGGCTGTTGAGCGGGCTTGTTTGTACGATCGTGGCGGCGGAGCTGGTGCTCAGGGGAGTTTTCCGATATGTTTACGTCGAGGTGCATAGCACCATGCATAAAATGGGAGACTCGGTGCACGTAGCATCTAGGGATAAGGTGAGGTGGGAATAGGGGAAGGGGGGAGAAGTTGTATCCCTTTTGAATTATACTCCGAGCATGGGCGTTGTCAAGCCCTCGGGTGCTAAATAAAGCGTCTGATCAAACACTAGGAGGTTGTTGATCATTCTGGTGGATAATATATTGTGATCTGAAGACTCTCCCCGGTGTTTCCGGTGGGAGGCCACTACGGTTTCCTATTTGGGGAAGATGAGAAGTATCGTGATGTGCAGTTAGTTGGGCCATTCATAATTTCGTCGGTCGAATAATTGGAACTAATGCGGGGGAATGGCCGGCGGCGGCAGACTGAGTCGATTGCCAGTAGTCATCGTTAGTCTTAGTAGTCCTATTATCGTCAGGGGAGGAATTGGTATGGAGTAGGTAACGTAGTGGGCACTGGCTAGATTGGATTACTAATTAGCAGCTTGGTAACGAACTAACGTCACCACGATGATCGATTTCATTTCGACAGAATTCCCATATGATCATCTAGTCGTTGAGGCATTTGGAAAAGACCACTCGTGCTGTGCCCCTCGGTTTCGAAAGTGTCTCCGCGGCTGTCTACCCCGAAGTATATCCTCCGCGGAGGACGGAGGAGAAGTGTTCAAGTATAAGACGGGGTAATATATGTGTCTAGGACCCTTCCAGTGGGATAATGGCATGATACGAGGGATCATCTTGCTCATAGTCATGACCATACAAACCTTATTTCCTGTCTGAAGCGCATCCGGCTATGATGAACGGCTGATCGATTCGAGCAAATATTCGTTGCTGCATGTACCCTGGAAAATAAAGTCCATAAAATACTGTATTTCATACTCTCGTATTGACCGAGATCCAGAACCATGGCCTCGGTCTGCTCTGTACTGTGTACATACTGCGCAGTACGGTGTTGAATTGCAGAGGGATTAGTAACCACAAGGACCAAAGTCCAGCAGCTCAGGCCCTCACCAATGTCTCAGGATCGCCATCTCCCATGCCCAGGCAGTCCATGAATGGGACCTTCTGGCTGACTGTCAAACTCTGGGCTCGGGCATTGTTCCCGAGCGGGAACAGCGCTACTGTGTAGTATGGTTTAGTACGATGGCTCCGTCGCTTCGGTTCGCCTACTAAATTCCATAGACACTGGTAGACAGGTGGGCCATACCAACCCAGTTCCCCAGCTCCCTGAACAAAAATTCCTTCAAATTATTAGCTTATTGTGCGCCAGACTGGAGGAATTGGATCAGCCAACCAATTGAACCGGCAACCCGGGCAGTGGAAATATTACCCTGGCTTTTCTGATTTCTTTTTTTCTTCTTGTTGTTTTATTGTTTCGACTTCTGACTGTTGTTTACATTCTTACGGGTCGGTATTTGGTACTTGTATCCATGTGTCAACCCCAAACCTTAAGTCTATTGAGTACTACTCATAGTATTATTCTTTGCTTTTTCCTTGGTCTTTATTAGGAATCATGAAGAGAATTGGATTTGAAGATGTTAAAAATTTTGGCTAATTGTATGTACCGTATGTAATGATTCAGGTACCTACTAGTGAATACACGGGGAGATGGTAAATGTCATTTCAACAGACTGGGAATTATTGATGAATTTCATATGCGTTAACAGTGATCCTGACCATTATTAATTTGGTAAGATATCGGAAATACTGAAAATATATAAAAATAAAATAAAAATAAAAGTAAATAATAAAAGAATTGAAATAAAAAGTGCGACCCATGGGCCGTTCCCTTTAGACTCAACCCATACGGAGCTGTACCCACCCCCCTCTCGCTCATCCGGTTCCCCCAGAAAGCCTATCCGGCTTCTATTTATCGTTCGGTCCGCCGCTGTTGGTGCGCTGATAGTATTTCTTTTTTTTTTTTTTTTTTCTCCCGGTGATTTGGCTACCTGATGTTGGTCGCTTCTTTCGCAACGACGTATATAGCTCACCATACCCCATCGACAGTTAAGGTGCCACCTTCGACCTCTCCCTCGGATTTGACTGATCCAGTCCACCACTGGATCTGACCGCCACTCGGCCAATCAAGCGAGCCCACTTCCTTGCCATTGCAGACCCTGCGCCTTGGGTTTTACCTCACCGTCTCGCTGGGTCTCCCAGTCCTGTGGTTCGGTACTCGTCTGTGTGACCTGCTCTGACTATAAACTTCGCCATCAACTTCAACCACCACGACTTCACGGGCGATCATCTTCCATATCGCAGACGACTGGTCAATTCGTCTCTTTTTTCGCACTCACCTTTTTTATTTTTTATTTCAGTGTTTTACTTCCCCCTTCACCCCATAGGTGGGACACGCCAACTCTGCTGCCCCTGGAGGATATAGAAGGCCAGACCCAAACTCAGTACAAACCATCGATCGAGAACGCAATTACCGTCGACAGAAACAGAAAAAAACTACCTGCCGATGTTGTTCCCGAAGTTCAACGACACCAAGCAACTATCCCAAATCTAAAACATCACTATATACATCTCGACTCGGAAAAACCCCACGCAACATGTCTAGCCAAGGGGGCCCGAGACAGCCCAATGAGGGGAAGCCCGAGGGCTTCGCGAAGTACCTGCAACGAATGAGAACGGTGCTGAGGAAAAGCTCATCCTCGAAGTCTGAATCTGCGTCCAACTCGCAGGAAACGAGTGGACAAGCTTCGCCGACCAAGTCCGCGTCGTACGACCTCCTCCCCTCTCCCTCTTTTCTGTTCGCACCCGTGGGCGCACTAACGTGAGCGCAGTCCGAAAACCACTGCTCCTGCTAAGGCTACTGCTGTCCCGAAAACAACTGCTCCAACGAAGCATACGACCGCCAACTCTGGCCCCGAGCCGACCGTGTTCAAGCATTGGGGCGCCATTCAGGAGGAGAAGGCTCGTTCGCTGTTCGCCAAGTATGGGTTGACGCTGGAACCCGGGGAATGGAGGTCGCCCACCGACACCGAGGTCCAACGTGTGGCTAAGCCCATTCGCATGAGAGTCCGCCGCACCTGTCACCGCTGCCAGACCACCTTCGGCATCGACAAGCTCTGCTCCAACTGCCAGCATGTCCGCTGCAAGAAGTGTCCCCGCTACCCGCCGCATAAGTCATCGCATGATCACCAGACCGAGGCCGCCCTGCAGACTATCCTCTCGCAGAAGGGCAAGGAGCCGACCGGCGTGAAGGGCAAAGAGCCGGCCGGCGTGCCGCGCAAGACGAAGGAGCCCCCGCTTACCCTCCCATCCCGCACCGGCGGCCAGGACCTCATCCGCAAAGAAGTCAAGCAGAGAGTGCGGCGCACTTGCCACCGTTGCTGTACGACCTTTGCGCCGGACGCCACGGAGTGTGAGAATTGCAAACACACCCGCTGCAAGAAGTGTCCCCGAGAACCGTATGTGACGGTCTTTTTTGCTCCGATGATACGTAGTGACATTGTACTGACTACTTACTCCCAGGGCGAAATTGGACAAGTATCCCGATGGGTATCCTGGAGATGCGGAACCGCCTGCGGAACCGCCAGCACGCACGTGGAAGAAACCGCGTCTGCGCGTGCGATACACCTGTCACCAGTGTTCGACCATGTACCGGTCCGGGGAAAGGACATGCTCGAATTGTGGGCAGGAGAAATGCCCGGAAACCATACGAGACCCGTACGTCTGACTCTTTTACTACGCATGTGTGTTTGTTTTTACTGACTTCATCCCAGACCCAAGAAACAGAAACCAGAGCCCGACCCGGATGTGGTGAGACGGGTGGAAGAGCGGTTGAAGGTTACGATCAGCGCTGGTTAGGAATGCAACTGGGAGCCGGTACTCTGGTCTCAAGCCGGTCTGTTTCCATGGATTCTCTTCTCAGTACAACAACACGACTTAGCGTCCACTCTTTTCTGACTACAATACCATTTGATACAGTGGAGCAGGGAGCCTCAGTCCTTGTTTTGGCAAAACCGCCCATCACAAAACGGCCTGTCTCAGTAGTTACCAGGAGAAGGATGCCTGACCAAACCCGGTGTAACAATCCACCTGCGTAGTTGTAAAACCAGACCAAACAATCGGCAGCCCAGCTGTCAACGCTTGTCTAGCCAAAACTGAACCCACTGTTTCGGAACGATAGTCTTGCTCTAAAATTATCCCCGGGGGTCTGGACACAGACAACCGAATCCCTACATGTATTCCGTACTTCTACGTACCTACTATTGGTCGAAAGAGCCCGAGTGCAGGTCGCTAACGGTGAGCTCTCATAACTTAGGAAACCGTTAGACTCCACTGGACCTGTCAACCAAACCCTAAAGTGGCTCTACCTATCTAATTGAAGCGATAGACGGGCTGGACGATAAGTACAGCCAGGAAGTGGGGAGCGGGGACCATAGCGGGAACAACGGTCGGACATGATCTGGGTCAAGATTAGGGAAATTGAGGGGTTCCAGAAAAGGTCACTTAGTACTAATTTCTGTGTACTTGTGTAGAGGGATTGGAACTAGTAGTTGGTCTGGTATGGCATGATTCAGGCCAATGGTCGCTTCGGTGCATCTCGGTCGTACCGGGAAAACTCCGGTGTTACCTTTCGAGCCCTACAGGTGGGTAGTATTAATAGAGGCGGTTATGTATGGTACTGTATGTAATGGTTGTACTGTACCAAGTATCTGATTGACTTTGATTGTGTTGGCTGACAGCGTAAGCGAGGGAACTTGTACATACAAGGGTGCACTCAGCAAGCAGAAGTAGATATGTACAATCATCTCCCATGGATCGAGGAAGTGAAAAAAAAAAAAAAAAAAAAAAAAAAAAAAAAAAAAAAAAAAAAAAAAAAAAAAGAAAAGAAAAGAAAAGAAAAAGACCAAAGCGCAAACAAAGGACGAGTAATTCCAAATTCTCTCTCCAAATGCCGACCAAATCCCGTCACCGTGGAATCCTGCAGCCCAGCCGGCTGGACAAGGATTCCCACTTTCGCTCCCCACCAGACATGTACGACGCCCACTTCGTCTGGAGTGTCGGGTCCGCTTGGCAACGAGGTATCATGACACTGACGGACAGGTGCTGGTCTGCCTGTCTGGCTGGCGGCCACCTGTCACGCCCTCTTTCGGACAGTTCCAGATTGACGGGTCGGTTGATGCTCGGGCCCGGGCGTCTATGAGTTCACTAGTTGCATGTATGACAGTCCAGATGGGCATGATCTGCTTGGAATTGACGGGCTCGGAGCATGCGATACAGCGTCCCGGTTCACGGAATCATTCCGAAATATAGGTCTGCTGCTTTCTATTATTATTATTATTTTCTATCTGATTTCTCTCATGAGTCGGCGTTTCGGCCACTAGCCGGGATTCAACGCTTGGACTGACTGACTGACGTGCCAAGGAACTTATGAGGCATGATCTCCGTTTTCTTCAGTGTTGGTCAAGCACTGGGATTCTCCGGCCGAGATAGGGGGTGCAGACTTGCGTAGCTTGTGAGTCGGGGCTTGGCTGATAAGGACGTTGCAGTTGAAGTGGACTGGGCTAGTTATATCCACAACTGAAGCTGTCCTCCGAGGCAGGTTGCTAAGCTGGTCTTTGTCTCCCTGAATTGAGTTAATCACCTTGCTGTGTAAGTTAGCCATCTCCCAACCCAAAGTAGATAACCGTAAAGTTTATACGAATCGACACACCTCACAGGATTCCAATTCCGACATGCTCTTCAGCATTCCCATGGTCCCCGACGTGTACGTCAACCATTGACGATCCACGATTAAGCTTCTCAAGAGAGCCCCCATCTAGTCAGACAAAGCAAGCAAGCCCAAACCAACTGATTCAGTCACATCGTCATTATGAAGGACTGATCCCCCGTGCTAAAAACGAATAACTCCGTCCATACTACGGCGTACGCCGGTCTAGTTAGCGCCGCGCCTCGTGTAAACATAGCAAAAGTAATCACTTTATTTTCAGTGCAATACGCTTATACTGGTTCTGGAAATCCCCGAGTCGGCTAGAGGGCGCTCGGGCCATTTCGACTATGGCTAGTTCTGGTGTCGTTGTGGTAGATCGTCCGGTTTTGGCAACGTCGGTCTGGTCGGGTTGACGGTTCCGGTGGGATGGCGTTGTGGGTTCAATAAGGTTTAACGGTGTTGGATTTGTTTGGAGTGGTTTCTTTGGGTGTGGTGATTAGTGAGGGGGTTATTTCATGGATGTTGTTAACATTGATTCTGGGATGGTGGCTTGTTTTGGTTGATCGACGGTGTATACTTTACTTTGTAAGTGTGATGTGCTGTCATGACCAGTATCATGATATCAATAACAGCCAGCAAGGGACAAGGAACCAAAAGACAAAGAAAGTACAGAAAAGTATAAAAGAAAAAAAAAAGAAAACAAAAGAAAAGCAACTCTGTTATTGTAACCACTGACTCGGAAACTTCAGTATTCCATGTGTACAGCAGCTCATGGCTGTGTAACGTTCTCTGCATTTATGCTTATTTGAACTGTATTACCCAGCCGTTATCTTGAGCAACTTTACACCAGTCATACCACACATTTTTGGATCGTCCAAAGCGAGGGCTCAAGGAATGAGCTTATGGTCATTCCCTATGATCTTCTCTAGTTTCGGAGGATTTCTGGGCTCTTCTCAATCTGTAAGGGTGATCCTCCGTATCTTATTAGGATTTTATTTCTTATAGTAGCTTTGAGATGAGCCCATTATTATTTCTGTTCTGTCCCATCTGGACCGTTTTCTTGTACCATGGAATTCTTAATTAGCCCCCCTTGGCGGTTCGGTCCGTGACCCGCCATGGTTTCCTTGGAAAGAGATTGGCTTAACCGAAGTATTATTGTATTGTATCGTGGGTAGGTATGGTATTACCTGGTATCACCGGATAAATTCAGACATGACCAACTCTTAATTATGACCAAGGTTTACCCATGATCTTCTTCTATAGCCCCAGAGGCTTATTTCTTTGTCTACCACGACGGATCAGAGAAGGTATACTCCGTACGCGCTCATGGACTATCGCTGCAGGCATACATCAGGCGAGAAGGCAACCATCGACAGCAGCATCCAGCGCCTTGCATCGGGGTTGCCGTCAGCAACGCGCGAGCGTCCTGTGAGGATGCTTCCTGCGTTTTCCCTCCTCGGGGCACGCCGTGTAACCTGAATTGAAGGGACTCATGGAAAAATTTTCACACATTCCCAGCAATGGGGTTGGATGCAGGTCCACTTTCCTGCAAGCTGCAATCCCAACACGACGCACGAGGCACATATGCTATCCACCTACAAGCAAAAACATGGAGGATGCTGTCTGGCTGCCTAGCTTCGACCTCGGACTTATGTAGTCCAGCAAGACAAATCAACGGTTGGAAATGGCGCCGTCGTTTTCCCAGAACTCTGGATGCGTGCAGATCCCCACGCAAACAACTCATCTGTTGGGACCGCCTCATTTAATGACTCGATTAGACCCGTCATGTTGCTCATCCGTATCTTGTCGGACAATTCTGCGCTCTCTCAGAGAGTCATTCCTTACAGACTCGGTGGAGACGAACAACAAACAAGGCTTTTTTCGGAAGGCAACTTCGCACGGCCCCGCCGTGAAGTTCCAGCGCAACGGAAACAAATAGGATCGGTCCCGCGGAACATATCCCTCCCTATATAACGATATTCCCTGTCTATATTGATCCACTTTTCGAGGGGCGATTCATGTGCCACCGGTTTGGGAGCGGTGGAGTCCCCGGTGAAATTTTTCTCACTTCGGTGGCCCGTTTTCTTCATCGGATCCCTGTCTGTTTCTTAGTATGACCAAGTCATGCACTGGTGGCTCGCCTAGGGTGTTATGCACTGGGCGCTTCAATAGGTAAGGCATGAAATGTCTGTCCTGTAATACAGTACTTCTATTCGTGCTGACCAACTTGCTAGTAGCTCTATTGCCGACTGGTGGCGCCGCATACACGTTGTTTCCGTCTGTTGTTGCAGTCGTTATGCAGCTCGATGTTTTGGTGGGTAGAACCTTTCTGTCTGTACCTGTTTATACGCGAATTACCAGTACAGAATGCGATCAAGGTCGTTACAGGTAATGGATTGAAAGCGATACCAGACATACTCGTTGATAATGTAAGATTCTTGCCGTTTACTTGCTCCTGTTTAGGAAGGTGCTCGGAGTATCCATGGACTAACCGAGTACCTTGTCTCTGTTTCTCCCTTCATATGATCCACATCAATTACATCAACTCCGATGAACAAATGTTTCTGGGCACATGAAAATGCTGTAACACTCCCTACCAACCGTTCAGTTCCCTGAAAACAAACTAGATGATGTCCGTACATCAATACCGTCGCGTTTTCTTGGACGGCCCAACAGATCCGAAATCAAGGCGCTGCTTTCGCTGGTCGCTGCATTGTGCGCATTTTATGTAAAACACACTTTTGGGGAAATATCCCATAGATTCATGTGCATGGTTCACTCCCACGAAGTCTGTCTGTGGCCAACTCAGGCACTCCTCACAGTATGCTCTATAGCAAGTTGTACAGCAGTACAAGAGCCCACCTGCCTTGCTACTTGTTTTCTCGCATTGAGAGCAATAGTGATGGGGGCATAAAAGCCTCTTTCCGCCACGGCGCATCTTGCCTATCGACTCGAGACACTCTTTGTGGAATGCCAGTGGACAAAGATCGCACTCTTGAGGGTTGAACTTCCGGCAGAGAAAACATGCCTGGAAAGGTTTTAGCCTTGCGATTGGCTTGAGACTGTGGGGATCACTACTTACAGCTTCGTGCGTCATTTTCTCCTTCAGGTCCGTCTGCGACAGATTTGGACATCTCTTGCTGGATAGGCTCTCGAGTCGGATACTATCCTTTCCCACGGAGAAGCCGTCGATTATAACAGTCCGCTCCTTTCCAATGCGTCTATCTGCTCGACAAAGATCCGTAGGCAAAGCTTCATAGATGGAAAATGATCTGAATCTTGTGTCGACCTTTTTCCCGTCGAAAATATTGGTTTTGACTCGCTCCGAGCGCGCCAGCCAAGCCTTTTCTTGGTGTACATCGATAGCGGTGTTTTTCCCGTTTAGCTCAATAGACTGGTTGCTAACACATAAATTGAGGATTGATTTCCAGTTGAACCAGCTCAATTCTGTTGCATCCAACTGGTTAGACGTTAAAACTGCTCGACTGCGGACTAACGCAGACAAGTCCTCCGTATCCATTGCGTAGGCTAGTCCCCGAGAATCAATCATATTTGCAAATGCTTTCATATCATGCGCTGCAGTCATATCCTCCATGACTTTACTGGCAACATATGCTTTCTTGACAATGCGACGGCTGATCTGTTCTTCCACTGTGCCCTTTGACTGGAGCTTAAAGATACTCACCGGGTGATTCTGTCCCATTCGGTGGACTCTCGCTTCAGCCTGTCGCATAACTTGGGGGTTCCAGTCTTCATCCAAGAAGATAACCGTTGAGGAACTAATTAAATTGAGACCCTCGCCGCCAGCCCTTATCGAAATCAGAAAGACCATGTATCTGGGATCCTTCTGGAAGAGGTAAATCGAGAGGTTCCGTCGTGCGTTAGATGTGCTTCCGTCTAATCGAACATATCTCACAGGATCGCCGTTCCTCTGGATAGTCAACAGAAGATCCTCACAAAGATTCAAAGCCTGATTGAAGTTCGAAAATATGACTATCTTCTTCCCTCTCTTTAACACAAAATGCTGGACCATTTTAAGGAGCACAATGTATTTTCCAGAGTTTGTGATAACATGTGCTCCGAGTTCGTAAGGATCCGGAATCGCATCATCCAACAGATACGGGTGGATCGAACACTGGATTTGCGAATCAGTTAAACTGGCATACTAGGTAAGAACTTATGGCTCACCTTGCGTAGTTCCATGAGGATATTGCTCAATATTCTGTACTTTCTCTTTTCAACGTGCTTTGCTGAAGATAGCCCGGATGTGCCAGCATTGAAACCATCATTCTGCTCACACATCATATTAGACTTTTGGTGTTTGCTCATCTCACGCTTATGGCCGAATGAGATGCTCCCATATCCGCCTTGAATGGAATTTTCTATGCCGGTAAGTATCCTCAAGTACAAGGAACGTTGAAACTCTGACAGAGGTACTGATAAAACTGTATCTGTCTTCTGTGGAATTGAAAGCCCTACTTCTGGGGATTCCTTAACTCTGCGGAGCATGATTAGGCCGAGGAAGCTTTGGACTTGGTCGAAGAATTTGGGATCGAACTTCCCGTCTCTGAGCGAAAATGCCTCTTCGAACGGCTCTGACGTAGACGGCACAAAGACATCAGGGTAGAGCCAATGGAAGATTGACCACAATTCCCTTAAATTGTTCTGTATTGGGGTTCTGAGTGTCGACAATGTTAGTCGTTTGAGCAAACGGTACCTGCAAGATGTGTTCTTACCCCGAGAGGACGAGCTTGTATTCAGCCCTGATACTTTGAATGGTTTGGGCTCTGTGCGATTGGTTATTCTTGATGCGATGGCCCTCATCAAGAACCACATAATTCCATACGAACTTTCGGAACCATTTGATGTCTGAGGTCAACGTTTCGTAGGAGGTTATAACAATGTCCACCGCCGGTGTCAAACTCCTCCGGCTTTTACCTCTGGCAGGAGTCAGAATCTTCTTGACTGCCTCCTTTTTGCTCGGTGTTCCGTGGAACTTGATAGAAGTGAGCTCCGGTGTCCACTTGTTTATCTCTGAAAGCCAAACTTCCATCACACTGAATGGACAGACAATCAAGAACGGACCAGGCTTTTCAAGTCGCACAGTATTATCGTGCCTCTTGATGCACTGGAAGAGGGCAAGGGTCTGGATAGTCTTCCCTAGGCCCATCTCATCTGCGAGGATTCCACCAATGCCGTTGTTTCGGAGATACAATAGAAATGACAGCCCTCGAAGCTGGTACGGTTTCAGTTGAGCTTGAAGTCTATGCCGCATTGTCAGTCGTTGCCAAAGCTGGAGAGAATACTAGGCTACCCTTACCCTGTAGGCTGTGGATTCAACGGTTTGTATGGTCGCACAGTGGCAGTCCACGTCTCCTTGTTTTGATAGAATTGCCCCTTGTCACCCAGAAGTGGAAGGACGATGTCTTTTATGGCCGTGAAAAAGTTGTTCCTCTTGCTTTCAATACCTTGCATAATATCCACCGCAGACTTGGCCACACAGTAACCCTCGCGTGAAACGGTCGAGTGTGACCTGATGCCTAATGTGTGGTCAGTTCAGAGCTTACATAAATTGAACGAACCAGTTCAGCAGTTACCATCAGTATGAACTTTACTTTCCGGTTCGTGGAACGGCAATGACGACGTCATTGGGCTGAGTGTCGTGGAGGAGAGGCTGCCCAGAGGGCTGCTCCACGGAGTTGGAGGCGAGCTGGAGCTGTCGGACCGAGCGTCTTGAAGGTTCTGGTCATCCATGCTGGATTGAGAGTTATCTGAGTTGGAGTTGGATTTCGAGCTGGTCTTCCAGGAACCCGTCGGCCAGCGCATATAGGAACTCCATGAGAATGAAGGCAAAGATAGCCAAGCAGGCCCAACACTTGAAGACACCATGTCTGCGTAGTGGTACTTTTGGTGAGATGATGCTGAAACGAGTCTGTAACTGCTGTCCCCTTGTTGGAGCTGCCGTTGGGAGACGTTGGGATGCCATTTTGACTAGAGAGAGAGTATATATCGACACCTTGCCTATCCAGGTGTTACAACAGCTCTGAGACAGTTAATGTTGTGTTGGGCCAGGAGTAGGAGATGTGTGAATGGTTTATAGGTTTAGAATATCATACTTGCTGGGACATTAATAACACAAAAGTGCACTGTGTTCCTTGAGGGCCCCTCTGCCCAGAAGTTTAGCTCATATAACCTATGACCAAAGGATCAAATGTGAGGAAGGGAATGACAGAGTGAAGAGTCATTATCCACTACATTCATGCACGGTGACCACATTAGGTTGTAGTGATAGAACATGTCAGGTCCTTGAAGTGACGCAGCTAAAGAGTTGTTCACCATTCCTCTGGTTAACACATAATTCACAGGGGCTTGTGAGGAAGAATATCCCACCTGTCAGTCCGGGATGGAGCAATCTGCATTCTTTGAACATGATTATAGAGCCCTAAGCAATGTACATTCAATACTCCACCCTGACAATATACTCCATACTTATATAAATTGAAGTCCATAAACTAGCCCCAAATCAAGCAAGCACATAAACAGACAAAAGAAGAAAAAAAAAAGAAAAGAAAAAAAGAAAAGAAAGAAATCAAACCCTAATCCTCCGACTCATCATCTCCGTCCCAGCCGACTTCTCATACTCTGCACTCCCCAAGCCCCCCCTCCTCCCCAACGCCCTCCTCAAAACCCACTCCTTACTGCTAATCACCTCGTCCTCCCCTCCCTCCGGAATACACTCCGACCCCTCCAACCTGCGCAAGACAACCTCATCCCCGGGCCTCGCAAAATAAACCAGACTATACCTGGTACACGCCGCCTGCTCCCCAGGAGGTGCCACAACACGATGAATATTCGACCTCAGCAACCCATTCGTGAACTTCACCAACGCATCCCCCAGATTCACAATCGCATGGCCCGGCAGCGGCCGCACATACGTCCACTCTGCGTCTGCCCCCGCCGGGAGAACCTGCAGCCCGCCCAGCCGGTTGAAGAGGATAGTCACGCTGCCGAAGTCGGTGTGCTCGCCCATCGCTGTGCGGCTGTCTCGTAGTGGTTGCGGCGGCGCTTTGATGAAGCGTACTTGGTCGCTGCTTCGGGATTGGAGGCGGTGGAGGTCGGGGAGGGTCGACTCGGGGAGGCCCAGGGTTTTGTTTAGGAGGGTGAGTACGAGGATCGTGATGTCGTGCGAGAGTGTGATGAAGGTTTTCAGGTTGGTGTGTGTTTCGGGGGTGGAGAGAATTTCTGGGCCTGGGAGCGCGGGGGAGAGGTTGAGGATGGCGTCTTTGGAGACCTTTTTGTATGCCAGTTAGTTAGTATATTCATATGTATATGTATGTGTATGTATCTTAGTGATGATGATAGTGATAGTAGTGGTGGTGATGGGGAAGGGGACAGAATCTACATTATAAAACTCATTCCTATCCATATTCCCCTCTTTATCTGCGATCATTGCCCCCTGGGCTTTATACCCATGGTAAGAACCCTGGGCACTGAAATCATACTTCTGTTTCTCGGCGAGCGGCAGCTGGAATAGCTCCGTGCCCGTTTGGAATAGCTTGTCTGCTGTGGCGAGGAGGGTAGTCCCTGACTCAGTGCCCTGCAGGTCCAGGTAGAAGAACCCGATGTCGCAGCATGCTTGCATAAACCGGTCTATTTCTGCTTCGTCGTGGGCGAGCAGTTTGCTGAGCGCGAGGCGGGTTAGGGGCGCTGTGGGGACGTTGTCTGGGAATGGGGGGAGGGTCTCTTGGGTGGCCATTTTGTTGGGTTTGGGCTTGTTCTTTTGTGTTGCTTTGTGTTGGATGTTTGAAGTTGAAGTTTGATCCTGATCTTGATATAGATGTAGCCCTAATGCGGGGAAGGAGGTGAGCCGAGGATTTGGGCCAGTTAGCGGTTTGGTTCTAGCCGATGGATGGGTTTACGAGGTTACGTTGGGGTCGTATGGTTTTGTTTGAGTTTGGAGAGAGAATTCCTTTTGGAGACAGTGGATTTGGTTCACTGTTGTTGTATTGGTGGGCGTTCGTTGGATCCAGTCTTGACCTGTAGCCTGTCAAGACTCAGGAGGACTACTGTGTTGGAGAACCCGGCATACGAATTGCACATACGACAATTGGCTAATGCCAATTGGATCTCAAATACTCTTTGAACTTTCGATACCTCGGTATGCTAATAAGTGCATGTCATAGATTGTGTTCATATTATACTGAGCTTCGAATGTTGTCTGCCTGACTAGGGCCATTTTTATTCCTGGGATGTTTGAAAAGAGAGAGATTCTTGTAACTAACCACAAACACACTAGCATATGAGCTGCTCATAGCACCACTGGACATTATACATGAAACGAATACACAAAAAGTCAAGGTATACTCGAAGTCATATACTAGGTAGACCGTAGCCGTGGAGTAAAATACTCCATTTATATTCCATCGTCCCAAAAAGGCAACCCCGTGATAAACCTAACCTTATCAGCCCAGCAAAAAGTCCCGATAACAGAACAATTTCTCTCCAACCACGCAACCACCCCGAACACCTCCTTCAACACCACACCAACACCCAGAACCAAGGAAACAAAAAGAAAAAAAGGAACAGGCGAAAGGAAAGGGAAAAAATGACCACCCCAAAACCGCACATCGCGCAAACCCTCCTCGAGCGCGCCCACTCCCCCGACACCGCATCCCAACTGTTCAAAGAACGCATAAAACAGAAACCGCTCTACCTGCGCCCGACATCGCCCACACCCGAAGACAACCGCGACCGACGCCGTCGCCACCGTCTCCAGAAGAAAGCGTACTTCCTCCGCAAACAGAAGCCGCGGCCGCTGTCGGCGCGCGAGAAGCGCGTCTCCGGTATCTACGACCTGCCCAAGGAGGAGTGCAAGTATGCGATTTTCAAGGGCCTGCATGCCATGTGGGTGGGGTATATGCGAGAGGTGCTGGATCTCGGGGGTCGCAAGCCGGAGGAGGTTAATGTGACGGCGTTGTCGCATGGGAGTAAGCTGGTTAGTGCTGATTTCCACGGGGCGGAGGTCGAGGTTGTGAGGAGTCGGTGTGCGGGGAGGGTGGGCGTTAGGGGTATTGTGGTGCGGGATACGAAGTTTACTTTTGTGGTTGTTACGGAGAGGGATGAGGTTAAGAGTGAGTTTTCTTTCCTTCTTTTTTTTTTTTTTTTTTTTTAGTCTGTGGTGAGTTGGTGAGCCTAATGTTGATGCTGTTTGCGATAGCTTTGCCGAAGGAACAGACCATTTTTCGCTTTCGGGTGCCGTTGTCTGCACCGGGTCAGGATGATATGGATGTGACGGAAGACGCAAGTGCGAATGCTGGTTCCAATGCTAGAAAGGACCTTACGTTTGAGCTTCATGGGAGTCAGTTCCTGAATCGGCCGGTGGATCGTGCAAACAAGAAGTTCAAGTGGCGCAATGTGGACTATCTTTGATTGATGGTGTGGTATTCGCCTATATTTTTATGATGTTGACGACACTCTACGACGGGGTAGGCCCGGCGAAAAGACAATCCTTATTTGGCAGTCATGCTGGCAGCGGAGCGCGGATGCTGAAGGAATGAAGCGCAAAACGCGACGCAGAGGATACCGGCGCGGAGTCGATATAGGAGAGGTTTCCTGGCGTAGCCTGCGCATTGCCTACGCATTGCCTGCCCCCAAGCATGACCAAGCCTCCGGCATCCCATGCCGTCCGTTGGCATCAAATCTCTTTCGGAGGAACCATCGAAAGTAGGGATGCTGCGCCTCGAAGGCCGCAGCTCTGCTTCTCCGGCCTTATATTGAGCTTGTCTTACATATGCTACAGGATGTGAGCTATTAGGCCATTAGCCAGTATTTAGACGTATGCTATTGAGGTGGTTTAATGGGTATCATTTTGACTAGAACAAATGCTTCTCTAGTTGCATATAAGATGATAGAGCTTCAATGTGATAATCGTGTCTCTTATGACAACCATAGAGACTCGACATTTGACTTGATTTAAAGTCGCACCGTCAAAGACCTGCCACAGGTCCCATGGCTAGACCGAGCCGTTAGCATATGCCACTAACCTCAGTCAAGCACAGGTATGCTTAATTGGTCGCCAGTGCGGATGTTCACCGACATCCATAGTACTCGTGGGCTATGTATATCAAGCATCAACAGTGGCGTTCCGTTGATCGGATATCTTCCATCCAGGAAGCGTCGAGGGCTGTGCACATGTTCCATACAGCCTATCTGCTGAACGATATGTCTACATCGCCGATGTGCGGCGTGAGACCGGTCCGTCAAAGTCTGGCAATCCAGGACAATAGTCTCACATTCCTGCCCACTCAATGCTGAAAGTTCTCACATTCTCTTCACCGGCAGTGTCCTCCTTCTTCTCAGCACCTCCAATCATAAATGCCTTCTTCACACCCGTGCCCAGTCGACCTCCGGCGATAATGTCCATCAAATCGAGCTCTTCGTCCCATTCGGCAGAGACAACCAAGAAATGAGAGTGGAATCGTAAGGGATCGCCCGGATAGGCAAGATATTGGCAGCCAAATCGAAGGCCCGGGGACAGGAAATAACCCTCGGCATGGAGATGAGCAAACAAAGGATAAGACGAGGGAGCCTGAGGTATTGGCAGCAGCTGCTCGGCAGAGGGCTCAGCTGGGAGAGGCGGACGAGCCGTTGCTGGCGTGATGCCCAGTGCATTCTCGGGGGCGACAGTAGTGGAGGTACGTCGAGAAGTAGTTTGACTATGGCTTGACGGTTGACTGTCTGCGAAGAGGTCTACCAATGGGTCATCCTTAGGCCCATCAGCGACAGCAGGAGCGGGTTCAGGATCCTCGGATTTCTTTGATTTGGCAGCTTTTGCTTTCTTTTCTTCTAATTTCTTTAATGATTTCTCTCTCTGTTGCTCCTTCCGGCTGGCTTGCAGCCGCATAGCTTGAAGGCCTTGGGATTCTAGCTCACGGAGATACTTCTTGCGATCCTCCTCCATCAGGGCTTTCATGCCTTGGTTCTGAACTTTTACCTCGTCTACAATGCAAGCTACACCTTTCTCCACCAGCAGCCTCGCCTCCTCCGGCATCAGCTCCAGCGGCAATCCCAGGAAGACATTTTGTTGTGGGATTTGCGGCAGAGTGCCTATCAGGACACCACAGATGTGATGCTCTCGTCTCAAATACGTAACGGCATCAATAGAGAAAAGATAGTAGTTACCCGCGATATACGAGATCGGGATGGGGAGGGTGGGCTCCGTAGTCATTTTGTTTATGTGAGATGTTCCAGTTTATCAGTTGCACTGCTATAACCAGTTTGATGTTAGCATATTGTTAAACACAAGAGATGCAAGATCAACATGGTAAATAAAGAATGCAAGTCATTTTCGATACATTTCTCAATCACATATGCTCGTTTTATGAGATATTATAGTGAGCTTCAGGGGATTGACAGATTATAGTATTTGTATAATCATGCAAAGACAGCAATATTAAGAAAATCAAGACAGTAACTTACCATCAAATACAAGAGTACATAACAAGATGAAGAGATGCTCTGGAATTTGGCCAGCAAAACCAGAGCTATGTCAATTGCGGTTGTGTCTAAGTGATGAGGAAGAAGAATGTAAATTTTGGTGGGAGGAGAAGCTCTTAAAAGCTAAACCCTGACGGAGCCTTTCCTCTTCGCGTTAGTCACATGGAGTGGGTTTCTCATGCCTGAGGCAACATATTCTACCATACTCCGGAGACTAGAAAGCAGGTCCGTCAGCTATCTCTGCAACTTGTTGTTGAAACTTAGGCCTAACATCATCTGATCCATCCGATAACGGCTGGATTTGACGCAGTATCGGTCTAACTATCAAGAAGACTCGCTTCAAACAAGCAATATCGCGTCACGTGCTGTACATGGTTGCGCTAAGCCTGGAGCGGCACTGCTGATCAGCCCAAACAAGAAACCATCTCTATTTCTTTTCTATCCTATGCTAGCATACGGTAACACGACCAGCTGTAGCCGCGATGAATTTCCTTTTACTCCTCTTTGTCGTGTTTTTTGCGCCTCTCCTTCTACTCCTAGGTAAGTGACTCCCCTACCGCTAACGGGTCTCCATCGTTAACACCTCGGAGCGTGGCTTGCTCTATCGTCTTGCCTAGGGAGGAGCCTTCGCTCTCGTTTCACGCAGAACTCACTAAGAGAGGGCATGGATGCCTACGGAAGGGACTATCTCCGAGGCATGGCTGGCTCTGGGCCTGCCATGTCTGAACAGATCGAACTGGAGGATATGCTGAGAGATTCGGACCATGAAGAATGATTTGCGGACTTCCTTCTCCCTCATTCAGCATAGCAGCGTCAGTTTAGAATTCTAGATCCGCTTTTTTTGGCATTCCGCCTTGACCCGCGCCTTCTTGGGCTTCCTTATCTCCTTCGGCCGGCGGTAAACTGAACGGCTTAATTTCGAACTTCCGTCTGCTGAGAGTAAACGCCCAATCTTGTCCAACATTCTGATCACTACCCCCGCCCCGTTCGTGTAGCACAGGCAGTCGATGGGTTTTGAGCACGCCTTGCGGTGGCTCTTCACCTGCTGTCGCAGCGCCTGAGGTTGCGAGGGCATCGGCAGAGTGGGGGAAAGGACAAAGCTCGATTACACCATCGGTCAAAAGTTCGACCCATCGCACAATCCCCGAAGAGCGGGGGAACAGGGACAAAGGCATTGTTATCATAGCTGTGACACGCGCAGAGGGTGCGCTCATCAAAGCCTTTAGTGAATGAAGAAACGGCAGAATGGTCTCGGGCTGGCTGGCCTCAGGCGGATAGAGCGTGGGGTTGAGCAAGGAAGGTATGATAATGCGGTGGACCGTATTGGGAGGGCCTTGGGCGATGGCGGCTTGAAGACGCTTATGAATTGAGATGAAGAGGGGTTCATTTGTGCGGGCGAGAGGGATATACGTGATATTGGCAATAGATGGGTGGGTTAGACGTTTGGTGAGGTCGAAAGCGTGGCAGAATGCTGGCTGCTGAGCCTGGTCTCCGTTGGCCGCGGACGAAGCTTGATCTCCCGTGGTTGCGACGGGCGCTGCATCTGTTAGGCTCATTCGCGATTCACACAGTTTCTGTAGATAGCAGTGACCGCATCCTATGTCTTACCTCTTGAACCAGCGACACCGGCCCCAAACTCCCCCAAACGCTCATACCTCCAGGCAATCTTCATGCGTTCTCCCTTTCGCTTGGCCGGTTTCTCATCTGCGACGTCCGCAGGGCCTATCAAGCCAGGAAGGCTTCTGCCCCATTGCTCGGGCATCCCGACAACGTGAACCTTTTGGTCCTGTACGACACCTTCTGCTGCATAGTACCGTAACAATGCGCCTGCAAAATCCGTAGTTCCATTCTCTTCAATTAAGAGAGTCTTTCCAATGGGAAGCCCGCCATGTCCAGCTAGGAGGTTATCCAGCGACCGGCTACCTGTCGAAGTAGTCGGGCGCCCATCATCGGGAGAGGGTCGGATTCCGGGATTTGTTTCTGGTACGGTCGCGGCTTGCTGCGGTTGCGCAGTAGAATTGAGAGCCGTGGCGCGATCGACGCCTGTTGACAAGCCAATATTTCTTTTGCGAAAGGACATTCTGTGCTGTAGTTGACTTGTGAAGGTGTTGTTGCTCTTGAATACTTTTTTGAGGAATGGCTGCGGGGCAGCTTCCGGGCGGAGGTAAAAGCGGCAGTGCGCTAAAAAGTCGAGCAAAAAAGCTGCGGCGATTCCTTTTGCAGTTTTCGGCCGCGTCCCCGTCAAACCTTCTACTTCCTCCCACTCCGTGACTTTGCGCCTCTTCTGCAATTCTCCATACTCTACTGTTCGAATTAGCCGAGTTACTTTGTGTCGTCGCAGCCATGTCGGACCCATTGCTTTTCGAAGACACTTTCACCATCACTGGTGTCAACCAGCAGAAATACGATCGTGTTTCTCGCCTGACCTGCACGTCCTCTGATCACACCTCTACCTTCACTCTCGATGTCAACACTGAACTCTATCCTTGCACAACTGGAGAGTCAGCGTCCATGGCTCTCGCTTCGACCCTTTCTCTGGACGGCAAGGAAGACACTGGCTCGAAGGGCTGGAGAGAAGTCGGTATGGGCGAACAGACCCTGGCGAACGACTACGACTATGTTTGCCATGGAAAGGTGTACCGTTTTGAGGAGGGAACTACCCAAGGGAACATGTAGGTAGACCTTCATTGTACCGGGATTTGCCTGGTCACGCGCATAGCGATCAAGTCCCGGAGCATTGGCTAATTGAGACCACTAATAGGGCGGTTTTCATCTCTTTCGGTGGACTTTTGCTCTATCTTGAAGGACCCTACAAGAAGCTAGCACCCTTGAGGATCGACTATGTGTATCTACTTCTGAAGAAATGAAGGAAACGAGGAAAGATATCATCCCATCAACACTTCGTATCGAAAATTCATGGGTATCTGTGTCCGGGGTCGACATTCGGACTGACAGAAAAGTTTGCATTAATTGGGATGTTTGGTTGCAGCGTCGGCGTTTGATTGGTGATTGGGTATATCAATAGAATATCAAACAATTCTCAACATATGTGTTCTCATCTACCAGTTAACTCAAGGTCGGTGACCACTCAGTTTGCGAAATGCGACGCTGTTGGGAATTCAAAGCGGCGGTGCATCCTCGTCAGGATCTGGAAATAGTCGGGTTCATTCTCAGGGGTCAAGATGCCATGCCTAATGAAGAAATCAATGAAGACGACTGCGCAATTGGGCTTGAACTCCCCGTTTGCAAGAGCCTTCTTCGTTTCTTCAACGGTATACAACTTAAATTCTTCCACCTCACCGTCACTGGGCTTGGGAACAATGTCCCGATTAAGCTTGATGTCGTAGACATACTCTACCTCTGGTTGTAGCAGATCGACTTCGCCTCCGGCCCGAGAGTCCCGCACATAGAAATACGAAACGCAACCTACTGACTTGGCAGTGGCCCTGATGACGTCCCCAGGCAGAGATGCCTCTTCCTCTGCTTCACGAACAAGACATTCAAAGGGACGTTCGTTGGTGCTCATTCCCCCGGCCACGGAATTATCGAGCATTCCAGGGTATGTCTGCTTGGTCTTTGCGCGCTTCGGCACCCAGAACTGCAGACCTTGCTCGTCTTCCACGTAACAGGTGGCGTGCACACCATACGACACAACACCAAACAATGGGGTGGCGCACCGTTCCATCTCGAGGAAGAACTTACCCCCGGGGGCATAAACGGCGTACATTTCATTCCGCCACCCCTTTAGAATCTCAAACCTTCCCCGTTTGGCCTCCGCTCTCAAGGTCTCATCCATGACCTTACTGCGCTGCTCCGGAGTTGCATCTGCAGCAGTGTTCAGTGTGACGGTCTGGTTGGTAGAGTCCACTGTCCAGTGTTCAGCGGGCCAGTGGAACTTGGCCACGGCCGAGTTGGGTATGTATCCCAATACCGCATCGCATCCATTGACCTTGAAGGCGTGGTGTTTCTTTAAGTGGGCTGCGTAGAATGCGGGGTTATCCTCGTAATATGGAAATCTGTTCGGGAATGTTGGTATTGATAATAGGTAGATGAGAGGGGGCCGATTACTTATCGCATTCATCAACCAGGTCCAGGTTGGATTTGGCCATTGTGTATGCAACCAGGTCCAGTGTAAAGTTAACTAGCAAACTATGCATGCATACATATTACATGCAATACAATGTGTCTGGCAAAACATGTGACCAGCTGGATGCCCACGCAGCCATAACAAGTTAGGCTGGTCCACAGCCCTTATCGATAAGGGCAGGCGGACGATTTCGTCACCAAGCTTTTCTTTGCGATTCTACCATATGGAACCCCCAGGGAAATTCTCCCCAGCTCCAGTAGCTACGACCACCGTTCTTTCTTACACAGCTTGGACAATGCATCTTCTCCCCAAATCACCTGTATAACCAGACTATAAACCACTTAATCTGCATCTGTCCATCCATTCTTTGACGTCCAATCAACCAGATACCCCACTTGCATTTGTTTATCGCATTGTTTCACTACTGAACTACTACTTCTCCCCCCGCCGCCATGTTCTCCGTCATAATTCCAGGCAGACCCTGCCTCACAGACATCGTCCCAGTCGACCCGCAACCCAATGGCCAAGCCACCAAATTCGCCTTCACAATCCCGCTCACCCCGGACCTCTCCGACCTCGTCGTCTTCCTCCTCCCCGGCACTGTTCTGCCCCCAGACACAGCCGCCGCAATCTACATCCAGTTCCCCTCCGACCCCAACGGCTTCCGCTTCATCGGCGCCCTCGCCAACGAAAAGCCCTCCTCCATTCTCCCCACATCTCCACCCCCAAACCTCCAACCGGGCATGACAGCAACATTGGGAATCTCACTCGAGCCCATCGCAACCGTCGCGCCGCAGCTCGAGGCCCTGGAGGCCGAAAAGGGCGCCTCGGGCCAGCTAGTCCGGCAGACGAGGCAGATCACGACCAAGGTGCTCGCACAGCGCATTATCGGGAATGCGTTTAATTTCCTGGCCAGCTTTGCCTCGAGTGACCAGGATGCGGTGCCGTTGAAGGCTTTCCGCGATTGGTGGTCGAAGTTTGAGCGGAAGGTGGAGATGGATCCGTCGTTTCTGGAGAGGGAGGATCCAAGTGCTAGTGGGTGATTGTCTTTTCCTTTGGATAAGGGGAGTTTTTGCTTTGGAGTGGCTTTTTTGACTGGGATTGGTTGGGGGCGTTGTTTGTGTCGCTATTTTTAGATACCGGATTTGCGGTATTCTTACTTGCATGGGCTATATTGTCGGTATGGGGGTAATGCGCATTGCGCTTGTCCTTGGAGGATTTATCCACCTGCGCGGTGTCTGCGCGACAGCTGAAACTATACTGGAATATGACCAGAGCTTCATGAAGAGGCCCAGGGTGCCAGATGCTCGGGGATATTGAACGCTCGGGCGCTATCCATACCTATCTCAATTGCATTGCGTTGGTCTATCGGCGTGTTTTGTTGTCGTCAATGGGGACCAGGCCAGGAATCTTTTACAAGAAGATAGAATTCATGTGCCTCAAATATATATACAATTGTCTCCTCTATATACCGTCGCTATAAACAAGGTGAGGAATACAAGCCATAGTCTAGTTGTTGCAGCAATCGATGCCAGTAGATGGGTATTTATTCAATCTCCCCAAGCAAAAACTGCAAGAAAACAACCAAAATATCGAACCCATCATGCGCCAGCTCCGTTCTAGCCAGTGCATCCTCACTCTGCTCTTTCGAGAAAACGCCATCCCGGGTCCGCTTGTTGACAATCTCGGTAACGATGAACCCGTTGTATTCCGGATGACCCTGGACTGTTATTAACTTGCCCGGCAGGTACATGCCCTGTAGGGCGCACTTGGGCGAGGAGCCCAGGGGTATCACGGTCGGGGGACAGCTGTGGACGATGTCTCGGTGCATTTGGTGGATGCGCTATCATGGCATACTGTTAGAATGGAAGGTGATAAGAAGATTGGGTGTATGGATGAGGTGGTAAAATGCATTGATGAATGCGAATAGCCACAGGGGTGCACTGCGTACCAGTTTATCCTTTCCAAAGAGTTTCTTCCCCTGATCTGTCAAGTCCATGTTGCAGACTGCAAGCTCCCAGCCGGCATCGCTGCGGCCGACCTTGACGCCGAGTGCGCGGCCGATGATCTGGTGTCCGAAGCAGATGCCGAGGAGTTTGACGCGGTTGTCTTGGAGGGCTTTCTGGGTGTATTCGACTAATTTGAGGATCCAAGGGTCGTTTTCAAAGGAGTCATGTTCTAAGGTACGTCAAGTTAGCAAGATGAAAATTAGAGCTTAAGGTTATCAGGTGTGCCGCCGTGATGTGTGTATGTAGAGGGCCAGCGCTCTAGCATACTTTAGGCACTCACTAGATCCAGTCTGCACGATCGCATCAACATCCTCCAATTTGGGGTACTCTTGCGCATGCACGACATCCCATCGAGTAATGTCAAGGCCAGCCTCGGGATCTAATCCCAGGGACTTGGCGCATTCGCGGAAAAGTTGAGAAAATAAGCCGTAGTAGCCATTATACCTTTTATCCACACTTTCTATTGGAGTGTCGCATTCAAGGATGGCGATCCGGAGCGGGGGGCGCATTTTGGCGACGGGGTGAGATCACAGCGATGATTGTCGATGTCACAGGGTAGGACGTGATGGAAGATCAAGGTATCAAGAAACTCTAAAGCCAACGGTTTGCAGATCCCACGCAATAAACGAGTTCCGAAGGAGTCGATGGAGAGGTGCAGGACGCAGTTGAGTCATTTTGTACCCCTGGACGCCACCGCCTTTTTGGTCAGGCAAATCCTACGAGTTTAAGGTGGCGATAGGGTTTGATCTTATAAGGTTTCTGGTATTATAATCCTGTTCCTTTGGCTCATTCCTGCCGCCTTTGCTTTTTCCGGGACATCGGAACGTTTAATACTTGGTTATCGCAAAGTCAGTAAGTCTTCCGGGTGTTGAGATCGGATTAGAGTCCGGCTTATGCTACCATGTATTTCGGATAGTACTCCGAAGTATCGATATAAGCACAGGCCACAGCTGTCTTTCACATAGTAGTGCAGGAGACTTCAAACGTAATTGATATGACAGCAGATTCGTGCGTCCTTAATAACAGCCGCCAAGAGAACGGCCTGTCTTTATCTTAGCCTTTGTATGGCCAATTGTTGTACTCGTCTCGAGCAAGCGGCAAATCGGAAACGACAGCCCTAGGTTGAGGGACTCGATGGGTCTGTGCCGGGGATCCCAACCAGTGGGACGGCGGCAATATACTTCGTATGGATGCATGAACGCTTGGTGCGGATGACACAATTCCGGGGACATTTTGGTCATCAGGTCCCAATCTGGCCATAGACAAGCTGCAGCGGAATGGACAAAGCAAGTCAAGGTAAGGTAAGCAAGACAAAGTGGGTCACAGATTTATGAGCAGACCGCACTTATCAGTGACTAAAGAGGGGTTGAAATACCCTCAGTGCATCAGCGTGCATGCGGCATTTTCATTAGCCTTGGCCGTCTTGATGTTTCCTTCTTCTGCGACTACGGCTACTCTTCTTCTGTATAGAGGACAAAAAGGAACATGAGATTACGGATGTTCATGATGTATTTCGGGATTGAGTCAAACATTGAAGTGAGAAATTCAATGGAGAGACAAATACAATCTCATTCCCGCCTTTCCGTACCCGAGTGGGGACCCGAAGTTCCCCCCCACTGGGACAAGGTTGGCTCGAGTCACAGCACGAGATGACTCCAACCCACTGCATTAGCGTCGCTCTCATCGTACAGCCTCGACTATAAAAATTTCTGTACTGAAAAGCCAAATGCGACCAACATTTCCTCCTATTTAACTAGACTGTAGCAGCCCCCCGAGCGAGTTGATTCTGGAGATGATTTTACACTTCTGACTTCACAATCTAAGGAATAATTTTTTTAAATACAAAATTCAAAAATTCAAAATCAAAAATATCTTTTTATTACACACGGATTATATCTAAAAGAGTTTTCCTTAACTCAGTACATCACCCCGCCACCTTCCTCGAGGGATGCATGAAAACCCGCAATCATCACGCGTTGGCGTCAATGAGTCAACTCCTCTTCTCAATCATGAACAGTCCCATGCAAACTACACCAGTGATCATAGCAACAACGCCCTAGAGACGGGTGATTCATCCACAGCATACACTTCCGATGATGAGGAGCCTGTGATCACCCTCTCGAGAGTCACTTCCATAAACCAGGGGCTGGAAATCGAACCAAATCTCGAAAGGATCCCTTCAGCAGGGGCAGCCACCAAGAGAGCGGCAGTAGATCCCGAAGGCAGGTCTCCGAGTGAAGCCACCGGCTATGCCTCTCGATTTATCAATGTCTCCCCGACGAGATTCTGGCTAATCTTCGGCGGGGTCCAAATGGGATATATTATTGGTTTCTTTGACTCGACTTTGATGGCGTCAAGTCACCCCGTCATCACATCCCATTTCCATGCCTCGAATTCTGCATCGTGGCTGTCAACAGCCTTCCTTCTGACCTCAACCGCTTTCCTTCCTTTGTTCGGTCGCGTATCCGACACTTTTGGCAGGAAGCCGGTCTATCTTTTCGCCATCGCCGTCTTCTTCCTGACTACTGCCTGGTGTGGTATGGCCCAGAGTATCGGGAGCTTTATAGCGGCTCGAGCCTTCTGCGGACTGGGAGCCGGGGGTGTCTTCTCCATGGGCATGATTCTGTCGAGCGATTTGGTTCGCATCGAATATCGCGGGGTGTACCAGTCCTACATCAATCTGTGCCTGGGTGTGGGAGGTTGCCTGGGATTGGCATTTGGCGGGTTTCTCTGTGATACCGTAGGATGGCGAGGTGCGTTCTTCGTGCAGCTGCCCTTCATTTTCATCTACTTCCTCGTGGCAGCCTGGACCACCCCCGCCGATTTGGGCCTGAAGAGGGCAAAGACGGAACGGATGACTTTCCTGCAGCTACTCAAAAATATTGACCTGGTGGGCTCGTTCATCTTGGTTGTCAGCGTGACCGCGTTGATTATGGGTCTGAATTTGGGCGGTAATGTGCTCAGCTGGTCTCATCCCCTGGTCATTTCGTCTTTGGTTTTATCTCTCATCTTAGCTGTGATCTTCGTGCGATATGAGCGGCACGTGGAGCGGGCCGTGATGCCGATATCGCTCCTGTCGAAGCAGCCCTGCGCCAACCTCATTTTTGGCAACTTCTTTGGATCCATTGCCGTCAACACCATGATTTTCAATGCTCCGTTGTATTTCCAGGCAGTCAAGCTCGCGAGTCCAACTGACTCGGGTCTCAGACTGGTAGCGTCGACCCTCGCCGTGACGGTTTCGAGCGTCTCGACTGGTTTCATCATCACATGGACCAAACGACTGAAGCCAACCGTGATCCTTGGTGACGTTTGTCTCATGCTAGGAGGCCTCGCAGCATCCACCCTTGGTATGGGCACCCCCGATGTAGTTGCCATGTTGTGTGTTTCGCTCGCAAGCTTTGGACAGGGGTTCTCTTTTCCTTCCTTGATGGTCTCCGTTCTCGCCACCAGTGACCCGGATGAACAGGCCGTGGCTACCACGACCTTGGGTCTGTGGAGAAACCTGGGCTCGGTGATGGGTGTGGCGACAAGCAGTTGGATATTCCAGAACACCCTCGTATACCAGCTTGAAGAAATGGTTACAGGGCCCGAAAAGGAAAGTATCATCCTTCTCGTCCGCAAATCAGTCCAGGCTATCGTGAAATTGGACCCAGTCCACCAAGAACAGGGTAAGTTTATCTTTCCTCACACACTCTCATTAATTTTCATGAGCTAATCTGGTATAGTTGTGGGTGCATATGCGGCAGCGCTCCGTCTGACCTTCTTCTCCGCAGCTGTGTTCGGGGCCCTCATGCTCCTGATGCACTTCCGCGTTCAACTGCCCCGACTGGGCAGTAAGGCTTGAATAGCATCTATGCCGGTCAGTCTAGTAAGTTCTATTATACTGAGTAATTTCCTTCGTTGCATTGCATTGCGGGGTTTTAGAAAATTGGCATAGGAATAGAATTAATCAAAAGTTCATGGCTTAACAATGCTAAAATGTATGATTATCATCAATAATACACTGCCCACATCCAATACAACCAAATATCAACGCAATTAGAGCTTCGCCAAAACTCCATCGGATTTGAGCACCGACAGGTGACTCTTTCTGATCTCCTTCACTGACCGACACCTAGTCAAAATTAGCATCATCCTCCCCGTCACACCCTAGAAAGCAATCAAACTCACCCAGCCAACGCCATGGTAATCCGGAATTCCTGCAACAAGATTTTAATACCCAATTCGACACCCTCTTGCCCATTCCACTAGTAAGTCAAGACAAGTCAGCCCTTGCATCTTCCAAAGTTCGAATTCTCAAAGATCGAACGAGGTAACCATACCGCAAGCCCCCAGATAGGGATCCGTCCCACAAAGCAATGCGACGCTCCAAGTGCCAGAGCTTTGAAGATATCCGAGCCTCGCCGAATCCCACCATCAATCGCGAGCGGGATCCGTCCTTGCGCCACCGGCGCACATTCTCTCAGCGCATCCAAGGTGGCAGGGACTCCATCGAGCTGGCGACCCCCGTGGTTGGAGATGATGACGCCGTCGACGCCGTATTGGATTGCCAGCTCAACGTCTTCGGGTGTGTATACTGTGTGTGATGTGAGCTATACAGTTTGATTTTTCCCTTGTCAAACACGCTATACATACCTCCTTTCAACCAGATCTGGAGCTTGGTGTGTTTCCGGAGCCAGGGGATGGTGGTTTCCCAGTCAAGGCTTGGATCTTTTTGTAGGTCAGTCGGTAACATGTTCATACACTACCATGCTAGGGACAATGATAAACTCACCATAGTCAGTTCGATTAGACGTATCCAATCCATGGCTGAGGATATTCGGCCATGACATATCCTCAGGGAGGGTGTAATTGTTGCGGTACTCATTCAACCGCTTCCCGAGCAAGGGCACGTCAACCGAGAGGAACAGGGCCTTGTATCCCGCCTCTGTATTCCAACATAAGCATTCATCACTTGACAGATGGGACCAGGACTCAACAACGCACTCTCAGCACGCTCCAACAGCTGAAGTGTGAGCGAGCGATCCTTCAACACACACATCTGCATGGCGTAGGGGTTCCCACAGCCCTGCGCGGCCACGTCTTCGAGCGAGTAGTTCGAATACGACGACAGCCCCATGCATACATTGTATTTTGCGGCTGCGCGCGACGCTGCTACTTCTCCGTCCGGGTGGGCGAGTTTCTGGGATGCCGCGGGACTGAAGCCGAGGGGGAAGGCGACCTTGGGGTCATTCTTGTTAGGTTGGAGCTTGGGGGTTGTTTGTGTTCCTGGGGACGTACTTTCGTGCCGAAGATCTCTGTGGATGTGTCGATCTGGTCGACGTTGATGAGGATCCGGGGGCGGATTTTGTAGCGGTCGAAGGCGGCTTCGTTCTCGCGGAGTCTGTTCGTTGGATTATGGTGTGGTTAGTGATGTCGGGGTTTATTTGGTTTAAGCTTAGTATGCAGCAATTGACGTACGTGATCAGGTCCATGGCTCCTTCATTGTAGTAATCTGCGTCGATCTATGAGTTTGTGTCATGGTTAGAAAGGCAGAGGTCAAACGCACCTCGGACCATCCGCGGGAGCTTTTTGCTTCCTTGGGCTTTTAGGTCTGCAATGCAGGAAATGTCCTTGTGTAATGTCTCTCCGCGGTGTGCCATTTTGCCACTTTCAATGTTGATCTTCAGATGGCAAGGGGGGAAAGAATAAAAATCCGGGGTATATCAAAATTAAATCTACAACTGACGGGAGCTTTCGAAAATGAAATATATAGTTCGCGGAGCTGTTCCATTCTTGCGGTCAGACCACGGCCCTAAAAGCGAACACTCTCGAGCAGACTTTCCTAGACACACCACCTCGGGGTAAGACAGATCGTATACGAATCAGGAGTCCCCCAATTCAGCACTGATCAGTAGTGAATTGACAGCACGTCCTGGGATCCTGAATGTAGCAATCACTGTCCTATTTCGGAACAGTGGGGCAGATGGATCTCCAAATCGTTATCGCGCCCGATCGCTTTCCGCGGAATCGCCTGCCCGTTTGGTTTATTGCGGTATTTGATGAGATGATGAGGGGATCGAGGAGGGGTGTGCCCCTCTTTGTTTCCTTAATTTCAGATTGCGTACGTATTCAATTGAGATAGCTTGTCAACAACTTGTTTCGTCTTTCCCCTTCACAGCATTGGATTGTTGAGTATCGCATCATGACTCGGATCTTCCTGTATGCTACCCGTCGCCGCAACTAAGCTACATGGATGTGAAAGATATAGCGGCGTTTGACTAACTGGACTTTAGAACTGGCGCATCAGGCTACATCGGCGGGGATGTCCTGTACGCCCTGCACGAAAAGCACCCCGGCTACGAAATTGCGGTCCTTGTTCGAGATGCCGACAAGGGCGCGAAGATCGCCCAGGCTTACCCTAAAGTCCGTGTCGTGCAGGGAGAGCTCGACTCGGCTGCAGTTGAAGAAGAGGCGCAGATTGCAGATGTGGTAGTTAGTAAGTTTTGCTATCGCCACTTGAACTTCTAGTTGCTGATCACTATGGTATCTTGTAGATGCGGCCAGCGCGCAGAACAATAAAGGCGCGGAGGCCGTCTTCCGAGGACTGGCTAGTCCGAAGCGTACGAAGCCTGGTGAGTCAACTATAACAACGTAGATATCAGAGTTGGACTTGCAATTCTGACCAAGCTATGCTTCAGGCTACTGGATCCAAGTATCCGGTGCTACTCTCCTCTCCGCTCCTGAGATCGAAAAGGGTGTTTACGGAGAGCCCTCCGACAAAGTCTACAGCGACATCGACGATGAGCAAGAAATCAAGGCTCTGATCCACAAGTACGCAGCCAAGCGTCTCATCGACCATTTCATCCTCAATCTGCCCGAAGCCCCACAATCACCAAAGACCGCCGTCGTCTATCCTCCCATCATCTACGGTCACGGCAGGGGACCCATCAAGCAGCGCAGTGTGCAGATCCCGGAACTCGCGCGTATTACCCTCCAGAACAAAACCGGATACCAAGTTGGACGGGGTCTTAGTACGTGGAGCAATATCCACGTCACTGATATCAGTCAGATATTCGTCACGTTAGTCGAGAAAGCTGTTTCCGGGGAGGAGGGTCCCTTCTGGAATGAGAATGGAATTTACTTTGCGGAGAATGGAGCCATTGTAAGTTTCACTGTCTTCCTTCTACTAAGTGGGTTTCTAACTGGGGTCTAGAACTTTGGAGAGATTGGCCGTCTGGTGGCTGAAGAGGCTGCTAAGCTAGGACTGAGCTCGGCGTCGGTGAAGGAGATCAGTGACTCCGAGGCGAATGCCCTGTCTGGCCATGGTGGCGTTCTTTGGGGAACTAATGCACAGGAGCGTGCTCAGCGCGCTCGCAGGGTGCTGGGATGGACTCCTACGGGGAAGTCCTTGCAGGATGAGATTGCTGATGCAGTTCGTGTTGAGGCGGTTAGTCTCGGTCTTTTGTCTGCGTAGATGACTTTCTTCCACGGCCTTTTCAGCATCAAGGCTGTTGTGTATATGTGATATGAAACTCAGGATAATGTGCACTGTTGATTTATTTTTCAACTCCAGGATTAGAGGTCCCACAATTGCGTAAATCCTTCAAATTCCGTATTATTATGAACAGGTCAGTTACCCACTTTACACCTGGGATTTACATTACATTATGCGAGCTACTAATAAATAAGTGCAATATCACCCTCACCTATATATCTTGGGCATACTTACACCTATATATCCAAAATTATCTGTCTTGAATGTATATTTATGCTCTATATCTCTGTACCAGCTGAGGTAGCAGCTGCAAGTATTGGAGTTCAGTATTGGAACCCTCCAGTGCATGTACTGTATGGATTACAATATCTCTTGTTATCCCGACCTGCTTTTCAGTCGGAGCCTACAGTGAAGTGGAGTTCTTGTTCGCCTCGCTCAAGATCATTGGCAACTTAGTATTAACATCATGGTCGTGCTACTTGTTTTTGGAGGAGGACCAAACCGGGAATCGCCTGGTTTGCAGTATTGGAAGCACCCAAGTCCTATCAACGAGTATATGATTCCTGGCCATTCTGGCTACCTAAGTACCTTTATTGCTACCGTCTGTTTTCCCGTGTTTGCATTCGGCTTTGCCCCAGAACTTCCTATCGTCGCCGGTGGAGGGATGCAGTCCCCGACGCAATCGACCAACCACAGGAAACGGTACTTCTACAGACTCGTACTTTTGTACATCCTCGAAGCTTCTGCCATCAGTGGGATTCTCCCCGAGTGATGATCCCAAGCTACTCGGAGGTGGGTCTGGCGCGTGAGCCTTTCCATGGTCTATCGCGGCCCGAAATGCAGGTACAGTGGGCTTGACGCAGTTATACTGCTCTCATGATTACCTGCCGGCAATTCTTACCTCTGCATGCCAACACGTGCTCTCTATTCGAAGGTCTTGATAGGCAGTGCAGCCCGCTTTCTGATGAAATGAACTAAATCTGGCGTTCCCTACAATGCTATCGCGTACAGCACAGCCATCTTCTCTCCTATCTCAATATAGCCTCCACAGAAGCGTGTGTGTCTAATTGGTTCGTCAGCTTGATCAACACTGGGGTCTATTAAAGCTGGGTCTGTGTTTGTATTGTCTATCTGCAGTCTACAAAGGCCATTGATGATCAGGGGGTGATTGACATGCCCTATCGATCCGATTCCAGCCCTATATGCCGTATATCTCTGGTGGTACTTTCAGTCTATTCTTCCTATGAATGGCAACAAGAACTTCACTCATGGTTACTGAAATACGTCCAATTTGTGATGGGTTATTTGGCACTCCTACCCCCTGGTCTTGTATTCTAGTCGTTCCTTGGGTGCACTCCGCGTGATATATCAATCTAGTGTCAGGTCTGGCGGAGATTACTGAGTCTCCTGTGGAAACGAAGTCCCTCTTAAAATGGTCCAGTCATGGAGCGCCTTCAATCCAACTCCTTTATAGTTGTATCTCTTCCATGGGTTTTGGTGGATTTTACAGTTTGTCCCAAGCGTTGCATGATTTAATTGGCCAAGATGAAGTGAGTTAGGGCAATCCACACGTGGCGTAGTGGCAAGTCTTCCCTGGCTTGCTGGAGTGCGGGGAAACACAAAAGGAAAGCGATTCCGAACAGTTATCAACGCAGTCAGTCTCGAGGGCGTGTGGCTACTGATGATTCTCTCGAACTATATTGATTCTCTTTCTGTGACTCCCATATTACTTAATATATTAGCTTGAAGATAATATTACTGAATACTTCTTCAATGCCGCCTTCGAGAAAGAGCAAATCGCGCCGGACCCATACGCTGGGAGGCTGCCAGACCTGCCGCCGTCGCCATGTGAAATGCGACCAGATGCGCCCAACCTGCCTGACATGTCGTGCATTCGGCGTTTCTTGTGAAGGCTATTCCACGGAGATCCGATGGATGTCCGGCAAGCACCAGTCACAACAGCAACGGCAATCGAGTTCCGAAAGTCGAGGTGCAGACAAAACTGTTAGTGGCGGCCATGGCACGAGACGCCATCTCTATACAGGTGAAATTAGATACCCCGCATTCATATCCCATTATGCTCGTGTGCTGATTTGCCTGTTCAGAAAAATCGAGGGCTTCCATGAGCACGGCGTTGGCCGCGGACCTTGCTTCCGGTACTGTGGATGCGTTACTCACCGAGGTCGATACCAAATCCAAAGAAGTAGAAGGTTCATCCACTGGAGATGTCGCAGTTGGGCCTTTTGGGGTTCTTAAGTTCGACGGTTATACCGACACGAACAATAAACCCCAGAATGCTCAGTCGGAGAAGACAAGCCCGGCCCCGGCTATCAACAGGCTGCCTTATGATGAAGCATTGGAGCTTGATCCCTTGCTGTCTTCCGTAACTGATCCCCTCCTTGGGGCGGACGAGTTCCTTCACTGGGCCGATCTATTTGGCCTTGGGTTTGATCTGACCTCTGGGATCTTATCCGATGACTTCAACCATGGTGAACTCACTCATGGTCTATATTCCTCCATTTATCGGAGTGGATTAGACGATATGTCTCATCAGCCACATGATCAAGACCTAGCAGCATTTGAAAGAGACGAAAGGCAACGGGGAATGAGGCCACTGACACCACAACAGACACCCATTGAGCTGGTCTCCCCCACAAGCGATATACTGACGGATGCCCCTTTCCTACTAAAGCACTTCCAGGATAATGTAATTGGACAGATGATGACATTGCCTGTTGGGCAAAAGTCCCCATGGAAGATACTAAATATTCCAACTGCCGTACTGACTCTTGGAGATCTTACATACCTGGGGGGTCACAACCTCAATCACGCTAGGCTGGCCAACTTTTACTCTCTTCTTGCGTGCTCTGCACATCATCTAAGCCTTAATGCCACTATTGAGTCGCCGCACTCGGCCGAGCACTGGAAGCAAGTAACGCATTATTCGTACCATAAGGCAAAGGACCATATACAGCAATCACTGAAGATCGAGGTGAACGGGCCGAAGAAGGCCAAGTACAAGGACCAGCTAATGGCCATATCCGCGATGGCAGCCTTTGCAGTTAGACTCTCCCTTTGGCCCCTGGCCACTTTGAGACCTGGCTGACTATGTACTTCAGATTCTTTCCGGACATCAAAAGGACGCACGTTGCTATATGATCGATGCCGAGCGCCTCATGCGTCTCCGGGGTTTATCCAAACGTGAGATCTCTCGGAAAGCGCGTGTGTTGCATCACATTTACACGTGGATGCGTATTGTAGGAGAAAGCACCTATGTCCTTCACGACTACAATCCATCCGCTTCGTTTATCGAGGCACTGAACCACTGCTTCCAGCCCCGCGAAGATATCCTGGAGCAAGACAACAGCCGCCGAAGCGGACTGGACGCACGATTGGATGACTTTCTGCTCCTGCAGCCGCGCCAGTCGGACAGCGACCTGGATATCGACGCGCCCAAGGAGCGCGAAGTAGCCCTTCACGACATCCACTTGGAAGACTCGCGCCGATGGGCAGACACGCTTTACAGCGAGATCTATGGTATACCGGAGACATGGCTCAGCTTAGTATCACAAACAACCCGGTTAGCCAATGTCATGGACACTCTAGTGGCCTCCGGCGGGACCAAGAGGTTCATGAACTCAGAGGCGTGGGACGCATTACAACGACGCGCCACCCGTCTGGAGAACATGATTTGCTCTTTTAATTCAGATAGAAGTAAGGGAAGCAGTACCGACTCGGCAGGAGGGCCTGCCCGACCACATACTCACATGCTCCGGGCATTAAACACGGCCCTTGTAATCTTCTTCTACCGTCGCATCCGCAACGTTCACCCGTCAATTCTTCAATCGCACGTCGATGAAGTCATAGCGGCTCTGAAAGATTTCGACACGGCGCTAGCCCAACATGAAGTTCCTGGTCCAGGCACGGCGTGGCCGGCGTTCATGGCCGGATGCGAAGCCACGGCACCATCTAAGCGCGATGCTCTCCTGCGCTGGGTCGAAAAGGGAGGAGCGCAATGCGGCTTTGCATCTTTTGCCGTCGCGAAGGATGTGATGACTGCCGTGTGGAAAGAACAAGACGGATATTTCCGCTTTAATCGCGCTGGAGGCCCGCTACCTACATGGATGGACATACTGAGACAAAAAAAGCTTTGGCCGATGCTTTCCTGAAGGGGAAAAAAAGAAACCATGTATTCTATCATACCCTGTCATACATATTCACAGATAGAAAGCTGAAGGACAAAAACGCCGGAATGTCACGTCTCACATGAGTCAATAATGCTGATATATTCCTCCCCCCAACAACCTCCCCTTAAACAGTCTTCACACCCGCCGACTGCATGTACGACGCCAACTCAGCCTTGTGCTGGTCCGCCAACAGGGCAAAGGGCTTCCGCAGACCACCGGTGGGCTGACCAGTCAGCTCAACGCCAGTCTTCACCGCAGCAGCATAGTTATGCGACTCGAGGAACTTGCAGACAGGGAAAGCCTTGGCCCAAAGCTCCCGACCACGCTTCAAATCACCCTGCACAGCAATAGCCTCCCACAGCTGCACCGCCAACTCCGGGATAACGTTCGCGGCACCCCAGACACAGCCCGGCGCTCCAGCCGCCAAACCATAGAACGTAAGGGTATCCCAGCCGTTGAACGCGGTGATCTTATCCGACAAGCCGAAGACCAGCTCCGTGTACGCCGGCGCATTGCCGGAGGTATCCTTGAGGTACTTGACGCCGACTTTCGACAGATCCGCGATCTGCTGCGGCGTCAAGGTCAGCCCGCTCGCGGACGGGATATTGTAGTACATGATGGGCAGCTTCGACTCGGTGTGGATCTCGCTCATCATCTCCGTGAGCTGTTCGTAGTTGACCGGGTCGTAGAAAGGCGGCACCACCATCACTGCTGCCGCGCCGACTTCCCCGGCGTGCTTGGCCAGCTCGACTGCCTCCTGCGTCGAGGTGGCGCCTGTGCCGGCGACCACGGGCACGCGGCCCGCGGCGTACTTGACGCACAGCTCGGTGAGTTGCTTGCGCTCGGCGAGGGACAGCACTGTGAATTCGCCCGTGCTGCCGCCGGGGACGAGGCCGTGCACGCCGGCTTGGAGGAGTCGCTCGATGTGCGACTTCAGACGGGCTTCGTCGATCTTGCTGCCGTCGTCGGTGAAGGGGGTGATCAGGGCGACCATGACGCCCGTGAGTTCTTGGTTGCTCATCTTTGCTGGTTAGGTGGTTGGATGGGTAGTACTAGAATGTAGTGTGGATATGAATATCTTGAATTGGCTGTACGTTATGTTTCTGGTTGGTGGCATGGTTTATTATATCTACGAGTGTGCCGGAAAAGCCTTCCTTGGGTGGATGTAGTTGTTGGATATGATTCTGAAGTAAGTTGTCATTCCGACGGCTGGATCTATGGATCCGGGGTATAGTCTCCCTGTGCATGATGATCCACAATGAAGATTAATAATTCAATACATAATACTATCAATAAAGGGTCGAAGTTGAAACTCGGAATGAGTATCGGTTTCGGAACGACCTGCCTGTTTCGGGCAGCAGACATGCAACCCTAAGTCTCGCGATGAACTCCGATAAGGCTGGACTCAGAATGCGCTAAATAGCGCCCCTCAAATCACTTGCGTGCATACGGTATGTGCACCCGAGAGAACCCCGCGGAGGGGCAATTTCTGGGTCGATTCAGTGGACATTGGTTGTTGGTTTGAAAGCTGTGGTTAGTGGGGTAGCTTTGCTTTGCTTGTCTTTTTCGTGTAGATAAAGCTCATGGCCTCTAGACGTACATAGCTGGATGGTTCTCTGATATTCTTCTTCAACTTTTGTTTTTCTTTTTTCATACTGCCGACTTTATTATACCCGACTCTGTTACTTTGGGATATTTCATTTCTTGAAGCGAGTCATACCCCGCCATGTCGGATCTCGATCTCTTCCTTGATATCACAGCGCCAAATGGTCGCCGGTATAAACAGCCCACAGGGTTGTTTATCGACAATGAATTTGTGAAGTCTACATCTGGGCAGACGATTGCTTCTATTGATCCTGCGTATGCTATTTACCAGACCTTTATTGGAAATTAATTATCTTTAAGACTAACGCCCATGCCAGAACCACCCGTGAAATCGCTTCTGTCTACGCGGCCGGTGCCGAGGACGTCGACAAAGCAGTCAATGCCGCCAAAGCGGCCTTGAAGCATGATTCATGGAAGCTCCTCCCCGCCACAGACCGAGGAATGCTAATGGGTCGGTTGGCCGACTTGATCGAGCAGAATAAGGAGCTTTTCGCTACGATTGACGCGTGGGATAACGGTGAGCGGAATCTTACTCTGGTCCCCAATTGTATATGTGTATACTGATTGATGACCCAGGAAAACCATACCATGTTGCCCTGAGCGAGGACCTGGTGGAAGCCATTACCACCTTCCGGTACTACAGTGGCTGGGCCGATAAGACGTTCGGTCAGACCATCAACACAACCCCCCAGAAGTTCGCCTACACAATCAGACAGCCCATCGGTGTGGTGGGCCAGATCATCCCGTGGAACTACCCGCTGTCTATGGCCGCCTGGAAGCTGGGGCCTGCCCTGGCTTGTGGCAATACGGTTGTGATCAAGGCTGCGGAGCAGACGCCCTTGAGCATCCTCGTTCTGGGCTCCTTGATCAAGGAAGCGGGCTTCCCGAAGGGTGTTGTTAATATCATCAATGGATACGGTCGGGAGGCTGGTGCCGCGTTGGTGCAGCACCCCTTGGTCGATAAGGTGGCGTTCACGGGCTCCACTGCTACCGCGCGCGAGATTATGAAGATGGCTGCGGGCAGCCTGAAGAATATTACTCTGGAGACGGGAGGAAAGTCGCCCCTGATCGTGTTCAACGATACCGATATGGAGCAGGCCGTGAAATGGTCCCATTTCGGTATCATGTCCAACCAGGGCCAGATCTGCACTGCCACGTCGCGGATCTTGGTCCAGAAGGACATTTACGATGCCTTTGTTGAGCAGTTCAAGAGCGAGATTCAGACCACATCTAAGATCGGAGACCAGTGGGATGAGAGCACCTTCCAAGGGCCCCAGGTGACCCGCGCTCAATACGATAGGGTGCTCGAGTACATTCAAGTGGGCATCTCGGAGGGCGCGACGGTGGCTTCTGGAGGAGGCCCTCACCCACCCAACAGCAACGGCGAGTCGGGATACTATGTTCGCCCGACGGTTTTCACGAATGTTACGGACTCGATGCGGATCTATCGGGAGGAGATCTTTGGACCCGTAGTTGTCATTGTGCCATTTGAGACGGAGGAAGAAGCCATCCGGCGTGCAAATGATACCACTTATGGCCTTGGTGCGGCGGTCTTCACCAAGGACCTTGAGCGTGCCCACCGGGTTGCAGCTGAGATCGAGTCTGGTATGGTTTGGATCAACAGCAGCCAGGACTGCGATCCTCGGGTACCGTTCGGAGGAGTGAAGCAGAGTGGAATCGGGCGCGAATTAGGCGAAGCTGGACTTGAGGCGTATAGCCAAGTGAAGGCTGTACATGTTAATATGGGAACCAAACTGTAGAAAGTCACGAGAATGAAATACATGTATTGGATATAGAGCAGACAGATGAACAATCACGTTGTCGGCCTTACAGAGGTGATTTGATAAAGTCCGGTGAAGGATGCGCTAGTCCCGTTCTGGTCTAGAGGCATGTTGGTTATCTCCCCGCAAATCTTCGGGGTCGTTCAGTTTCACACACTCTCTCTCATCAACCAATCGCTCTGTGGGTTCGGTGCATATTGATTGGCCTTGGTAAGGGTATGGACTGCTGCCGCTTTTTTCCGCGCTGCGTTTTGAAAATGGGGTACAACCTGTAGCTCGCTACGGGGCTCATCATTGACTGGGCTAGACTGACAAGAACCTGTTTCCCTCCAGGTGCCGAAGAATATCCGTCGCTTTTTCATGGCCCGATTAATACAAGAAGATCCTCTTTTTTACCTTTCCCCGCTCGATTGTAGTACTTGCTTTCATTATCAATCGTCGCCGCCATCCGTAACTCCGACAGAAACGACAGTCAGTATCTCTACGCAAGCGGGAATCTTACAGGTAGTCACAATGCGCTGGGGGCCTGGTCGTTGCGGCTGATCGTGAGGCTTTACGTAACAATCTTGGGCGCTGGATATAAAGTGGCTCAAGAAGCGTCTGGGGTGCTACATCGAGCGTTGATATGGCTTCGGTTTCTACGATCAAGGGCAATGCCTTGCTGTCACCCGATTTGGATGTCTCCGTAGAGGTGGCAGCGACCGACCAAACCGCAGATACGCCGGGCCTGGAAGTAGACATTCCAACCCCGGACAAGCTAGCCACGGATGACAATGCTCGAGAAAGCCCATTTGGTGAAGGAGTCCTAACCCCGAACAGCACCACAATGAGCGTCGCACGGACACCAGGCAGCGATACCGGCCGACGAAAGGACACCGCACGGAAGCCCAGGCGTGTCCGAACCGGCTGCCTCACTTGCCGAGAGCGCCATTTAAAGTGTGACGAAGCTTTGCATCAGTGCCAGAATTGCCGGAAATCAGGCCGGATATGCAGACGTGGAGTTCGTCTCAATTTCATCGATACCCAAACGGTAGCGCCGCCTCACTATATTCCACGCCCTCCGGGATCCCGGGTGACGTTCCGTGACGAGTCTAGACATATAGCTTCGGAGTATGTTGGGGGATTTGAGAGATATCCCCCGCCAGTAGCGGACCCTCCTTTGAAGGCGGGCAATCTCACGAGCCCTCTGCCGTCTGCGTATAATCCGCATGCCGCTCCCTCGTTTGGAGCGGGTCCTGGGGCTCAACCGGCCAGTATAAATGCTACGTTTGGTAACCATCCGCATCCCCCATATCAGCCTCTTCTAGATCAAAGCGCTTCGTATGCGCCTTTCAACTCGGCTGGAAAGGGGGATGTAAAGTCCAATAACTACGCATGTCTTCAGGACCCCGACGATGTCTTCCTGATGCAAGTCTTTGTAGAAGAAGTTGGTCAATGGATGGACTCGATGAACGATGTAAAACATGTGAGTTTCACGGTCCTTAAGAACATGTTGTCGTTCCTGACATGATCAGTTCACGCATATCTTGCCGTTCCATGCGCTAGGAGAACCGATGCTCTTGAGGGCGTTCATGGCATGTGGTGCCCGTCATGTATACCTCAAGAACCCTTCCTACGGAGAAGAAAAAGCCTCATATTTCCATGATGCGGCTTCTAGGGATCTCCTTAGCGCGCTACATGACCCAGACCGAGACTCTGCCTTATGTGCGACAACAGCTGTCGTCCTCAATGTCTACGAGCTAATGTGTTCAAAATCTTTCCCATCGATCCATGGTATGAACCACATCGCTGGTGCGCGAGCCCTCATTAAGGAGTGTCACTGGGACGCGAGGACTCAAGGTCTCGGGGGGGCCTGTTTCTGGCTGAATGTTAGTATGGAACTGCTCAGTTGTTTGCATTTCAATTGGGCGTTGGCTTGGGATCCCGACACATGGGGTGTAAATATGGACTTCGAACAAGCCCACCCCAGCGTTGCAGGCAACGAGGAACTGTGGACCCACCGCATGGTCTATATTTGTGCCAAAGTCGTGAATCTTCGGTCGTCCATGTCTCAACTCCAGCCCTTGGATCGTTCGACCAACGACCTGGAGATCAACCATCGCTGTCAGGAATGGACTATATACAATGACTGGTGTGATAAATGGGCGAAGGCCGTGCCTCGCTCCATGATGCCTCTTGCGTTTCTGCCGTCGTGGCAGACCAACTCGAAATCCGCATTTCCAAAGATATGGTGGGTACATTGTGAGCCTTGACAATCAACTACCCTAGCTAACCGTCGTCAGGCTTATCAAACGAGCTTCAATTATAGCTCGGCTGTTCTATCATACGACTCGAATTCTCCTCACAAAAACGCATCCCTTTGAAAATGAGTTCAGCCCTGAGATGCAAAGCGTGCAGCAAAGCCATGCGCATGACATATGCGGGATTGTTGCAAATGTGAAAGACAAGTAAGCAGTGTATGTTCTAGATACGTCGTTGTTGGTTCTAACAGTTGCAATCAGAGGAGTCGCTAGCCTGTCCATTCGTTTTTTGGCCGTGGCTGCCGAATGTCTCGCCGCCAAGGAGGCTCAGGAAGAGGTCTTCAGGATCATTGACGACATCACCAAAGAGACCGGATGGAGGTCTGAACAAGTCAAAGAGGGGCTTCAACAAGCATGGGGCTGGAATCCAGCCCAGCAACATCAACCAGTTCCGGCAGATCCAAATGCACTGCCTTTGCTTAGCGACCACACCTTCGACATCGACCCTACTTCGACTCTCCTTAAGATGCCGCCGGGGGTTGTCAACCCTATCATGGCGTTTGCGGATTTCTCCATGGATAATCACCCGTATCAAGATCATTACGTTGCGCCGCATCAAATCAGTGATTACCAATGCGGGAGCTTATAGATGTTATTTGTAACGGTATGGCGGCGTTCTGTGGGACTTGTTCATCATTTGTGCGATACCCTTTGCCGGCGTTATTCTTATGATACCTTCATGATGTTGCTTTTCTCTTTCGCTATTGGGTTAGACATCTTATCCATATAACGTGGTATTAGTGGTACAGGTTATATAGAAAGCCTTTCGGTTCTTTGGTTATAAAAAATGCAACTGTTTAAAGCAAGAACTATTCACAAACTCTCTAAATAATATTTCGTGCTTGCATCATTGTACCTCAAGATCGATGAGGAGTAAATATTTTTCTACTGCGTATCAGCAATGCCAAGACTTTTGCCAGCCATATCCACATATCTTTCCATCACCTTCAACTACTTCCATCAAACCGAATATAAGAGGACATATAACCACTACAGGAGATATACCCAAGATCCACCCATAATAGTTGATACACAATCTTATCCCAACCCCCAAGTAACCAAATGAGCGCCCCCACTCAGCTGCAACCACCAGCAAGTCCAACTTACATTCTCCGCGGCCATGCCTCCCCAATCCACGCCCTGCATATTTTCCACCAAAACCTGCGGCTCATCTCCGGCGACGCCGATGGCTGGGTAATCGTCTGGGACCTAGTGTTCAAGCGCCCCGTCGCCGTCTGGAAAGCGCACGAAGGCGCCATCCTAGAAGTGAAAGGCTTCAGTTTCAGCAACGAAATCGTGACAGAAGTATATACGTACGAATTTCCCCTCCCCCAACTCCCAATAGAAAGTAACTAACAAACGCCCCAGCCATGGCCGAGACCACAAATTATGCGTGTGGCGCTTCCGCGCCCAAGACGAGGATCTCCTCCAGAAGACCCTCCCCGTGGACATGCGCGAGCAGCAGCAGTCCCAAGCAACCCAACCGTGGCTCGTCCACTCGCTGCCCGTTAATGCTCTGAATTTCTGCGCCTTCTCCATGCTCTTCCTCGACAATCAGACAGCCCCAGATGCGTCAGACGCCCAGCCACCCGGGCGCGCTTCGCTCTTCGCCGTCCCCAACGCCCTCGACTCAGGCGCAATCGACCTCTTCCACCTGCCGCGCGAAAGACGCCTCTGCACCATCCCAGCCGGCACAGCCGCGCAAACGGGGATGGTCATGGCCGTGGCCCTCTTCTACTCATCTAGCCGGGAACTCCACGTCGCGGCCGCCTACGAAGACGGCCAGGTGATGGTTTTTGCGCGGCGAGGGGCGCAGGATTTTTCGGGAAATGCAATTTCCTGGAAATGGGAGAAGGTTTATGTCGCGCGGCCGCATTCCCAGCCCGCCTTGTCGATTGATGTTTTTCCCGCTGGGGGGTATTTTGTTTCGTCGTCGGCGGATGCGTTGTTGGTCAGGCATCCTGTTCCGGGGTTTGGGGAGACGACTACGCTGAAGACGGTGGATACGAAGCATTCCGGGCAGCAGGGGTTGAGAATTCGGTCTGATGGGAGGGTGTTTGCGACTGCGGGCTGGGATTCGAGGATTCGCGTGTATTCTTGTAAGACGATGAGGGAGTTGGCGGTTTTGAAGTGGCATAAGGAGGGCTGTTATGCGGTTGCTTTTGCGGATGTGGTGGGTTTTGATGTTTCGGGTGGTACTGCTACTACTACGAAGGGTGATGGAGAGTTCTCGCTTGCTACGGTGCAGCGTCAGCGGAATCAGAAGGTCCAGAAGACGCATTGGTTGGCGGCGGGTTCAAAAGATGGAAAGATCTCATTGTGGGATATCTACTGAGGGCATCAATTGCTATATACAAATACACTAGGCAAGGTTGAATTCGCTGGCGCCAGCCATGTGCTCCTTCAGCTTGGCTCGCATCTTTTGGGCCGCCGATGTTGCGTCGTTGGACGATGGGAAATCGTCGTCGTCTCGGCCGCCTGCCTTTCTCTTCTTTCCAACGGTCTTCCTCTCGGCCTTGTAGTCCTTCTTTGCATCCTTGTCTCCGGGGCGCAGGCCGGGGACGTTGATCTTGCTGGGGCGGTCACGCAGGGCGAAACTCTTGGCAAGATGTCCGAGGTGCAGTTCCTTGATGTTGAACATGCTTCGCTCGCTGGCGATGTGCGTGGCATAGGCGCGGATGTGGGATTGATAGGCTCGTCGGGCCATCTCGAGGTACTCCGGGTTGTCTACTGCCCATCGTTCGAGGTCCATCTGCCAGTCGGTCGCTTTCTCTTCCCAGTTCTTGGTCTCGGATGTGATGTTCCCGCCGAACCCGCGCTTCAATATGTCCTCCGCAGTCGTGCGCGTGAGTGCCTTTCCGCCGTCTCGGTATCCCCGCTTCAGAACCTCCACGTAGTTCTCTTCGCAGCCGGGCATCAGGAAGATCAATGCTCGGCCATCGCGTCCAAGACGGGCAGTACGTCCGATTCGATGGGTGTGGTCGTCCGCGCTGAAAGCTGGGTCGTATTCGATGACCAAGTCGACATTTGGCAAGTCCAATCCTCGAGATGCAACGTCGGTGCAGACTAGTACGGATGGCTCGCGTTCGCGAGAGAAGGCATTAAGGGTGGCTGTTCGGACGTGTTGGGGGAGAGATCCGTGGAGCTTATGCAATTTAACCGGGTTCGAAGGGTTAGAGAAGGCAACAGCAGGGGCGATTGTGCCGTGTGGCGATGCTTCAGATTTCGTTTTCACATTATCTTCATCCTCGTCTTCCTTGTCTTCGTTTTCCTCCTCGCTTTCGTCTCTATACTGCTTCTTTCTTGAGAACACCTCGAAATGAAAATCGACCGAGTCCGCACAAGAGACGAATACGATAGCCTTCATGACGGAGCCTTTCCGCATAAATGTTCGTTTCAAGTAGGCAGTAAGAGCAACCAGTCTGAGCTTAGCTGGTACAAGGGCATAAGATTGTTTAAGCTGAGCTGGCACCCTGAAGCCATCGTCGTCCTTCTTCTTGGTTTCTCCATCCTCGTCGGCGGGGTCTGCCTTGATATGAACGGCGTCTTTCAAACTGATCTCTCCCAGCTTCTGTACATTCATCTTCAATGTAGCGGAACAAAGAATCGTAGTCCGCTTTGTAGGAATACCGGGAATGCGGCTAGGTCGTTGCCTGGCATCAAGCTTCTGAATGATCCCCTGCAGTTCTTTCTCGAAACCGAGCTCCATCAACCGATCACCCTCGTCGAGCACCAACCATCTCACATTACTCACGTCCAGCGCTTGTGTATTCTCAAGATGGTCAGCAAGTCGACCTGGTGTAGCCACCAGAATATTTAGTCCCTTCCTTAGTCTCGCCTTCTCAGACTTCTTCTTTTCACCACCAATAACCGTACCGGCCACGATCCAATGTGCGCATCGAAGCAAACTCTCCAAAACAACCGAAATCTGCTTACACAACTCACGCGTCGGAGCCAGGACGATAGCAAACAACCCACTATCACGATGAACGATCGGCTCACCGCTCGAATCCGTGCTCATATTCTTCGGATTCGAAACCGTCATAATCCGCTGCACAAGCGGAAGCAAATAAGCCAATGTCTTTCCGGAACCTGTCTCCGCCTGGATAAACGCATCACTGTCCTCCTTCAACAACTGTGATATAGACGCCTTCTGAATCCCCGTCGGCGCCTTCAACTCCAACTTCGTCAACAAATGCGCCGCCAAACTCGGCGACAGCCCCAGATTCGTAAACGTATCCAGTCCATCAATCAGTGGCGCATTCGTCGGCTTCGCATCCTCAGTCGGCTCTTCCTCAGGCACCTCCTCCGCATTCCGGGGCGTAGGGTTCTTCGAGAAAAGGGACGAGACGAACTGTCGCGGGTGTTGCTGGTTCTTATGTTGTGGTTTCTCATGGTCTCCATCGGCATCTGTTTTCTGTCTCTTCGATGGCCGAGATGAGGATACCTGAATGCGATTTGGGTTCAGAGGACCTTTGTTCGAGGATGGTCTCTCCTCGCCGGGTTTCCGGGGGTTGTTGGTGCGGTGTTGGGCGATTTTCTTTGCGCTTAGGCGGTCGCGCCAGGTTCCGCCTTTGAGCTTGGCTTCGGGTTTGATTATGTTGGTGTCGCTGATGGCGAAATTGAGGAGTAAACCGTCGTCCGCCATTTTGGATGTAATGACGAACTTCTGGTTTTGTTTGCGTGTTTATATGAGGTTTTCTTGGTTGCTGGGTGAAGCTAGGCCTGCTGCTTTTTTTCGATGGGTCCCGCCGCGGAGGGAAATTTTCTCGGCCCGTTTTGCTTCCGAGCCCTCTCTATGTGCCCTATTTTCCTTTTTGGGTGATGGGGGAAGGGAGGTTGCTACGGAGGATCGGCGGTTGCTTTATGCAGTGAATGTGGGTGTGAGGTATTCGATTGATAACTGTTAGCATACACTGCACTCAGTATTTTGTATTGGAACAACTGGATCGATGCAAAAGGTTATCCAGACGTGTCATATATGTACATTGGCCATTGTCAGGGTACGCCTGGTTGTATAAACGCTCTTTTGAAGATGATCTATCTATTTGGTATATTTTAACCCCTCAAGAGCAGAAGGTTCAAGCTCGAGGCTTGAAGATCAGGTTGTCGATAAGTCTCACAGCAACCTGTCCATCACCTAGGCCACAGTCTTCGCCGGGCTTAGTTTCTTCAAGAGGGGTCATCTTGACGGCACCGCTTATGATGGCTCCCTTGGCGGGGTCAATTGACTCCACCTCATCCAATGTGTCAGGGTCGGCCAAGGATATGTAGTCGACTTCATAAAGGACCCTTTCAGACGGCGACAAAGCCTGTTGTTCGGACAAGACTTGGGATGTCACACTATTAGCGGCACCGAGAATGTCACTTCGCGCCAGTTTGCCGGAGTTGTATGCGTTTTCAGCACTCTTCAGGGCCTTGTAGAGGACGAGGCCAACAGTACGTCTCCGATCTCCCAAGTACACATTTCTCGAACTCATCGCCAACCCGTCATGCTCGCGAACCGTGTCGCCAATCTTGATCTCAGTATCCACATGGAAGTCTTGCACCATGCGCTTGATGACCACGGTTTGCTGGACGTCTTTCTGTCCGAAGTACGCACGGTCGGCTTGAACGATGTTGAAGAGCTTCATGCAGACAGTCGCAACCCCTCGGAAGAAGACCGGACGGGATGCACCCTCCAGCCTCTTTGAGATAGGGGTTATGGTAACAAAAGACCCATCCCCATCAACTTCCGATGAAGGGGGTAATGTAGGGTACATAACCTTCGACGTAGGGGCAAGAATAGCCGTGATGCGACCAGTGGCATTACCAAGACGGGCAAACTCATCGTTCAGTTGCTCTAATTTAGCCACATCACTATCCCAAGTTCGGGGATAGCTTGAAAGATCCTCATTGACACCGAATTGGGTCGGGTTGACGAAGATGCTAACAAAGACATCGGTGTTTTCGGCCGCCGCTTGTCGGATCAGCGAGAGATGGCCCTCGTGAAGAGCCCCCATGGTAGGAACAAACCCTACCGTCTTCTTGTCCAGCACTAGCTGCCGGCGCATTTGGCGGAGCGGAGGGACATCGCGGAAGACTTGGAAGGAGTACTGGCGGAGGGATGGGGAAGCCATTGAGGCGTTGTTGAAAAAAGACGACGCAGCTGCAATAGAAATTGTTGTTAGAGAAATATGGGCTTGAACACAGTCTAAATTCAGAAGTCTCTTGTAGTCTTACTTGAGAATGCCCGCGCCCACCGAAACATGTTGGAAATTTATTTATGAGGTGGCAGGCTCGCAGATTTCCATGTAGCAGTCAGTGTGCTTCCTCTGTCCCACTGTGGAGCAACAACGGGCTCAGACGCTGAATTGCCAAAGTGACATTGGCCGTTACACCGAACTCTATGAGCTAGAAACTTGCGCGACAGGATGCATCAGCCCACTAAGACGGGCGCACATGCTCTCTGATTGCAGAAGGTGATGGTCGATCGTCGTGCTCTCGGCTTCTGCGTGGAAATCATCCTTCGCGGGACTCGGGAAGAGGAGCTCTAAACTTGCCCACTTCGGGCCTAACGCTCGGCGCCCGTTTCGGTTAGACGGCCCCATCAACCTGCTTTTTCTCTTACGTACAGCTCTGGCGCCATGGTTGCATGTACTCTGTGTAATTTATTACTGGTCCGTACGCTGCAAGGACCGTGCTATCTCACGTGACTCTATCCGAGGTAGTGACTCTGGGGAAATACCGGGGGATGATCAGGCCCTTTTGTTGGGAACTGAATCACAACAATATTCTACCGCTCACGTTGCTATGAAACCTTCTTCCCTATACTCCGGGCGACCATTCATGTTATGACCGCTGTGTCTCCCGTGCTTCTGAAGTCCATGGCAGCCGGACCTCCTGTCATTCTCCCTGATTAGCTTCGTTCCCGCTCGTACCTGTATAGCTACTTCTCCGCTCTCTCCTCTACCCAAGATGCCATCCGAGAAGGGTCCCGTGGATCAATCGCCCCCAGACTTGGAAATTGTTGGAGATAAAGTCACCATCCATCCCAGTGGATTCACTGGAGGGCCAGAACCTCAAGATGACGGAATTACCGAGCGGAATCTTGTCCATCATATGGCACGCTTTCGGGAGAACCCGTTCGATTTTCTACGAGAAGTGAGCCTCTATATGTCAGGTACTGGCTGGCGCGCATACGACGATGTGATCGGGCAGCCTATATTTTACTCCGGATTTTCGGATCGGATGAAGACGAACATCCTCGCAAGCTCTCTCTTACGCAGCAAGGTCAAGGAACTGGCCGAAGCCCGACTATCGGTAGAAGAGAAGGAGGGCCTCTTAGATGTGAAGCCGGGTCCTTTGCCGAAGAAGAAGGCCCATCGGCGGAATGAGATCGAGAGTAACCTAAAGGAGGTGGTTGACTCTATGCTGGACAATATGATTTGCAAGATGGAGAGCCGGCGGTTTATCCGCGGCGCATATTATCTCTGCACTCAGCTTCTCACGCGTGCTTATCACCAAGGTAGGCCTGTGTTTGAGCTTTCTGTGAGAGGTTATCTCTAATGGTCGCAGGAATTCACGTATCGAGTGAAGAAGTTCTGCGCTTAAGGTCCGTTGCAGCAGAAGCGGCCAAAAAGAAGCAGTCTATTGTCTTTTTGCCGTGTCACAAGTCGCATGTTGACTATGTTTCTCTCCAACTTATCTGCTACCGCTTAGGGATTGGTTTACCTGTCGTCGTGGCAGGCGACAATCTGAACATCCCGTTACTGGGGCCTTTCTTGCAGCATGCTGGTATGATATAATTCTATACCCTGTCTCATATTCATGCTAACGACTGTAGGGGCCATGTGGATTAGGAGGAGCTTTGGAAATGATCCGTTGTATCATACCGTCGTCCAGGCTTACATTGATACAATGTTGCAACAAGGGTTCAACTTCGAATGTTTTATCGAAGGGGGGCGGTCTAGAACGGGAAAATTGTTGTCTCCCAAATTCGGAATTCTGAGCTTCATATTAGACAGTGTGCTATCCGGCCGTGTGGAGGACACAATCATCTGCCCCGTTAGCACACAATACGATAAAGTTATTGAGACTGAGTACGAAAAAAGAAACCCCTCCACAGACGTACACACTTGCTGACATTGTCTATAGATCCTACATTAGCGAGCTTCTTGGTCAGCCGAAGCGCAAAGAGAACCTTGCGGATTTCCTTTCGTCTTCTTCTGTATTATCCCTGAAGCTCGGACGAGTAGATGTTCGGTTTCACGAACCTTGGAGTCTGAGGGAATTTGTCACTCAGCAATTGTCCCGATTACCAGACCAGATTGGCGTAAATAGTGGCAGGAAATTGAATTACGAAGAAAGAGGTCGAATCCTAAGGACATTGGGTTATAGAGTTCTTTCGGAGATCAATGATGTCTCTGTGATGATGCCTACAGCTTTGGTTGGTACCGTGCTGTTAACGCTTCGCGGGCGCGGCGTCGGCAAAGCGGAGCTGGTGCGTCGGGTTGAGTGGCTTTGTGAGCGTGTGCGCATGAAGGGTGGCCGGGTTGCACACTTTTATAGATATCCGACTGAGGTGGTCGTTGATCGTGCCCTTGAGGTCCTCGGGTCGAAACTCGTGGGGGTAGTAAGCGGTCTTGCTGAGCCGACATACTACGCTGTGGATCGCTTCCAGCTGTCTTTCTATCGCAACATGACCATTCATCTATTCATTACGGAAGCGCTGGTCTCGGCAGCTATGTACACGAAGGTCAAACGGGGTGGTGGCCCATCTCATCAACGAATTTCATATACGGATCTCTTAAACCAAGTTTCTTTTCTTTCGCAGGTATGATACCACTTTCCCTTCCCTGGCGAAATCACTAACACCTTCCAGCTTTTCCGTGGCGAGTTCATCTTCCCTCCGGAGGGGTTGACTACCAATTTAGAGAAAACTCTCCAGGGACTCGAGAAAGATGATGTTATCACCGTCTCTAGGGATTCCTCCGGCACACCTCTGTCCGTTGAGCTAAGCGATGCGGAACGGCAGTGTGGAAGAGAGAACTATGACTTCTACTGTTTCTTGATCTGGCCATTCATCGAGGCTTCATGGCTCGGCTCGGTGTCTCTGCTTGGACTCACCCCTCCAGTCAATGAACAGAAGGATATCTGGATCGACTTGAAGAAGGCGCAGGATAGTGCTCAGCTGGTAGGTCTATTCCTGAAATTTATCCAAATAGCTATAAGCCTAACCATGAGGGCAGCTTGGCAAAACGTTGTACCATCAAGGCGACTTGTCCTATTTCGAAGCCGTCAACAAGGAGACCCTCAAAAACTCATACCAACGCTTCGCGGAAGAAGGCATCATCCTCGTTCGCAAGAGCAAAGAATCACGCGCTGCACCTGTGGTGAAGCTTGCACCCGAATGGACACCAGAACGGGACCCGTCCACCGGCAAGCTGTTGCCTCGTGGACGCCTTTGGGACTTCACCGAGTTGATTGCTCAGTCTAGGCGCGAGGGGTGAGTCATGCTCTTATCCCTGTTTTTTTCAAGTTTATTATACTAATCTCGAGCAGGAAAAATCGTCGAGATGGCGCAACGGTCTCCTCTCGCGTTCTGATCATGACCGACTTGGTTGGCCGTAAACTATTTGAGAGCGCCGCAAGCTCTGACTTGGAAGATAGCGTAGACGTTTCAGCTCGACAACAGCGCAGAAAAGACATTACGCCCAGCTCTAAACTTTAATACTTACTCGTCGCATGGATTTTTATATTTTGTTACGGATTGTTTATAATTGTTTACGATTCTAACCCGCCTGCTTGCCTTGTGAATACCCTTACTCTATTTGAACCCTTTGTATGTAACTATTTCCTTTATGTGCATACGTACCCGATCATATATTTTAGTCGCCATGTGGTCCAGTTTCTGAAGCATACACGTCTTTTCAGAGTCTTCTATTTGTTAACAAGAGTTAAATCTATCTGAAGTACAGTATCAGCCTCTAAATTACTTAGATTGCGGTTACAGAGTATGCCAATAAGGCATTTATAAGCACTCAACAACTCTGCCCAACAGTAACGACCTCCGATCTCTTCCCAGCTCCCACTCCACCAACAGCCTCAACAACAACCTTCTCCACCACCTCATCCACAGCAATTCTCGTCTCAAACCCATTCCTAGGCACCACCGTAACCTTCTTCATCTGCCCTTCCTCTGATCCTCCCAACACCTTCCACTCCTGCACATCCGTCGCCCCATTCCAACTAACATAAACCACCACCTTCCCCTTTTCAGCACAAGCAGCCACATCCGGCTTCGTCCTGGGCTTACCAACCCACGGGAACCGGTACCCTCTGTACGTCTTCGTGCCGCCGTGATAACCAAACCAGGCCCTCATCACCAACGCACCGTTCTCGTCAAATTCTTCCAGCTTCGGAACCGCGCCATGCTGCATCAGCACGTGTCCGTTAGTCAGGTTCTGATAGCTACCCTGGGACTCGGCGTAGACGGGCTGCTCAGCGTCCCAGATCTTGTCGACGAGGGTTACGATCTTGGTCTTCATGCTAGCTCGATGGTCATGCCCGTTGTCATAACGGTTTCAGATGTGAAATCCGAGTTTTCGTTGTTGTGGAAGTGGATGGTGATTTTGTCTTCTGTTTGACTTTCGAAGCGTGGGTCGTGTTGGTAGCAGAAGCTGGTGCCTGGGGTTAGGGTGAAGTCTCCGCCTTTTTGGCCCTGGGGTATTTGTTAGTTTGTGTTTTGGGTTGGAGTTTGTCTATACCCAAGGTAGGGCGGTTAACTTACGTGCAACTGCCAGGTTACGTTGCCATTCTTGTCGATGAAGAAGAAACTGCACATAAATCGGGAGGAGATCAGGTATGAATCACCGTATTTGGCTACGGAGTTCAGATGTGGGTATTCGTAGGGGGTGGTCTGGTTCGTCCCCTTGCCCTGCAGTGGGAGTTCGTTGTTGGAAAGAGGGACCTCGGAGAGGTGCTCGACGGTACTCCAGCGGAAAAGAACATCGTTGGTCTTGATGTCGATCTCGTAGAATAGACCGTCTTGCACCCAGCCGTCCTTGGGGCCGCCGATGGATGAGAGGTCCATCTGTGTAACATTGACAGCTGTCACGAGGATCGTCCCCTGGTCTGTGATTTGGCTTTCGTGGATGTCGATGTAGGAGGGGTATGTCAAGGAATCAGCGGTGACGAACTTCTCCTCTGTACCTGGGAGGGTGACTTTATAGATTTCGTCATAGGAGCTGTTTAGGATGCTGATGGCGCCGAAGCCGAAGCCTTTGATGTTGGCACCGTTCCAGTAGGCAAGGACGGGCTCGCCGTTTAGCATTTGCGGCTGTTCGGCTGAGGTGTTGACCAATGGACCTCGCCAGACGAGCTGTCCGTCATCTTGGTAGATGGTTGGATAGCTCCAGTTACTGTTTGTTGGGGAGAAGAATAGGTAGCCCAGTTCTGTTTGGCCATTCTTGGTGACGTTGAGGTATGGTGCTTCAAGTGGTGTGCTCTTAAAGGTTTGCTGAGGCCATTGAGTGGACGATTGAGCAGAGGACTCCACAGCCCCTAGTAGAAGGGTGAAGAGGTTAAGAAGGCTGACTTTATTTGTGTGCCACATTTTGTGACGGCCTGGGGTGAAGGCAATTCGGCAATCCTATGGACAGTACGAAAAGTCCAGTGAAAACTCTGTCGGGATATATAGGCACAAACTTTGGTTTGTTGTGCCTTCAGCTGAAAGTTCCTAGTCCCACTTTCTATCGGCATCCCCTTCCCGGATTTTCGCACATCTTTCCTTAATGGGTCATCGAGCCTGAGCTCTCAACCGAATGGGAATACCGCAAAGTGCACTCCTGGGGTAGTCTTTTGGAAACGGTACAGGTTCACGGGACATGTTGAAGGTATCGATGTGGGAATTTGCCGCTGTACTTCAGGCTTGGTGGTAGGATCGGTATTTCGACTGCAACGGCAGTACGCAACTCTCCAAGACCGATCAATGACCCACCATGGTAATTAGTCGTGTCGACTCAGAGCAAAGACTCATCCAATAGAGTCTAAAGATACCTAGATCTAAGCTTCGCGATGCCTCAATCGAACAAAACAAGCAAGGTAGCCGAGATATAAGGCAGGGCCCGGACCAATCGGGGCACGGGCATGGCGGGCTAAGCCGTGACGGCAAATTGCTCAGTTAATGACAGCCGATCTTCTTATAGGCGAAGTGGAGAAGTCGGGGTTCTCCTTTGTATGCATGAGCACTTCCCCGGACTCCTATGCGGGGAGTAAATTGTGGGGAAAATTCTGAGACTAAGGTGGATGTCGGTAGTTGGCGGCGGGATTCAAAAGGTCTCTTGACGAAGGAGCCCTAGGGGCTTAATCAGCCTTGAAGAGGGGCTAACCACAAGTAGAATCTTCACAACATATTGAACTAACGATCCGTCATCCATGCTGCTTAGTGAAGTCGACAGGTTTTCTGCATAGTCTATGCCAGCCAGACTTGTGGCGTTTCTCTTCATCCTTATCAAGGGACCCGCCATCTGCAAGATGATCGAAGCCTGCGTATAGCAACCAGAAGATCTATTGGAAGCCGATAAGATTAGCTTTGCAAAGGACCTCAGCCGCGGGAGCAGGTTATCTCTCACCAATAATCATCGTGGTTCGCGCATTTGACTTCCCAAGACAGTTAACTGGAAAACGCACCCTATCCCTCGCCGGGTTGCCAGATCCTGGGGTGATGAGGCAAAGCCAATAGCCATCAATCATTGGACCGTATCTTATCGGCGATGGAGGATATGCTTGAGCGATTGCCCCCCCGATAACGAGCGGCCCATTTCACAGTGCCCATTACTGGATTATATTTCATCATGAATGGAGCCAGTTTAAGTACAAGAGTCTTGGCTCGAGCAGATAAGGACACGAGAAGCTCAAAACAAACGTCGTACCCGATCCTACGGTAATCTGAGTACGGCCAAGAGATGTTGCAGATCAAGGGAGAAGGTGAGGATAAATTGCGATGCAGGCCGACAGATTCTCCAGCATTTCGCTTGCTTCCCAAGATCGATCGTTCGAGACACAAGAGCGAATGCTATAATATATTGTTGTCGTCATCTGAGCTTCTCCCCGAATAGAGAGCGCGTCTACTCGTCATGGCTGCGGTATGTCTGTCCTTCTCTACCCTGATGGAGGACCTCTACGATAGCAGCACCAAGCTAATGGTGACCGTGTACGGCTAACAGCCGGTGTACAATGCTTCTATGCCCGAAGGGGGCGATCCAACCAAAGTCGACGTCAATGCACAATATGCAGGATTGGAGTACAATTATATTTACATTACCGCCTGCACTTTTATCGTCTTCTTAATTCTGCCCGGGATCGCCTTCCTCTACAGTGGATTAACCCGACGGAAGTCCGCATTGGCCCTCCTTTTCCAAGGCTTTATGATCCTTGCGGTGTAAGTTCTGTGGGTGGTAGCATGATGTGTCAGTGCAGATACTCAACAGATTGTAGTGTCACATTTCAATGGTTATTCTGGGGTTATTCTCTAGCTTATTCCAGAAATGGCGGACCATTCATCGGCACACTGCAGAATTTTGGACTGATGAATGTCATGGTGGCACCCTCTCCCGGTTCCGCCGTGCTTCCCGAGATCGTCTTCTGCCTCTTCCAGCTTCTTTTCTGTGCTTGCACGGTATGATACAATTCCATCACAAATGGTCTAAATTACTGAGACCGGCAGGTAATGATACTTGCGGGAGGTGCCTTTGAACGAGGTAACATCTTGCCTTCTCTGATCTTCAGCTTCTTCTGGGCCACGATCGTCTATTGCCCTCTAGCCAGGTGGACATGGAGCAGCAACGGTTGGCTTTATAAGTTTGAGGCTATCGACTTCGCTGGAGGTGGTCCCGTCCATATAGCTTCGGGTTGTGCCGCTTTAGCATATGCGTTGGTTCTGGGAAAGCGGTTGCACCATGGAGAAGCCTCGCCGCGCAAACCCCACAACACGACGTTAGTATTTCTGGGAACAGTTCTCATCTGGACAGGATGGCTCGGGTTCAACGTATGTCTTGCCTAACCGTTCCCTTTCCTTCACTGTCTATCTAACTGTGAGTATAGGGTGGATCGAGTCTTAACGCCAGTATGCGTGCCATGGTGGCCGTCTTCAACACCAATACGGCAGGATGCACGGGGATCCTGGGATGGGTCCTGGTCGACATGATCAAACACAAGGGTAGATTTTCCGTGGTTGGGGCTTGTGAAGGCGCCATTGCCGGTCTCGTGGGGATCACACCAGCTGCCGGCTGTGTTTCTCTTTGGCTCGCGGCTTGCATTGGGTTCATTACCGGCATCGTCTGTTCATCACTACAGAACATTAATGACTGGCTCAGGATTGACGAGGGCATGGATGTCTTCAAGCTTCATGGGGTTGGGGGCATGGTCGGTGCCTTCTTGACCGGACTTTTCGCGAGTGAATCCATTTCAGCCCTGGATGGGGCCAGTCTTACTGGCGGAGCGATCGATGGCAACGGAATCCAGGTAGGCCGGCAACTTGCTGAGATCTGTGCTATCGCCGGATATTCCTTTACTGTGTCCTACATCTTGCTCTTCATTCTCAAGTACATCCCTGGGATGCGTCTACGGGTGGATGAGGCATCGGAGATGATGGGTCTCGACCGGGCACAGTTCTTTGACGAACAGATCGGAGACTGGTCGATGGCACATGGCATGAGCAGTCCGATGATGATGGGGGTGTCTAAAGAGCCATCTGAGTCAAAAGACGAGCAGACACAGAAGAAATCGGGAGTCTAGCGGTCGTTTATGGATCTTGTCACAATAGTTAGGGTTATGATTCAACTGTTTACATGATCTAAAAATTTTTGGTCAGTTCTGGGAATAAACAATGTGACAGGTAAGAAAGTAGTACGTACTCCTCAACACTACCAATGCACGAGCGCCATTTGTATACGTACATATGTACATCCCAGTAACAGGGTCCGAAGACTCCACACCTTGGCGATCTGGGGAATCCGGATTGGTCTTCCCAAGGGACTCGATCGTCAATGGAATTCTTCTCCATTGTTTATGGGGTCGGTCGCCGACGGGATGATCACTCGTAGGTCAAACGGTTGGTGCTCCATGTTGAACAGCATTCCCGATCTCGAACGTCATGGAGGGGAGAAAGGGCCAGAAAATCCACGAAACTCACGAAATTCACGAGAGGTGATGACGAATGCTTCATGCTTGGCTTCTGACCAGTTGGCGAATCCACCAATCAGAAGGGCGGACGCCGCCCTCCCGCATAACAGGGCCGAAGCTTACGTCAAGGCGACAGGGATTTATTTTAGTCCCTTGAAGTGTCCTGCAGACCCTGTCGATGGACTCTATGGATTCAAACCTTTAATTAATCCGAAATTACGAGGTTTAATTAATACCCACCGGTCCCCTTTGGTCGTGTTTGTTGTCCAACCGAGAGAGTAACGTTCGAGAGGAGCCATTCACAGTAATATGCAGACCAGAACAATTCATTTCCTTTCTTTTTTTGGCTCGTCTTCTGCCAACGAAGTCAATTTCTGACATCGAGGCCCATGATTGAATGGAATCGTTCAGCCTCCTCCCAAAGTAGTTCAAAAGGCTGGTTCCGACCGTTACCCAAGTAGGAAAGCGGCGGGCCTGAGGACCGGAGATCGGCAGCGTCGCGTCCTGTCGCCATCCGTTCCCGTCTTATCGTTACCACCATTTCATCCAATGTGACTCTCTTGGCTTTTTTTTTCCGTCCTTCCTTTACCTCTCTTGTCCCTCCAACCTTCCTCAGAGGAACCGGGAACAAGTCTGAGTTCTTTCCTCTTTTTCGTGGTTTGGTCCGCGTCACTTTTCATCTTGCTGTCCGTCAGCAAGGCCATTCGTTTAGTTCGTTCTGATAATCGACCTCCTTATCTCCTCGTCTTCGTTAGCCCCCTTCTCGCCGCTTACCTGACCCCGGCCTTTATCTCCCCCCAGTTTCAAACAAAGAAAAACTACGGTACCCCTCGAGGCTCGCCATTGACTGACCTGTACCGCTCCCCTTCCATTCGCTAATCGAGCTTGCCTTTCGACTGTCATGCTTGTTGGAGAATCACTATTATAATAATACCTAATTATCAGTTGCAATGGGCAAATGTAATATTCTTGATCCCCGCTTGCCACCATGTTCGCCGGACGCTGACCATAGGGTGACAATTAGGGCACTATGGAGTTGTCCTTGACGCAGGATCGTCTGTAAGTCACCACATATCAACGAGTACCTTTTTCGCGCCTCTAACACCCATGATAGGGGACGAGGGTTTACGTTTATCGATGGTTGAACAACGCTGTTGCGCGCAAAGGGGCAGATTCGAAAGATCTGCAATCTTTGCCGGAAATTAAAACGAAGTCAGAGTGGACCAAGAAGATACATCCAGGTAAAGACTCAGCGTCGCAGGATACAACAAAGCGAAACGCATTCTGACTACCTTGCTCTTGTAGGAGTGTCTTCATTTGCCAACAGACCCGAGGAGGTTGGATCGCAACATCTTGCAGAACTTCTGGAACACGCTCAGACAATCGTGCCCCCTGATGCGATCAAGGATACCCCGATCTTCCTTCTTGCTACTGCCGGTATGCGACTATTAGACGATGTGCAACGAAACCTTCTCCTGGATCAGATTTGCTCCTATGCGCGTGCCAACTCTGACTTCTTGTTGCCCGATTGTGACGTCCACATCCAAGTCATTCCTGGAGTGACGGAAGGTCTGTATGGATGGATCGCCGCCAACTACCTTCTGGGTAGTTTCAATGCACCTGAACGACACGACCATGGTAAAGACCATCATACTTATGGCTTCTTGGACATGGGAGGAGCATCGGCGCAAATCGCATTTGCTCCTAACTCGACAGAGACACAGAAGCACGCCAATGACTTGACTCTGCTGCGCCTCCGCAACGTGGATGGGTCAACGCAAGAGCATAGAGTTTTTGTCACCTCGTGGCTTGAGTTCGGCGTCCACGAGGCACGGCGACGCTATCTTGAGTCCATGCAAGCAGCAAGCGTGGTGGATAGCACCAAGCAACTCCCTGACCCTTGTCTTCCCAGCGGCCTTCGGACTACAATTGATGGGAAGCCCTTCACATCGGAACAAGATGGCAACATGCACCTTGTGGGCACCGGAAAGTTCGACGAGTGCATGCGGCAAACGTACCCGTTACTAGATAAGGATGCACCCTGTTTGGATCCGCCCTGTCTTCTCCACGGTATTCACGCTCCCGCCATAGATTTTGATGTCAACCATTTCATCGGCATTAGCGAGTATTGGCATACAACGCATGACGTTTTCGAAATGGGCCATAAGGATAAGGCATACGATTTCAACACCTATCAGCAGCGTGTGGAGTCTTTTTGCTCGCAGGACTGGGAAACTATCGCCAAGGGTATAGACGATCATAAATGGAAGAAACTCAACCATGAGAAGGCTTCTGAGGTTTGCTTCAAGGCTTCCTGGATCATCAATGTTCTGCACAATGGCATCGGAGTTCCACGTGTGGGGTTGGAGGACACAACGGGTTCGGGTCACAATGGCACAAAGGAGGTCATTACACACGCGGAAGAGAAAGGTTACCTCGATCCCTTCCAGGCAGTCAACAAAATCGACTCTACCGAAGTTAGCTGGACCCTAGGCAAGATGGTTCTGTACGCATCCTCCCAGGTCCCTGTGGAGATAGAAGAGAAGACCCTACCTGTTGGGTTTGGTAGCAATGTCGCCGGGATCCCCAACGACTTCCAATATCCTAGCACTGAGTTGCTGCCCAATCCTGAGGGTCTTCATGGCGCGAATTGGCATGACGCTCTTCTTAACGCGAGATCGTCCCGCAGAGTCCCAGGACTTGTGCTATTCCTCCTTATCATGATCATGATAGTTTTCTTCCTTTGCGGTCGAAGTCGCCGCTCGCGAATGTTCCACAAGATTAGTAACCTCTTCGGAGGGCCGTCCCACCCCAGTTACCCGAAGAAGCGCAAGTTCTTTGGTGGGAAACTGCCATTCTTTGGCCCCAGGAGCCCCTCTTATGAGCGTGTTCTTGAAGATGGTGCAAACGAGTTCGACCTGGGTGGGATTGTCTCCGGACGGAGTTCGCTGGATGTAACCCGCCTGTCTGATACTGAATCCGCAAGCTTCCTGCCGCCTAAGCGAGCATCAAGCTGGGGCAGCCCCACGCCCAGTCTTAAATTTGGGCTGGACAACTCTTCCTCCGGGACCATTGGACTCGGAATCACCGCTGGCTCCGGTATCAACGCCATGGATCGCGCAGGGCTAGTGGTGAGGACTGAGAGTCGGGACCATCTCGCGCCTATAGCACTGGGTCCTACGTCAAACGGCCGACGCTCCAGGGCAGGCAGTCCCTCGAGATCTCACCCTCATAGATCACCCATCCTGACACCGCTGTCGCATGTTGATTGATGCTGTGGTATGACGCTATTCACATTAAAACTCTTGATGTCCCTTTCTATTAGCATTATCTCAAGGAGTTTCGGTTTTTGTGTTGGTACGACTTGTCAGGTGAGAACCGCTTTCTTGACATGGCTTCCGTACCGAAAGTCTGCATTATGGCGCGATCTTCATTACTTCTCCGTGTGATATTTGCAAGGAGCGCTGTTGCTCCGAAGTACATAGCTGCTGCTTGCTTTCTTGTCCCGTTTATCCTTGCTTTTCTCCCGAAGTCGTTCATTGGATCTGACTTGGCGATTTATACGTTTTAATGACGCTGCATGTATCAATAGACTTATGCCACCTAGCCTGGACCAGTTCCGGCGATTTATACCAAATATTATGAATTTTAATTGAAGTTTCAAATAGTGACTTGCTTGCCCCCTTTTCTTTTTCGTAAATACTGAGCAATATTAGTCGTCAATCGACCATCCTCTGTACTATGCGATCACGTGTATGAGTGCTGATTCGTCGGCTCACCGCCCTGGCAAAATCCTTTGCGGTACCGCTTTGATAATTTGGGATGCGCAAAGAAGCTCTGGCTGCTCTCCACATACTTTGCTCTTTACACTGTCAATTTACTGTCCTGTGGGGGTTATCTGTCCGACCTTGAATTTCTATATTAATCGTGCCCCGTCCTTCCTATAATTGCATGATACCCGATAGAACGACTCATAGACACACACCGCCGCAATGCGATTGACCGTCGAGCTTATCCAAAATTCCCTGTCGTACATCAACCCGCTCAAGGATCGCGAATTAGATCTCCGAGGTGCGTTCTACACATCGGTCTGAAAAGGACAGATACTACACTTTTGCAGAGCTGGATTGATATCGTTTCTCTTTTGAGTCGTATAGGGCACAAAATACCCGCGATCGAGAACTTGGGTATTGCCAAGGTATGGCATTCTGCTTCCCATCTTCCCCCCGGTCGTTTGAGGCTCATTCTTCTGGCAGGATCAAGATGCAATCGATTTCACAGATAACGATATCTCCACCCTTGGGAATTTCCCGTTCTTTCCCCGCCTCCACACCCTTCTCCTCGCCCGGAATCGAGTCAAGCACATCCAGCCCACGCTAGCAACCTCCGTGCCGAACCTGGCCAACCTTGTATTAACATCGAACCATATGACCGAGCTCGCCGACTTGGATCCTCTGCGCAACCTGACAAAGTTGACCCATTTGGTGTTGTTGGAGAACCCTATCACCCGGAAAGAGGTAAGCATTCTATACGCTCCATTCCTCTGTTTCGGTTCGGAATTGCTGCATATATGGGTTTTACCTAGCTGTTTAATCTCAGAATGGGTGCGCTTACTGATCTTCACAGCACTACCGGTACTGGGTCATCTGGAGGATCCCCAGCGTGCGCTTCCTGGATTACCAGAAGATAAAGGATGCCGAGCGTGAAAAGGCCCAGGAACTCTTCGGAACCGCCGAGGAACCATCGGCACTAGCCTCCAAGATCATGGGCATCAAGTCCCGCACATTCGACGTCCCATCCGGAAGCCTAGCCGACCGGGCACCGGCCGACAAGGCCGTCAGGGTCCAACTCACCGAGGCCGAGAGAAAACGTGTCGAGAAGATGATCCGCGAAGCAAGGAGCTTACAAGAGATCGCGAGACTGGAAAAGGAATTGAACGAAGGACGGATACCCGGTGGCGCGCTCGATGCGGCCGAGGACCCGGATCAAATGCAGACATAATATATCCCGAAACGGGCGTATCTTTTTTTCTTGTTCTTATTGTGATGAATTTGGTGCAGAGCTTGTTCTGGGTCTTCTTTTGCATGAAAGATGTGATATCTTTCACGTCCAGGCTTCATTTTTCGTTCGATCTTCAGCTCAATACAGAAAAGCTTTCATTCGGCCGTGGCGGTGTTTGTGGAATACTTATATTTAGTGGAATTGAAGGCTCTTCTGGTTCTTTGCTTTTGCATTTGTTGTCCCACCTGTGTCGATGGTATGGAGTGACTTGGCGCAAACTGCAAACTAGCTGTTGATGTATTACATACAACTTAGATCAAGGTATACACAGCTACCAAATTACATAAGATGCCTAGCAGTGGCATGACCCGAATGGCGCGCATGAGATGTGATGTTCGGTGCTCAAGGCCCAATATCATGATGGATTGTCCAGTTGGTGGGATGCCATTGATCAGATAAGATAACCAGCACGTGCCGACGTCATGTCAACAGTGATTCACTACCAATCTTCACTGGTACTATTCAGCTACCTCACATTGAAATACAACCCTAGGGACCGTAGCTCTTAACACTGAGGTCTATTTGCCTCGTCCAATATTAGCCAATCATCGACACATCGGTAGCTTCAGACAGACCAGTACGAAGGATCCAATTATCTCAACCCCACGTCACAGTCAAACTGGCTTCGCGAACCTGCAGCAGGAGAATCTCCTCCTTAGCATCCCACCTCCAGCAATCACAAAGGCTTGTCCGATTTGGATCGACATCCACATCAACAATGGCCCCTCAAGCCCCATGGCGCTCTCTCTTCCAGTCTCATCTGACTCAAAACTCCTCCACTTCGTTTACTCTCTCGACCGTCGACCACGACTCTCAACACAGACCCGTGCCGCGCTCGCGGATCTGTGAGTTTCGTGGTTTCTGGCCGAGCCCGCAGCTCCATGACCAGGCGGTTGAGGCGTTAAACAGCCAGGGCATTGGTCAGAACCCCGCCGTGTATGAGAGCGATATGATCTCGCTCACGACTGATATTCGGATGGAGAAGGTCGGCCAGCTTGATTCTTCTGGGAACGTCGTGGAGGGTCTTTTCTGGTTGGCGGATGCTGGGAACCAGTGGCGGGTGAAGGGGGAGGCGTTTGTGATTGGGGACCCGAAGGGTGGAGCGCATGAGGCGGCGGCGAGGAAGGAGATTCAGACGGGCATGAACGTAACAGGAAACGATGCGGATGTGAGTGGATGGAGCTGGGAGAGACAGGTAACGACGTATTTTGCGAATCATTCGCCTGTCATGAGAGGTTTGTTTGTCCCTTCTTTTTCCATGGAATAGAGGGTAAGGCGTTGGCTGATCGGTTCAGGTTCGTTCAAAAATCCCTCCCCTGGTCAGCCGCGATCCCAGGAGCCTGTGGACCCAGCCTTGAAATTGGGTCAGAAGATAGATGATCTTCAGGACTCCGTTGCGCGTGCGAACTTTCGGGTGGTTGTTATTCGTCCAAGTGAGATCGAGCGTCTTGACCTGTCGGACCTTCAGAATGTGCGGCGCGTGAGATGGACCTTTGTTCCTGAGAACAATACCGAGGGGCAGGGAGAGTGGGTGGAAACAGAACTATGGCCATGAGTGTTGTGAGTATGTATGTTGCGCTGGCTTGGTTTTCCTGCAAATGCTTTAATATGCTTTGTACGCCATTAAGAACTTGCATACAACGGGGACAATGATAGAACAATCGTGCGATGTTAGAACCTAAAATATGACTCTCTCAGGTTGGAACAGTAGACAGAGTGGAGAAGGGTGAGTGCAGGATGCGAATGAATTGCTTTGTCTGGGGACAATGAGGCTTGAGCAATGGCGCATTGTTCATAACACTCTAGGACAGATCCAAACATCAATGAGGATGTCGTTTATTCCGGCCAGCCACCCCCCATACAACAAAGGGAGATAAAGACGTAAGTATATGGAAGGCGTTGTGTTCGATGCAGAGAGTCAGCCGATGTGGCTCTTCCAAGCTTTAAAGCGCGCTGTCGTCCGTCCTTTTCCAGCAGCCCTATTATGCCCTTTCCATAATAGTCCTACCCCCACTTTTTTCATTCACGCTCACTGCGTCCAGAGCTTCTCCTCGTTTCCCATACGTCGTCATCCTCTCATCCGTTTTAGATCCTTCATCATTCTTCCAAGAGATTTAACAAAAGGGGGCATTATCTCCATCGGAAACGCGAACAGAAGACCCGACGCAGAGGCACAACGCCTACGAACCTCTCGAATTCTAGTTCTCTTTCGACCTTTCCTGTCGATTTGATACATATATTGCGCCGCTCTGTTTGAACAGGGCTATTCAAAGTGCCGTTCCTAATAGATCCTGTGAGAATGGCCAGGCCTTGCAAGAACTGCGGCGCTCCGCGCGCCGAAGACGTTCCTGACGAGATCGAGCTGTGCGAACAGTGTACCGCGAGGGATGCGCCAGTTGCATCGTTCGATTCCCAAGCTGGATCACCGACTGAGCCCAATACCCCGATCCCGGCTACCCATTCTGATGGTTCCCAGGGAGATGACATCCATTCCGGACAGGGGAGGGAAGCCGTTGATCTTGACGAACCCGTTCTCGTTCCTGACCCTGGAAGTGTCCTGGTGGGCTGTGGCCCCTCCCAGGTTGGAATGGGGACCAGTGCAATTGCGCCGATGCCAGCAGCTCCGTCGGGCAGCGCTTTGAATGATGGCAATCGTCTTAAGCGTAAAGCGTCGGCTTTGGGTGTCGAAGAACCGATTTTGGATATTGAGCATGATCAGAGTGTGGAGAGTATTGACCCCGTGGCTTCAACTTCTGGACAGAGTCAAGGTTCTTCTTCTTCGCACGAGGTTTGCAGTGTTCCCAGCTCCTCACAATGTAGCCCATTCACGCTAATATGTACCCTAGCAAGCAAACAATACACCGGCAAATCCGGCCAAGAAGGTCAAAATGGAGCCGGCATGTGGCTCTTGTAGAAAATCCAAGATTCGATGTACACACCGCAAGCCCGTCGTCAACCCAAGAGATGGTAAGTTGTGTATAATTGGTCCCATTATCCTGTTCTCAAAGCGCCACTTAACTTTGTATGTCATCAGATGCCTTTCAACAAGAAACACAAAGACCTCTTCAACCAAAGGAAAGTGGAGAAACTTCACAAGATGATCCTGCGCATGACGATCCAGGAGAGGAGTCCTCAAAAAGAGCAGGTCTTAGGCCCAAGAGCCAACCAGGAGCTACCCGGGTTGGTAGAATCCCTCCAAAGCCAAGGGGTAGACCTCGAAAGCAGCCTGAGGAGATCCAAGCCGTAGTCGATGAGGGCAACGCTGTAGAGGAACCGGAATCCCCACCTAGGCGACCCAGACGCGGGCGTAGACCTGCCCAGCGCATGGGAACCAGTGCTGAAGGTAAGAGAGGCCAGGCTACCGCCCCCGAGCCAGCAGCTGCAGCAGTTCCGGCTGAAACAATGGCAGCAAATCTCTCGATCGCGTCGAACATGGCTCTAAACAATATCCTGGCGGAAGACTTCCAGGATACCGTGCGTGACTGTGGAGAGAAGTGGCAGACGGTGTCAGACTCACTCAGAGAGGCCATGGATTCCTTTCACGAGGCCAAGCACAAAATAGATACTTGGCTTGAGATGTGGAGGAGGGGTGAAGTCTAGACAAGAACCTGTTAGGTTAGTCATGGCCATTTGTATAATTGTGATTTATGTCAGGAGATTCTGAGCGGTCAGGTGAATATTGGCAGTACATAATGTACCTCAGGATAGTGTGAAGGTCTGTTGTCTATCTAGGCATGACTCAGTGTGCCATATTCGCTAGTGGGATTGTCTTTATTTGGTTCAGTGTACAATAGCATCAACATATAAGATGTGCGGTGAATAATTTCATGCTTTATCACTGAAATTGCAATATTCTCAGGGGAAGGCCAAAGTGAAGTCCATGATATTGTCACCAGCTCCCATGATCTGGACTTTACCTTGCTGGCAGTCACGAGCCAGCTCTCCCATCCACCGCCTGGATTACATCCTATATGAATGTCAGCACATTTCAGTATATCAACCCAGGATGGTCTTATTAGATACCTTTCTACGGGTATAAGCCCAAGTAGTCACAATGCATTCAACAACACCTGTCTGACACAGCTATCCAGTGTAAGCCATGCAAGCTTCATCTCAGAGTCACCATTCAAAACATTAAGGCAGACATAGCTTGAATTCAAGGTATGGGCCAGTTTCCACTGATATGTAAGCACTGTGACTAGCTCTCTGTTTTGAAAGTGGTCTAGAAGACTTCTGGCCACTATGCCAGCTTCTGTACGATAGTGATTGCAGGCTTTTCTTGCAAGAGTGAGAGGTCTGTCTCCTCGAGATGCTCAGACGGTATATCGGCCGCCATTTTGGCATCGTTAGGAAGGGGAGGTAGGGCTTGCAGGGTTTCATATGGATAGGTGGTTCATGTTTTACTTATTGAGGTCTTGGGGTATATAGATGCGGGCTGTCATTATGAGTCACTTCCTACGGTATTTGTGAGGTGGTTCAGTCGACGTTCATGCTACGGATGATGTATCGAAAATACTAGTTCTAACGGCCCAGAAGCGTAGGACCCTAAGGACTGATCCTGCTTGAAGTAAAAGAGCCGCGAAAAAGATGTAAATATGAGCTTTAACCAAAGTACGAGAATCTAATTAAGCCTTAATGACGCTGTTGGAATTATAACCCCATTTGAAACCCTACTAAATAATGGCTTTACTGCTCCAGCTAAACTATAAGAGATCTTTGGCCGCCTCTCACGGCATTAAAAAGGGGGAGGAGGCTCTACCTCCAGCATCCAGTCATAGATTTGCCATAGTTCTCGCTGTTCCTTTGTAATCGTAACCTCGTCCTCCTTGTATTGAACCTCAAGCCACTCTTGCCATGGCCAGTCAATCCATTTGCGAAAGTAAGCATGACGGTCATAATGGACGTTCCATCTGAGTAGAGGGCTAATTGCGACACCAGGCAGATATCGGCTCTCGTCCCTGCTGTTTGAGGGGTTGCGGGATCTACCAATAACCGATTTTCCCAGATCGATGATAACTATTCGCAATGTCTGTGAGTCGCTTCGTCGAACCACAACATTCTGTGGACGTAGATCTTCGTGGCAGACGTTTTTCGTGTAGAGAGAAGACTCTCCGTCAACTATTTGTTTCATGATATCCTGACGCTCCTCCTTTGAAAAATTTTCCGGATCTAGTCTGTCCATTGACAGACCATTAATCCACTCGACTAAAATCAATCGGACCAGGCGAAAGTGTTTACCGATCCTTGTTTTTCAAGGTGTAGGACCCGAAAAATCTGGGAATGACCGAGCCCTGGAGGTCTGATAGATGCGTGTAAGCAGCGCATTCATGCGTGTAGTCATAGTCAGCTCCGAGGAAAGAGTCTTCATCAAAGTCATGATAAAATGGGTCGTAAATCTTAGCGACCATGTCCTGGTCGGTTGGTGGACAAGAATTGGAGCTATTCATGCATCTGACAACAAATATCTGGGCCCTCTTTTCATAGCCGACATTTAGTTCCTCGATTAACTTGATGGAAACGAAGTTGTTACCATCGGAGCCTGGCAGTGGCGGGTTCTGGAGACATAACTCTGTAGGAGACAGCGACTGATCCTGTCCTACAGAGGTAGCTCGTCGGATGAGCCCACTTTTGGGTATCGGGGACGGAGGATTATGTGACTGGATAGTGAGTGTATCATTGATGCAGTATGAAAATGATATGTGGTCATGATTTTCCATTGTGGACATCTTTGTTGACAGAAATGAGTCGATTCCCGAATAATCTAACAGCAGCGCAACTGTGTTCCGAGTTGCTGATGGCCAATGAAATTGTAGAGCTGAATAACACCAGTCAGGTGAGTGTGGGTTAGCGATAATTAAAACACTTATGTCTTTATCCAGTATTTTTGTCGACCTTTAGAAATAAGTGCAGTGGTTGTGTCTGTTCTCCTCGCTGTGAAATATATTCGTAGAATCAGTATCTATGAACGCTCGTAATCTAAATATATATTTAACGGTGCTGACGTATTGAACCCTAACCTGGAGAGAACAATTACATGCAGTCGAAAGCTTTGACACAGTATTTTGTAAGAGTCTTATCGTCTAAAGCTATTTACGATATTAAGGCTCCAGCATAGTCTTCACCCTATGGAATTGTCAAGACAACAAGAAGGAAGGTCATGAAGGGGCCAATGCGTCCTTTACCCTGTCAGATCAGAGTAAAGGCAAGGACTGCATAAATCATCCAAAATCTACCCTGGGATTTCAGCCATTCCTAGACTGAATCTTACTACTTATCCAGATCTTAGACATAGCTGTTGGCCTTATTTTATATCCTAGACAGTTTGATGGCGAGGTGTTAAAGGATTGATGGAGTAATACTAATCGAGAGATTGTTGCTGCTTCCATTTATAAATACAAAGTATTGAGCGGAATAATATCTAATGGGGCGGTGGCACAGTGGTAGCGCGCAAGATTGCAATGATCTGATTCGTCAGCCAAATATTGCAACAATCTTAAGGTCGCCGGTTCGATCCCGGCCCGTCCCTTCTTTTTTCCTTTTACTTCCCCCGTTTTTTACCCCAGCTTGTTTTGACTAAGATCTTGTGTACTCCGTTCCGTATTCATCCATGAATGAGCCTGTTTGTCTGGTGCACAGACAACTCAGCTGTTGAACGGGGATATTGGAATCTATTCGTTGGGTTTTCCATAGGCATCATCCGTCTACCTACTTATTTGAATAAATACACATAGATCATCAAACATTAGTTCACCTGTTCTCAGTCCGGTACGAACAGTTCAGAGTCTCTTCTATATACTACAAGAGGCCTTGTTTGTGACCGTGCTGCACAACAAGGCAACGAGACACTCATTTCTATCATTTCGAACGCTGACCGACTAATGCTATCCCACCCACAGTGGCACTCACATCCATAGTCAACAAACAGTAGGAGAAAGCATTGACTGGACCGTAGTCGTCCTGACTGAGGTGGGATGCGAAAAGATCGTGCTGATCCCTGTGGATACCTAGTCGTACATCACCTCCTTCTACAAAGCTTGCCAGCTGTATACAAAATATAATTGGACCTGAGACTGGAGGTGAGGCTTTTGTTACAGTGGTTCTGGCAGTTCCACCCACAATCTTAAGGCATCCCACTTTCTCAGGTTAGAACACGTCAGTAAAACTTACTGTTCAAAATAAAAGTCAAAGCGCAAAATCGAGTGTCTTGAAGAGCGGACCTTATCTCCCTGATGCCTAGAATTCGGAATGTGTTCTCGAATAAACATATATATGTTGGCTAACCAGACTATCTCATTCCAGCAGGGGTATCGCTTTTGTCATGTCCGAGGTCCATGGGGAAGAGACGCACAGCTGTTGCACGAAACCTTACAGCTGAACCATGCGATATTGAGACCATTAGGCAGTACTGAGGGGGTGGTTGCTTGCAAGGGACGGAATAGGGATATAATGTATTATGTACAGCACTCCACAAGTCACTAGCACCGAGTACGTTAGTGCCTTGCTTTGGCCACCAGGGTATCAGAGTAGAGGACAATGTCCAGGATGCAGCTCGTCTCAGCTGTGCCAAATGATTCAGCTGAAAATACCTCATACTTCGATATTAATATATTAATATTACAAGGTGAGTTGCCAGAAATGCAATTATTGCATATATTTCTATACCTAATGCTTTACATTCTGACTAGACAAGCAAACGCCCAATTAGACAAGGTTAACAGCAAGAATTTAACAGTATGCCGTCTCGGCAGTATTCTCCACGATGTATTATCCTACACTAGTCCTCACCCTAAATTATTTATTCCTATTATCCTGGCTGTGGATGATTCCCCACGGGATAACCTATGCTTATATATACTTAGTCTTTAGTAGTGGGGATTTGATAGGAATGCTAAATGTGTCATAAAGTCATCAGTATAAAACAAAATACCTGGTGCATGTCCCATATGTTATAAACTACTCAACGGGACGCTGTAACAATGAACAGCTTAAACATCTCTGGAATCCCTTGCGTGGCCACATAGCTAACCGTGAATCCTTTAGTTTCCAGCAACTGTTTCACCTTGTCGAGACTCCCCTTCAGATCACTCACTTCCATCACGATATTTCGCACTTTGCTCCAATCCGCGTCGTCAATCCCACCTAGTACCTCCAACTCCGTTCCCTCGACATCAATTTTGAGAAGGTCAATCGCCTCAACGTTGCTATGGTACCGATCCAGGAAATATGAAAGTCGGTTAACCGGAACCGTGATCTGCTTAGCATCCTTGAACATATCGTCTCCGAAGGCCTCATCGTAGTTCTCCCTGAAGAGCCGGATCTGACATTCCTTCTCTTCGATATTCATAGTAGAGTTCCCAGGCATGTTCGGAAAGTATGTGAATGACGCCGAACAGGCCTGTGTGCCCAGCGCGTATGGATACGCCACCACGGTGGAGACCATATGGAAGGCCAGGTTCCGGTTCAACGCCTCGAAGTTTTCCGGTGCCGGCTCGAACGCGATGATCTTGGAAAGTGGATACTTCTCCTTCATGTACAGAGAGAAAAGCCCGATATTGGCTCCCACGTCAACGATAATTGGCGCCTTGGGCAGCTCGACTCTGTCGTACCCGTGGGCTTCGAATATCTCGTGGTATATGAACCTTGCTTCGTTCTCTCCTCTAGTGTAGCAGGAGAATTTGTCTGATAGTTTTACTAGACGGAGAGTCATTTTGATCCAGCGGATATCGATCTGATGGATGTTGAAGGGGGATTATGAACCGTTTAGATGCGAGAGTCTCAGGAAGAAGATTGTATACTATTTGCAAAGGTAAATTTGCTTGAATTAATCTTCTATGACGCTGGATGGACCAACTTATTATATGCGCATGGAGTGAATGCCCCACCCTTCATTCATACATCTGATGTGGCTCGTTACACAATATCAGGAATTGAGGAGCTGTATTCTCTTCATAGTACCGAATCACTGTGTGAGACGCAACACTCACATCCCCTCATAAAAGGGAAATGTTCTGGCATCTAGTTAATGGAATTTCCGTTCATTATATTCAAGCAGGACACATTATTTTGTATATTGATAATCGTAAGACTCCCTTGCTAATAATGATGACTCAAGTAAGGTGAAGCCGTATGCCGCAATTCCCCATGGGAGGATATATGATACAAGGCTAAATCACTCCGAGAATCCGGGAATAAGCACCCAAATATCTTCAATGGACAGACTTCACCATCCAGGATACACCGAAGATGTTCTGCTGATCCATATATTGCACATTTACTTAAACTAGTCTGGATGGGATTATCGCTTCCTGGAAAACCAGGGAACTACACGGTCACACCATAATGCATGCGTGAATGCCTGACATCTGCCCAGGTCTGTGTCCTCAAATCGGCCCCTCCGCGCTTTCGCAGATGGTGAGGTTCCTCCTCCTATACCCTTGTTCTCTTATTCCGGTGTTACCGAGTCTCTATTGTGATGGCTTGGATGAGAGACGCCATAGTGCTCACTAAGATGACTAAAATAAAACCTATTGGTCTGTGAGATGCTGCAAGCTATCTACCACTGCCTGATTCCGTAGAAAGCATACCAACATTTGTCCTACGGGTGTGTTACAGATATGGAGGGTATTACATCACCTGATCGCAATAGGGTTGCCAAACTCTTAGTTATCCACTTATTTCTATTGAATCATTATCTTTTCTACAATCCTGTGGCCCACAGTCCTCCGTGAAAGAGAGCTTACATATCTTTTAATAAGGAGTATTATATCGACATGGTGGCGATGTTTTCATGGCATCTACATAATACCAGTAACTGGGCACTGCCAAACAATCAAAACACCACTGTATCTTAAGCAGAAGGAGGAAACACGGTAAACCCAATCAAACGTATTTAAAGTCTAGATCTAAGCTTTCGGGAGGGAATCAAGATGTCGATCACCCGAAGACTCAATTCAATTGAAATCATGATGATGCATGAACCCTATGATGTCACCGCTCAGATCTGAGATCGAATTATGACATATCATACCAATCTTAGCCCTAGAATATAAGAAAGGCAAAGGCTTATCCCCATTCAATATATTAAAATCTAATCAATTGATTTCCCTCGTCGCACCCAACATGCCCGCCAACGATGACAAATATACCGACCCCGAACTGCGGGAACAGATCAAAGAAGAAGTCAAACAGAGTGACAAGGGCGGAAAGCCTGGGCAATGGTCTGCGAGGAAGGTGGGTTCTTTTCTTCTATCTCTCTGCTCTGGTATTGTTTTCTCCAGTGTGGAGAATGTGTATTTACATACATATCGATACAGGCCCAGTTTATGGCGTCCGAATACAAAAAGCGCGGTGGGGATTATACTACTTCGAAGGAGGAGGGACAAGATGAAGCTCAGAAGAGTCTGGAACAGTGGGGCAAGGAAGAGTGGCAGACGAAAGAGGGATCTGGCACGGCTAAACAGGAGGATGGGACGAGGAAGCGATACTTGCCGAAAAAAGCATGGGAGAAGATGAGTGAGAAGGAGAAGGAGGAGACCGAGAAGAAGAAACAGAAGGGGTCTAAGAAAGGCAAGCAGTTTGTTTCTAACACCAGTAAGGCAAAGAAGGAGAGGAAGCAGGCTGCGGAAGAAAGTAGGGATGAGGATCAACAGGAGTCTGAAGGTGAAGAATCTGGATCAGACGCATCTGGGGAAGTTGATGAAAACGATACCGAAGAGGAACAAGAGGGAGAGGACGAGGACGACGAGGAGCAACAAAATGGGGAATCTGAAGATCAGGTTGGCCATACAACAGAGGCTGGCAAGAAGCGCACTGCAAGTCAGGAGGAGGGAGCAAATAAGAAACCCAAGACACGCCAGGACAGTAAAGCAGAACGCGAGCAAGAAGAATAGTCTGAGATCGACAACCCCAGACACCCCATGTTGAATTTTACTTGAGAATCTTTGTAAATACGAGAGCTGTATGTATTTAATCTTGGTGGGCTGCACCAGGGTCAGGGTATAGTGTGCGGTCATTCGAATGACAATCCAAACTTTTACAGAAACCCTAACATTACGGATCTCCTAACGCAGTGAATAAGCGGTTGTATAGTTCGCCAAAAAGATGGCTATCTTTAGAGCTAGCCAACCTCACCGTTGCCTCTTTTGTTATCAACCAGCGTCATAGTCAGGGCATGTTCCTTAATTTTGCCAACAAAACCATTTCTCATGACCACTTCAATATCAGGGACTTCCGTCATTATCAGTGTTGAAGACTTCATGATATAGAATAAGACACTAAGCGGGAGGAAGATATGTATAAAATAGCATGATAATAATATCTCATTAATTTAAGACGGAAAAGCAGGGACAGGTAGATTAAGAATGTTTACCTTTGTACTGAATCAATGAACGATATTCTGGAAAGTTCATGGGGAAGACTCGACTCATCCTCTACCCAACCACATAGAATGATTGGTGCCTCAGGCACCAGCTGCCCAGATCATAGCGGCCATCGAATCCTGAAACGTAGAACGAAGAATACTTGACACTAAGCACTAGGTTATGTAGCCTTACATTATCAATATCAAATAAAATCTAAGCCATATCCCATGTAGATCACCGAGGCCATGTCGTCTCGATTGCTGCGTCTGAGCTACTTGTATTTGGCCGACTCTCCACATCCTGCTGGATCGCAGTATGCACTCTGATCCCACGAAGTTCAACATCCGAACTATGTCTCCCACTAGGGTCTGTAGACACCACGACGTTCTTGCTTGCTCTTATACCATGGGGATCGCTGATTTTATGGAATCCGTCGGGGTCTTGACTGAGCCGGTTGAGATAGCGTGGTGTGCGTAACGAACGGGTCGACTGGCCTTTGACCTTTCCAAGAAACCTGTGCACGAGGGGTTTGAACAGAGGAAGACAGCCACAAATAATAGCGACATTAAGTTCAAGGGCAGTCCAAATGGACTCTTTAGCGCTTGATGCTAGAAGGCATTAATCGAGGCAACTGGGGGGAGGATTTAGGACATACAGGCAAGGTCATTAGTGTGAAAGTGGTTGAACTCCATCACTCGTAACAAACTGAAAATGCATACCCTAAGATTGTCAGCTCACATATAGGTTATTGACACTTATTTTGAGGGCACGTACAATGCACCCAGCGAGAAGACGATTGTCAGCCCGACCTTCTGTTGGACGGTGATTCGTAGCCGCCAAACCACCGGCATTGGCAAAAGCAAAATGATCACGTCTTCTATTAAAGACAAGCAAGCTGATGTTTGGAACAGTTTGGTCTGTCCGGGCATACAGCGACCGTTTAGCGTGGTGTCATAGTAGTACTGAACTGGGTGGCATTGGAAAATATTGCCCATGAGCTCCGTAAAGGCCCACATAATGGTGAAGACAATTAGACACATCACTCCCACACGAACCGCTTTCACGGTGCCTAGTAGTCGCTTGAGAAAGACTAGGATGGATATTTTCACAAATGCCATGGATGGTGGCCAGAACTTCTGGATCATCCAAGAGCCCTAGAAGATATGGTTGGCAAAAGTCCGGCTATCAGATGCCGAGTCATGACTTACAAATTGCAGGCGAATACGTTCGTCCTGCGGAAGTTCATGCCCTGGAACTCCTACACCATTGAAGGCGGCTAGGGACACGCAGTGAGCAAGAGAAATCGGCGAGTATGCTATACTCACTATAGATAACAAAAGCCGTGACCCCGTACGAGAGAATCAGGCCAATACCCATCAACAACTCCTCTAACCGCCACCCGACCGTAGACATCCGGCACGCAATCAGACGCAGGGCATAGATGAGTGTCGCAAGCGCTGCCCCGACCGTAGGGACGATCGCGACAACATTCCCCCAGTATAGGTTCCGAATAGCCATGGAGCATCACGGCTATAGAAGGTCGGCCACAGCGATTGATCGCTTGGACTCGAGTTGCAAATTTCGGTCGTACATGTTTTTCAGAGAAAAGGCCACTGTCAGCAAACAGCCCTGCATGACATGGGATGTCCGAAACAAGCCGTCAGCCGTGGAAAATAAGCACCAGTGCAACCTCAGTCAGGGTTTCGACTCCATATGCATGAGACTAAACTACGCCGGGGAACGTGCCGTGCCGATCCCCATCCGAGGATTCCATTGCACTCACTCTTAACCCCCCAAAATGCCTTTCCCTGTCCGAAAAAATTTCTCTCGGCATGTTTTTGTTTATTGCTTTTTCTCTGTCGAAGGATGGCTCCTTCGGTTTCCAAGACCTCGCTTGTTTTGTTGGCCGCTCATCTCCTGGGTGTTGCCGCGGCGGATAACTGTACCCTGGCCAGCTTCAATGCCACACTTGGTGGACGGGTCCAGTCATTGAAGCCGTTCTCATTGCCGTGCTTCTCGCAGTACAATGATGTCTCTACGGATCCAGATGAAGCAGCATGCAGTGTGATCCAGAGCAATTACAGCGATCCTTTCCTGCGTGCCAATTCCGCCAATGGCTACATGTATAATCAGGCCGAAATATGCGCATCCGACCCAGCCAACCAATGTCTACTTGACAACTTAGATCCGACCAATCCACAAGCGCTCAGGACCTCATGTAATCAAGGAAATACGCCTTCCTTCTCGCTGGAGGTTCAGGGGCCAAAGGATGTGGTCGAGGCTTTCAGATTCTCAAGTTGCTCAGGAACCCGTCTGTCAATCAAAAATAGCGGCCATGACTTCCTGGGCCGTAGCAGTGGTCAAGGAACTCTCTCTTTGTGGACTCGACACTTGCAGTCCATGCACTACAACCCTGCTTTTATTCCCACTGGTTGTAATGCTACCTCGAGATACGATACGATTACTGTGGAAGCAGGTGTGAATTTCGATGAGGTCTACAACTTTGCCCAATCGCATAATGTCACTTTCATCGGGGGTTATTCGCCGACAGTAGGTGTTAGCGGGGGCTGGACACAAACTGGAGGCCACAGTATCCTATCGCCTGTCTATGGTTTGGGCGTGGATAGGGTTGTCCAATACAAGATTGTGACGCCTGACGGCCAGTATCGGATTGCCAACGAATGTCAAAATCAGGAGCTCTTCTGGGCTCTGCGGGGTGGTGGTGGTGGCACCTTTGGTGTGGTGATGGAAAGCACCCATCGTGTTGAGCCACAGGTGAGCATAGTCTCTGCCTCGATCAAGTTTCCCCTGAAGGCGAATTCAAGCAACGTTTTACCATTCCTCGATATCTTGGTGAACAATGCTGTCAAGTGGGCCCACGAGGGCTGGGGCGGCCATATCAGCGGCAACTCATTCATCAATGTCACGCCATTGCTGTCTTTGTCTGAAGCCAAGGATTCCCTGGCTGAGACTGTCGCCTACGCGGAGTCCCAGGGTGGCACTGCAATTATTGAAGAATTCCCGTCCTGGTATGAGTTCTACCAGAAATATGTCGTTCCCAACGCGGTCACTGTGGGCAACGCTCACTTCGCGGCAACGCGACTCATTCCGCAAGCAGTGTTTGAAACGGCCACGGGTCGTGCAGGTCTTATGAAGTTTTTCTCAGTGCTCCTGTCGAAAGGTGGAAGCGTATACATCCCCGTGGTTGGACCTCTACTCTACAAAGACGTCAAACCCAATTCTGCGACCCCAGCCTGGAGAGACGCCATCTGGTCTGTCGGCGCTGACGGCTTTTGGACATGGAATAGCACTCTCGAAGTGCGGGAGCAGAAAGTGGCTGAGATGCAAGATATGACAGCGCTTCTCGAAGAGATCACTCCAGGTAGTGGTGCTTACAGTCCCGAGGCCAACCCCTTCACCAAGGATTGGCAAGAGTCCTGGTGGGGTAATGAGAATTATGGCAAGTTGCTGAAGATAAAGAAAAAGTATGATCCGAATGGACTGTTGAGCTGTTGGAAGTGCGTTGGCTGGAAGGAATCCGATGCGCAGAGCTCCTGCTTTGCGGCGTTCAACTAACTCTGATGTGGGACTCTGTATACTACTGTATTTTCACGCAATTGATGAGTTTGGGAAGGAATCCATGTCCTCGGTGCTTTTCTTTTGTTTTACTTTGCTTCATCTTTCAATCGTCAGTCATTCTATAGACACCATGATAGACCTTCGGGACAGGTATACAGACTCAAGAATTTTATTTGTACAAACTCTAATCTCCGTGAAACCGAATCAGGCCAGTCCAAAAGACATACATTTACGACAAGGAGCAATTAAAACTTTGAAAAAAATCCCTCGCCGGCGTTACAACCCTGACCCACCTCAGTGCACGTTAGCCTCTATATGGATACACTCCCAGATGTAACTTTGTCTGCAACTAAATGTCCGGCCGCCGGGACCCCTGTCTAGTGCCTCATACTATATCCCGACGAGAGAGCGAAACGGGCACTCAATCGGCACGACCGGAGTCCAGTGTGGACCGTCGGGCCCACCGGGCTTGGGGTCCAATTGCTTAGGTCTGCATTTACGCAGTAGTGGTCTTAGCTCTGTTGATCCTGATCGAGTCCGCCTATACACAGTACATCATTCGTTAGAAGCAGGTACCCGCTTCGGCTGGTTAATATAAATCCCTGCATGTCGTGTTCGGACGCGTGAATTGCGTAGGCTCGTTTTTGTCCCTGGAAGGTTCAAATTCAAGGCTATTTCGCTATAAAAGTTTGTATCTTTTGGGTTATGCTTCGTAAGCAAGATAGGCTAGTCAATAACTATATTATATAACCTACCCAGTGAATCATTCACGATACTTTTACAGAATCTAGAATATCTCTATATAGTTCGCCATTCTCCAAAAGCCACAGGGTGTATTACCTCGTTATCAGAGCTCCAAGCATCCCACCTTCCCGCACATGCTTGAGCAGCAATTGCATGCGTCTCTTAATAGCCGACTGAGCTATCGATTCAAATCTCAATGCCTCGTAGCTACAACTGCTGGGGATAGTTATAACAATAATCACAACTACCACAGCTACCGCGCAGCAGACCCGCGATTCTTGAATCCGGCCATTCTCCCTGAAGCAGTTTCGGGATCTATTGCTTCTGTGCGCTTTCTCCAATGTGCTTGCTTCGGTATCTCCCGAAGCCTCTGCGACAGCTTCCTTGTGTATCTCCTGCACCCGATGGTTGTTGACCTCGAGCGTACAGTCCCGATCGCTGGCCTCGAGTATGCAGTCTCGGTCACTGACCTGGAATCCTTCATCCTTGCGATGTGTGGGACGTTGCGGTGCGAGCTCTTCGTATGTGTCGCTGTCATTCGCAGTAGTAGGGGGAGACTGTTGCGCGAGTTCTTTGTATGTGTCATTGTCGTTTGTTCATTGAGGATCACGTGTCTGGGAAGACATCTTGAGTAGGAATAGGTTATTCGGTTAGTAAATGTTGACCACGGGGGAAAAGTTGTGTCACTTACCGTGATTCTGGGGCGGAGGTTTTTGATCTATGCCAAGAGAGAAAATGGACATCTCGAGTCTCAGTCTTATTTATCATTCGAGGACTGAAACAGGGGGGGAAACGATAGTCGGGAGGACGAGGCTGAAGATTGTCCTTAAAGAACTTGAACAGTCATATTTCTCACGGGCCAATCAATGTTTACGGATCTGATTGTAGTGGTTCACGGAATGTTCCGAGAGTAGGCTGCCCAATAATATGAGCTAAACTGTAGTTCAGCCAAGAGGGTAGTTCTCATTTACCCCACTGTATACAAGGATGATATATAAAGATGGCCTTAGGTCTCGAATTTGTATGCCTTGATTTGGTAGAATAATGTACGTGCAACGATATCAGGCGGAGTTTGGATTGGAACGGGCCGTCCCAATCTCTCGAGCTATAGCATATCTGGTTGACTCCACTGCCACTTTACACTTCAGACATGACATGTTCCATTCATCAGCCAGTGCATGTCACGTGAATTATGCTTGAATCTTTTGCGGAACGTTCGTAATGGGAGTTATTCATGACAGTGACTCTTTACATCATCTCCTACGGAGGAGTCAAGTAAAAATACCAATACCAGAAAAAAAAAAGGTTATCATATGTATTTCAAGATATAACATTCACAAAGAATTGAAACGTCTCCTCCACAGTAGAATCGATGTCAGCCCCGCCGCATCATTCAAGGACCGGTGAAATGAAGCTCGCCGTTGCGGTTCTCGATCTTATCGCCCAGCAACATTCCCTGTAAACCACGGTCGCCACCGTTGTTCGATTGCATCACGGCGACCAGCTTGGGGCCCCACTCGGTATCCTCCAGGCGGATATCGCGGGCGGTGCTGGTGAAGTTCTTTCCGCCCCAGATGAACCAGCCTAGGGATCATGTATGTTAGTCACCTATGAATTGTATATTGAGATACCAGAGTGGAAGAGTATGGGGAATTAGTATTACCATCGGTGTTGCCAATGTGGTCGTCCAAACGGATGGTCCGTTCAATCCAGTTGCCGTGCATATCTTTGACCTCCACTCGGAACATGGTGATGCCGTTGTCGACCTTGATGCGCCAGTTGCGGGCGGTGTGGTGGAAGGAACCCATTTTGAAGGTTGGTTTGGTAGTGGGAGGGAGTATAGAGGATAGGAAGTAAGAGTGGATGAGACTGAAGCACAGAAGTCAAGGTGGGATGGATTTATATGATGCTGCTGCGCTCAGCTGGCCACCCACCGCATTGCTGCCTTAAGGCCCCATGCTCCCTAATTAAGTAGCGACTAGCGATGCAGGGTGACATAGCGGGTGGATCGTGGTGGCGGTCATTGGAGCGTGAGGCGTTGCAAGGTGGGGTTCGGAGGGGCTTAGCGAGGGGCATTCGACTCTTTTTATAAATAGCTACTGGTCCATTGTTGAGTCGGTGAAGTGTGTACCACAGCAACGCACTGAATCGAAGAGGCTACTTTATGAGCTGAGAATCATGGTGGAGCTGTCGTGTGATTTCCGCATTAGGGCGAAAGTAAACAATGGGGTAGTTTGAAGTTATCTTGTTCGGGACCATATGGTACTACACTGATTAAACTGTTGGTACTGACTATAAGTTTAAGAGATAAATCATCAATTTCATCAATAAAAGCTATACTCTATACTCTGTAGTGAATGATTGATTAGATTATTGAGAATTCACCTGGCCTGCGGAGGCTATTAACAATATGTACGCAATGCGAGTGACGTTGAGCTCCAGGCTGTAACTGACCTCTTTCACGCGTCACATTCACCTTTACCTGGCTTTTACACTTTGACTCTAGTACAACCTGTCAAGCCATTAAGGAATTGATCACTATCTCAATCTACGCAGTATTCTACACAGTAAGCACAGCTTCGTCAGTAATCTCGTGACCCACTTTTACATAATGGCCCTTGATCGCGCTAAGGACCGCAATGTTTTCATCTACAATAGTGCTACAGGTGACTGTTTAGGTGGGATGTACCAAAATGGTTCAGTGACAGAAGCCGTATTTCTTTGGATTCTGGATCATATCTTGCTTATCACAGAGGCCGAAATCCAAGTCAAAGCACGATCTTCTCAGTAGATTATCTTACCAACTAGCAACATCCTTGAACCTGGAGATTACGATGTTTCTTCAGATGGCAAGTATTATAATCTTCAAGCACTTTTATGGACTGCTTTACTAACTAAAATAGGTACTACTGAACTCACCCAACGCATTATGTCACATAGTCTCAGCACACGAGCAAACAAATTCCGCCAGGAAATTACGTCAACGAGATGGGATATATATCCTGTCAGGTTTGATAAATTTAACTGTGAAGTTTAATGACTGGTTCATGTTCGAGGCAGCACATATCTTCCCTCTCGAGAAGGAAACTATATGGATTCGGGATGATTTTGGAAGATGGATTACTGACATGGACAATACGACAGGTTATTCAAAGATAGATTCTTGTCAGAACGGTCTGCTTATGCAGCGTGATTTTCATGCGATGTACGACAACTACCTTATCTCAATAAACCCAGACGTGAGTGACTCCAGAAGATATTATTATCATTCTCCACTAATGTTAGATTGAAAGGATGGTTATAAAATAATAGTATTCAACCGTGATGTCTCTGGTATTGATGGAGGAGTCCTGTATGTCGCAATCCGATGGACCTACACCGTGCCTCCGATGAGTTACTTAGATGGCATTTCCGGCAATCAGTGCTTGCGAACATGAGAGGTGCCATCTTCGAACATGATTTCCCTCCCGGCATAGACATGACCAAGGAGATAAATGAAGGTTCCCTATGAACGGGAACGATTCGAAATGGAGGTTGCATCACGAATACGCTCCTTCGAAGGTTGCATGGCATCGCCAGAATAGAAAATCCCTTTGTACAACTGACTAGGTGTATTTTTAGCATGGGGTAAGGCAATTGAAGCACTATATAAGCATAACGGCATTGATAATTCAGGACATCGATACGATTCAAGTAAGCGAGGAAGTAGAGAGATGGCACTTGATCCTCACTCATATCACTGCTTCTGTATCTATCAATCCGTCATTCTATTGTGTTATCCTGCACCAGTGGTACCGCCACCCTACCACAATAGCATATTGTGGAGTACACGGAACGATTTCAGTTAACTCGCGAGGCAATATATATGCAGGATTCGTCATAGAGGAGGCAACTTGCAGCGCCGTCTTCGTACCGCAAGATATGTAATATGCGCCATGCATGCCTACATATGCGGCAACTCCAGTCCAGTCGCACGGTGATTCACTTACCCCCGCTATATGCAGACATTCAATTGCGGAAGCAACATCCAGAGTGCTATATATGGAATTCGTGGCATTGTGTGAGACCCCGCTTTGTTGTTGCCTATCTCCAACGATTGCGCCATCACAAAAAGCCTCATCGGTGGTCTGACACAATACTTGGCTCGTTTCACGAGGGATTTCCCCCCGCTTTTCTAGACGGTTCTGGATTGTTTCTTGGTTAACTTCAAGTTGAGTCTCACCGGGTGCAATTGAAACTGTGGGGATTTGTCACCAGGGACTGAGAGGCTGCTATTCATCCCTGCAGTGTATTGGTTGTCTACCTCGTGTAGCAACAAGTAACCCCCCAAAAAAGGGCGTCAAGTCAATAACACCCAGCTCGGATAGAAATCTTGTAATACGGCAGATACAGCCCAATGGTGTGAAGAATGAGCAAAGTTCAATATATCGCAGTAGCTACATTGACAAGCGTCCAAATCTACCAAACAAGACTATAAATTTATTCCATGTTTTATCTTCTTTTCTTTTCTTTCTTTCTTTTTTTTTTTTTTCTTTCTGCAATGCAAGAACCTACCAAATGGGTGGCGACTGAAGGATCGTGGGCTAATTGCACCGTCGTTTTTGCAATCGAAACGCATGGCGGCGCGGATTCAGGAGGTTGTGTTTCAGAGGCTTTCTAGGTCTGGTTGCGACAAGTGCTCCAACGGTGTTTGAGAGACTAAATTAGACTTTAAGACGACAAACCAGATGAACAGGGCGATAAGGGATGTATTGTGTAGTATAGATAAGAGGAATGGTTGAAGATATGAAAGAATATGGTTGTCTTGGACTGTCCGGCGATGTCCTCGTTCAGGTAGACGTAGTAAGGAGGTACAGTTAAGTTGTAGACTGCTCGCAGAAGTATGCTAAATGAAGTAAAATCTAGGAGTTCCATTCGACATCTTGAGAATCTTGAACGTAACAGCTTCAAACTATACCAACTAGTGTGGTATCTCAATCAGTTGTCAGAGTATAATGACATGTTCTATACTCGACAGTGCGAATGTAGATCACGGACCAACCTAGTCCCTATATGGCATGGTAAAATAAACCACCCCCTGATGTCAAAACTGATCCCTTGCAGTATTTCATGGATATGCCTCATAAAAGAAGGGGCTTAGAGCAACGTTACATTGGATTACTTCACGATTGAAGAATAGACAGCTTATGACGGATATCATTCCCAGGATTTAAGCTTTGCGCTATATGATATGTCCAGAGCCCTGGATCGCCACGACTGGACCTGTCTAAGAGATCATCATGATCATACCTTCGTAGCCAGGTCGGTTACGACCGCAGACTACACGGATGATGCCCACTTGTTGACCTATCAACTGTGCTTGATTTGTAGATCCGCGTTCAAAGAAGTAACACGTCGAGACAAAAAAGAAGTCAACGTTGGCCCCTGTTCAACGCAAATAACGCCTCTCGGGGTGAGCTAGCGACAATTGTGTGACAGAAGCAATGCATCGAATAAAGACCAGAAAGGGCTAGTAACCCTGACTAAATATATGTTGACTCCACAACCGTTCAAGAGGAACATGTTGGGTATGTACATGGGTTGAATACGTACCAAGTAGTCGGTACGAACTCGATGGGAGAGCATGTCCCACGAGCGGAGATTATCCCACAACGAAAGGAATAGACACGGACGGGCCGACGAATGGTAGAGGGTTATTTCCCGCTACATTTCCGGGGCCGGGGAAAGAAAACTGCACCACGAGATCCCGTTCACTGTCATGGAAAGTCTAATAGATGAGGAGATGACACTACTTCATTCTCGGCCACAGGATGCAGAAACGGTTGGCCTCAGCAAATCGTCTTCCTTCCAGAATCCGGGATAAGATGCTTCCCGTTCACTAACGCAAAAGACTCACCGGATTGGAGCCACGGTCCAACCCTGGGAATCCCCGCATGTTGACCACGTTTGGAAAAGGATGAAGCCCAAGGCGCCGAGGGCGAGGTATATCCACCGGGAGGTCCTGGCCTCTTGGTAGTATGTACAAGACTACAAGTACCCTCAGAATAGGCTCAACTTCGGCAGTCTCCGCCATGGTGATTGGTGGCGAGTCCGACTAGCGGGATACCTAAAGGTCGGTTAGAGAACAGACCATGGTTGTGATTTTTTTTTTAGTAGAAGTGTACGACAAGAATGAGAGGACTAATGACAAAAGTGCAGAGTTTGCTAAGCGCTTTCAGGCTTAGTGGGAAGGAAGCCGACTCAGTCAGAGAAATTTTGGGCGGCCAGCTACATGCCAAGGCCCTTGGCGGCTGGCGACATGTCAGCAAACATTTCTTTTCTCAATTCCAACGGTAATAGTTGCGACAAAGAGAGAGAGAGAAAGAGGAGGAGGGAGGCAAAGGTTGAAGTGGCAACTCCAAGAATACTCGAGAGTATTCGTAAAGAGTGTTGTCTAGAGCTGAAAGTCTTCGGGCCCCATGACTCTTCCAAACCCTCGGTCTCCTCCGCGTATTGTCTCACACAGTGATGGTCAACAACGGGTGGACGCCACAATCTTCCTTAGTGTCTTGCGCTCCGCAGCAATTCTTGGCTGGCCTTCTTCCTTGTCCACAACTTCATTTCACTGCTACCGTAGCTGCAAGTAAAGTTGGAGTGGCGTCGGGCTCACCTCAGTCTCTCGGACTCTCGGAAAGGGCAGCCGAATAATCAAGCATCTCTTGGACGCTGGGGTTACATTCGATCAGGGGGCCTCATTTGCCTGAAGTCGGACAAGGTTTCAGTTGAGTCTTTGTTTGTGGATGAGTTGCTTCTCGAAGATGCTCCATTCTGATCCTCATATCGGGGGGAGCGAGTGTGTTTGTGATGTTCCTCAGGGGAATGAAGTGAGAAATGTTTTGCCGCCGATCCTCCACATGGATGCCGAGTGCAGGTCGTTTAGTGGTTTCGTGGTTTTTAGTGTTGTAGCTGCCAGATATCCACCCCCATAATCACCCACAATCACCCACGAGAGCAGTTTTGGTTTTTGTCTTTTTCCCGGAGAGCACTCTACCTATCTGGGTTAGTCGCGGGCAGAACCCCAGGTTGTCGACACACGTGGTAGGCTGAAATTTCCGGCCCTAGTCCATGTCCACCCAATGGGACCCGACAAGACCAAGTTTACCAACCAGGAACAGTCATACGGCCGGACCTCTCCTGCAATGACTGGAGTCATTGGAAGCCGATCCTCTGTTTGGTCAGATCCCAAGGGACTCTGCCAAATCCAGCGACCTAGCCGACGATTTGACTCGGATTGGGAGGGTGGAAAGTTGCGCGCACATGAGCCGATGTCAGCGTTAGGGATCTGGGCCTTGTCTTTTGTGCCGCAACTAAGATTTCCAAACCCATTCTGGGGTTGGACAACCGTCGCTGGACTCGCTAAAGTTCTATACCAGCGTAGCAGGAAGTAATGCAATGCACGAGCCCATCGTCCTTCCAATGTCACCTAAATTGGTCCTGCGATTTCCTGATTGGCTCCCACCACAGTCATTTTCCTAACGATCTAAGATTAGCCAACCTAAATCAGGCATGGTTGTAAACATGGTCAGGACCATTTCCCCCTTGCACGCTCTCTGTCATGGCCCATGGGACACCGTGCCATCATATCGGAAAAAGTCAAGGAAAAAATCAAAATGAAGAAAAAAATTTTTCTGGGGCCGAATGACACAGATTTTCCCCGTGGGTGAATTTCCCCGGGTCCGGCTCTATGCCGATTCTCAACTGTTGTAACACCGCCAGAGTTATAAAAGCGCATCCATTCCCCTGCATCGCTTCGGTTCATTTCTCCCCCGCGCGCGTGTGTGTTTCCCTGTGGTGGTCAATTTGCCGTCTCTCATTCACGCCCTCGCTGTTATTTGCCTGTCCTTCGCTAGACAGTCCATCGCTTTCTCTCTCTTTTGGACACATACACACACATAGACCCGCGAGCCCTGTGCTAGGTCGACAACAGCTCTATCACCATGGGTGACGCTGACGTTGTAGCTCCAAATGCCCTCGCCGATACCACGCGAGTGGAGGCACCGGTCACCTTCAAGACTTATATGATGTGTGCCTTTGCAGCCTTTGGCGGTATCTTCTTCGGTTATGATTCCGGTTACATTAACGGTGTCATGGGCATGAGTTATTTCATCCAAGAATTTGAAGGCTTGGTTAGTCCCGTTCCCTGTATCAACAGTCCCCAATGTAGCTCGGGCAAGTGGCTAATACCGGTCGAACTATAGGATCCTGCCACCACCGACTCGGATCATTTCGTCATCTCATCGTGGAAAAAATCTCTGATCACATCCATCTTGTCGGCAGGCACATTCTTCGGTGCTTTGATTGCGGGTGATCTGGCTGACTGGTTTGGACGTCGGCTCACCATAGTGTCCGGTTGTGCCATCTTCATCGTGGGTGTCGTTTTGCAAACCGCTTCTACCACCGTCGCTCTTCTCGTGGTGGGCCGTTTGATTGCGGGATTCGGTGTCGGTTTCGTGTCGGCCATCATTATCCTGTACATGTCCGAGATTGCTCCTCGCAAGGTCCGCGGTGCCATTGTGTCGGGTTACCAGTTCTGCATCACCATTGGTCTGATGCTGGCTTCTTGCGTCGACTATGCCACCCAAAACCGCACGGATTCCGGTTCTTATCGCATTCCGATTGCCATTCAGATTGCCTGGGCTCTCATTCTCGGTGGCGGTCTGCTCCTCCTTCCGGAATCGCCCCGTTATTTCGTCCGAAAGGGTCAGCTCGACAAGGCGTCGCATGTGCTTGCCCGTGTCCGTGGCCAGCCCGAGGATTCCGATTATATCAAGCAGGAGCTGGCGGAGATCGTGGCCAACAATGAATACGAAATGCAGGCCATGCCCCAGGGTGGCTACTTCACGACCTGGCTTAACTGCTTCCGTGGAAGCCTCTTCCACCCCAACAGCAACCTCCGTCGGACCGTCCTGGGTACCTCTCTTCAGATGATGCAGCAGTAAGTTGATCCCATCCAACACGGCCCAGAGACGTCTGGACCACGGCAGTACATATCTAACACACTCCCTTTTAGATGGACCGGTGTCAACTTCGTGTTCTACTTCGGTACCACGTTCTTCAGCTCCGTATGTATCACCGAACCCCAGTGAAAGAGGCTTCAGTTTGCTGACTGGAGAATAGCTCGGAACGATTTCGAACCCCTTCCTGATTAGCATGATCACCACCATTGTCAATGTCTGCTCGACTCCCGTCTCGTTCTACACCATGGAGAAGATCGGACGTCGTCCCCTGCTGCTGTGGGGTGCGCTTGGCATGGTTATCTGCCAGTTCATCGTCGCCATCACCGGTACCGTCGTCGGCGACAAGGGCGGCAACAACGCTGCCGTCAGCGCCGAGATCTCCTTCATCTGTATCTACATCTTCTTCTTCGCCAGCACCTGGGGTCCTGGCGCATGGGTGGTCATCGGCGAGATCTTCCCTCTGCCCATTCGTTCCCGCGGTGTCGCTCTGTCCACCGCATCGAACTGGCTCTGGAACTGCGTAAGTAGCAAACACCCCTAGCATTAATAATGGATTTCACTAACGAGCACGATAGATCATCGCCGTCATCACCCCGTACATGGTTGACCAGGACAAGGGCGATCTCAAGTCCAAGGTGTTCTTCATCTGGGGAGCCCTGTGCACCTGCGCCTTCATCTACACCTACTTCCTCATCCCCGAGACCAAGGGACTCACCCTCGAGCAGGTCGACAAGATGATGGAGGAGACCACGCCCCGGACCTCCGCCAAGTGGAAGCCCCATACCACCTTCGCGGCCGACATGGGACTCACCGAGAAGGACATCAACGACAAGGTCCACGTCGCCCACCGGGAAGTCTAATCCCGCTCAGCCGAAGGAGGTCTATCTGGTGGGTAGGGGGTGCGGGAGGTGTTCTGCAAATTACTTTTTTTTTCTTTTCTCATTTTAATTGACTGATTGTCAGCTATGAACTCATACCCATGATGTTTTACGTGTCATGTCGTTTTAATGCCCTGGCAGAACAGAGAAGATGGCAGAGAGATGTACCATTAATCCATACTCAACTTCTTCAACCTATCACTCCCTGTGTGTGTGTGCTTCATTGTATGTTGTAGTTACTTGTCTTCTAGACGACAAGCCATTCGGCGCTTGTGTGTTAACTTCTGTAGGGAAATTCGGGTTTCTTCCGTGCGCCACGCTAACACTCGGTAAGTGGTCTTAAACACCGGCAAATCTCGATGGATCAGAGTGGGTTTCCCATGCAGGGGTAGCCCAATACATTCCGATACCGTATTTGTGACCGGAATGGGTTGATGGGTCGCAGAGGATATCAATCTTCTTGCGAAACAAGGACTTACGTATGTCGACTTGTAGCGCGGTAGGCATCATGAACAGGCTAGTGCTAATGACCACCCTCTTTGGTAACCATACCCTCTGTCCATATCAGATAGGTATCTGACTGAATTGTGAGTGTCATATGTATCTGATTAGAAGTGTATTGTTACGTATGTGGGAATGGGATATGGAGCAATACAGTTTTAATAGGATGCCTCGGGAGTTGTATTGGCTTGAGGTCTTCTTTACCTAGACTACTCTAGTTGCTTAATTAGGAATGAAAAGACTTACTCAGCGAGGCTATGTATACCTCTATACGTGCCTCGGCGTCATGACTATATTGTATGCATTCTTGTGATTTTGCTTGGTTTTTCTTGTTTTCCTTCCGGTCACAAACCAAAATGTATCTGCCTACCATCAATGCAGAAGATGATCCATCTAGATTAAAGAAGAAACAGTCCACGAATCAATATCCTGCCAAGATATCCAGGCCTGTCAAGCGATGGATCGACAAGAATCTGGAGTGCAGAGTTTTCCGTCTTTGAGCTCCGCTTAGTCATTCAGCAGTAGGGTTGACTCGAGTCTCGTGATTTGCCCTTTCAGTCCATGCCCCCCCAATCAGCCGCTTTCCTCATATAGTAATAGAGCCAATGCCTAACTGACAATTCCAAAGACAAATTTGCACTATCAAGGCAACATGGGCAGCTTAATTTCCTGATAGAGATCGACATACGCGTCGGCAGTCAACAGCTATCAATTACCGCTTCCGCTGATTCGGAAGAGCTCCGCTGTGCCAAGACATCTTGTGCCTGGATGCTAGAGATGCACGCACACAGACCAGACTCCTGTGGCACAGCGAGTGCGAATACGCAATTACATCGAGAATAATGGATCGACAAGGCTTCGCAACCATGCCCGAGGAATAGCCACCAATCATCCTAAGCCTATTAATCACTCCGGCTGTGCCAAGCCACCGGGTGTTTGTGTCGAGTGAGCTTGATCCACGGACAATTTAGCATTCACGATGCATACTGTTGAGATTACGCCACGGCGGAGTCCTTCTTATGCCTTGCAACTATTCTGCTCCCCCCACTTGCTACGTCCGTGCTTGTTCTAGTCGGGCTATCCATCGTTTCTGAACAATGGATGAGAGTGCCTAGAGGACGTTGCCTCGTCAGCCGACGTCGATCATGCCCCATTTCTGACTGGGCTGGAGATGCCCTAAAACAAGCTATGTCGGTTCGACGGTAGTCTATTGCATTCAGCCGGCGCTAGCACGGTATTTTGGATGCTCTCCTGCCTGGGCCGGGGGTGCTGAACAATGCTCCTCGCCCCATTCGACGGGTTAGACAGGGTGCACTATGGGCATTGCGTCAGCTAGAAGCCGCGGCACTCCTTGTTCGATATGGATGCCACCAAGGTCAACGGGGTATAAATCCAGCTTTGCGCTCGAGAGTTTCTGGCGGATCATCAAGACATTATCTCCTCCCATTCCCTCCACACCAATCGTGTATTAGTACCAATTCTCAATCATGGTTCAACTCGCTTCTACCCTCGTCGCTGGCCTGGCTGGCCTTGCCAGCGTCGTCTCTGCCCATCCGGGCCACGACGTCAAGGCCGAGGCCGCTGAGCGCGCTACTTTCCTGAAGAACGCTCCTCTCCGCTCTCGTAGCCTGGACCAGTGTGCTACCAAGCTGCGTGCTCGCGGACAGGAGCAGCGCAACGTCGCCCGTCGTGAGCAGGCCGTCAAGAACCTACGCCGCAGCATGGGCCTGCAGTCCCGTATGGCCTCCAACTCCATGCATCGCCACCGCATACTGACTGTTCCGGACCAGGCTCCCACTTCCTCAAGGCCAGAGACCTCGACACCGTCCTCAACACCACCCACCACTCCACCCAGGATGTCAACCTCTCCACGGACCCCGAGGTCCTCTTCGCCTCCGAGGCCACCTGCATCCTCGCCCCGGATGTCACCCAGGGACCCTACTGTACGTCATTACCTCCGTACCCAATCAACACCATCTAACACAAGCAGACGTGTCCGGCGAGCTGATCCGCAACAACATCATTGAGGACCAGGCGGGTGTTCCTCTCTACCTGGACATCCAGCTGATCGACACCAACACCTGTGAGCCTGTTCCCCAGGTCTACCTGGACTTCTGGCACTGCAACGCCACCGTAAGCACCCTCTAGCTACCACTGCTCAAAACAGACCCAAGCACTGACAAAGAAAAACAAAGGGTGTCTACTCGGGCGTGACTGCTAGTGGAAACGGCGACAGCAGCGACGAAACTAACCTCGACGCAACTTTCCTCCGCGGCCTCCAAAAGACTAACAACGAGGGTATCGTCCAGTTCCAGACCATCTTCCCCGGTCACTATACCGGCCGTGCTACCCACATCCACGGTACGTACTTGCTCACTTACTTTCTCCCCTCATTTTCCCAATTCTGCTAGTATATAGGATTACTGATCAAAAGGGGGAAATAGTGCTCACCCACCCGGCCAACGAGACCTCCGTTTTGCCCAACGGAACCATCACCGGCCTGTACAACACCAAGACCTCGCACGTGGGCCAGATCTTCTTCGACCAGGACCTCATCTCCGTCGTCGAAGAGACCGCCCCTTACTCCACCAACACCCAGGAACTGACCACCAACGCTGAGGACTCCATTCTCGCCGAGGAGGCCGACACCATTGACCCCTTCGTCGAGTACGTTTTCCTCGGTGACGATGTCTCGGAGGGTATCTTTGGCTGGATCTCCGTTGGTATTGATGCCTCTGAGAGCAGCTCTGTTACCGCTGCTGCGTACCTGACTGAGGATGGTGGTGTTGAGAATGAGAACGCTGGTATGGGTATGGGTGGTGGTGGCGGTGCTCCTCCCAGTGGTTCTGGAGCTCCTTCTGGTGCTATGCCTTCGGCTAGTGCCTCTGCTTAAAGGAGGTTTGTAGGATACAGGTGATTGGATCTGTTGGTTCAATCGACGTGTTTCTTTTTCTTCTATGTTCTGGATATTTGGGTCTAGTTTGGATCAAAGTATCTAGTATTCGCTTCTCGATAGTACATTTTTGAAACAATCAATGTGGTATTCCTCGTCAATGAGTTGCCACCTTTCTAGTATTCATTTATGCAATTTTCATACCGGATGATACAAAAGGAAATATTGAAAGTGTACTGGGCATAATCGATAGAATTCATTGGTGAAGTATGAGATAGACGCTCGTCGAAAAGTGTTGTACTCGAACCGGGAGATATGGTGTTATCAGTAGAGTTGGCTGCACTTGGAATAGCAGGGCTAGAACCCTCACCTAAATACAGGCAACATTGTCATACAATGATGCACTGATTTACCGTACATCGATTTCTTAGGGTTTGGGCACCTTTGCTATAATCGCCGGTGGCACGAAATGGGAAAAAGATCGAATGTATAAAAGTAATCACTTGGTAATCGTGCTGGATAGTGTGAGCAACTTCATTGATACACGCCCAGGGGTAAGGCCTGAGACGATTGAGGGGCTTGCATAGAAGCAGACTTGGAAAGATCAAGTCACATGGGTACCAAGTGGTCAAACCGAGCAAACCGATCATATCAAGATAGGAAGGTGAGGCCCTTCCAGATAGATATGAGCAAATACAAAGCTCTCCAGAGATAAGCCAGAATCTTACATAATAATAGCTTCTTGTATATTACTTGCAGTATAGCAAATAGCTAAGCAAGCACTTCAACACGTAAATACATTATGCATTACTTATCTAAATAATAAAGATATTAACCCGCAGCATAGGTACTCATCTTCCTCATCGTCTCCCCATGCTTCCACAAGAAGATCGGGGCTGGGATACCAATGGCGATCGATATGAAAGCCAACAAACTATTCCCCCACCCATAATGCAACGCCTGGTACATGTACGGCGCGAAAAGTGGAAACGCAAATCCAGCAATGGAGCGCAAGAATGAACCAGCGGCCATCGCACTAGCCGCGAATCGCGTGTAGGCATCGACAATGTAGGTCTGGATACACTGCATGGCAACTATGTTGCCCATAGCCAAGAGCATGGCACCGATATTCGGGACAATCCAGTGACAGTGGGTTTGCGCGGTCCATCCGTAGATGAAAAGGCCAACTGGGTTGAGGATGGCGGCAATAGATAGTAGCGGGGTGCGGAATTCCGGCTTTCCTGTACCGCTGTTGCGGCTTTTGAGACGGCGATAGATGAGGTCATTGAGCCGTGCACAGATCTGAGAGCCCAGGCAATACCCTACCCCAAGAGATATGTAGTTTAGACCGCCAATGCCAGTGGACTCATTATAGTACTCCGGGCTAGTCCATAGGGCCGGAAATGTCGATGACATCAAATATAAGATACCGTACACGAAGGCCATATATATCGCAAGGGCTTGGACGATGGGTTGTGTTGCGAGAAGGCGGAACGGGCGAACAAGCGCTGTTCTTAGAACCTCAGGTAAAGTCTTGTTCTGTCGCTCAGCTTCGGTCTCGTAGGAGGTGTCTCCTGTGTCTTTGCGGAGCTTTTTCGCTCGTGTCCTGAGGATCTTAGGGGCATATGTCTCGCGCAAGAAGAAAAGACCCATGACTTGGATGACACCATCAGCGATGGATGTGGCGTAGAATACCCATCTCCATGTTGTCCTTTCTGCGATGAAGCCGCCAGCAATCGGGCCCACAGCTGGGCCGAGGAGAGGTGCTAAGCTATAGATAGCAATACTTTTACCGCGTTCTTCCGGTAGGAAGCAGTCAGAGAGGACACCGCCACCTATCTAAGTGCTGTTAGATCGTAAACCGATATATACGCAATGATCTGCAGTACTTACGGCTAAAGGGGCACTGCCGCCTAGACCAGCCAGAAACCGAAAGACGATCATCTGCGCCGCAGTTTTAGATACGCCACAGGCGATGTTGAAAATAAGGAAAAATAGATTCGCAAGCTGTAAAACAATGACTCTTCCGTAGATCTCAGATAAGGGCCCAAGGAATAGCGGGCCAAATGCATACGCCAGGACGAAAATGGACAGCATGAGTTGGGAGGTCACTTCATCTTCAATATTGAATTCGGACTTCATGGTTTGTAATGCAGGTGCAACCATAGACGACATCACCGGGGAGATAAACGTAAAACAGGATACGATCAAAACAGCTCCCCATTTCTTCTTCGTTGGCCAATTCTTAGGGTTGTCAGGGTCGTCAGGACCAGACCATGTAACCTACGTCATCAGTAACTGATCATGGTAACCAGAGGAGCTCGCAGAGACTCACTAGTTTGGAGTCCTGTGGACTGTTTGACTTCCCTAGGCTAGATGTAGTCTGAGCACCCTTTTCCAAGTCAATCCCCCGCTCTTTTGGGTCTCTCACAGCTTCAAGGCCATGTTCGTTTCCATTCTTTTCACTTTGTGGCGCCCCGTCCTTGAGGACCACTGCACCATGTTCAGTTGCAACACTACTGTGGAGTACAGATTGATCGTCGGGAGTTTGTCCGGCGCCAGCTCCACCATTATGCGAGACATTCTGTATAGTTCTTGAGCTGGATCTCTCCGTTGAGCGTGCAGTACCTGGACGGGGCGCTTCAGTGGTTGGTAGATGCGGCTCAGAGTTGAGAGTAGAGGACGACGAAGACCGTGGTCTGGCAGGTCCAGTACCTAACGTCCGATGACTACCAGCCATAGCCAGCAATGTATCCAGGAAAGCCAAGGAGAAATTTTTGATTCACGAAAAAGCAGAACGGGAGAAATGAAACACGAGACGGGAACCACACGATATACCCCGAATCATTTTGACCCTGCCAGCGAACCACCAATAAAAGCATCCAACGAAGCGTAGTACAGCATAACCCTAGGATAATCCATCATAGTGACGGATTTTGCAAACGTTAACACCGACAGTGGAGCATCTTTGCTAGATTTTGCAATTCTGAGAGCCGTGATTGGGCTAGGAGGAAAGCTTGACACTGAATATGTATGGAATATTTTTGGACGGCACCCCGACTCCCGACGATAATTGTGGAGCAGCGCGGCTTGGCCCGTCTATTGCTGAGGACTCAGTGAGGAGATTCCAAGTTGTCCAACTGGATTTATCTAGAATCGGATCTTCGGCATCTTGATGGCACGTGATGCGTGACAGTCTCAAGGTGGCCCTGCAGTGAGCCAATCATATTGACTCCGAATCCCAACTCACAATAATCAGGAAGCCCTGATTTCAACAATTTTTGAACAGTATGGGTTCCAATTTGAAATCCTGCCATGCCGGCGAGGTAAGCGAATCAGTTCATTATCATCATCTGCAAGAATCATGGGTCTGGTGACGATCTCCGTGACTCATCTGGCATTGGTTGGACACGCCAGTCTAGAAGGCCTAGAGCATGGTCTCCGTGAACTGACCCTGTTAGCCGAGGATCCCTTGTCCCATAAAACTTCAGTTAAGATGAGGGTGCAGGCCTGTCTGAGTTGTCATGTCTTGCCGTGCTTAGTGATTTTCTGCAGGTTCCAAGTTTCCTTATCTTGTCAGTCAGTCACCGCCATGTAGACATACTAATCGAGCACAAGATAGGCAGTTATTCGTGGTGGACTGTTGTGCCCTCATCTAAATTGTCTCGATTCCGGTCGTCATGGTACGTTTTGTAGTATATAACACTCTATATCTAAATCTTTCTCAAGCATCCTGCTAAATACCTCTCAATCCGGTTTACGTCGTCTAACGCTGCAATTGTCCCAACATATCCATCAGGCCGAATTACGGCCAAGGCTCCCTGGGCTGGGTCCACACCGTAGATTTTATAGACATCGTCGATGTCATAGCCGCTGTGGAACCGCATCTCGGAGTGTTTCTTAAGCTCCTGAGGCACATTGCGCCATGTGAAGGTCTTGTTAAGACGAGGGTGGATAACCACCTGCTCAAGCGTGGAGGCTGGGAAGTGTGGGATAACAGAGGCTCCAAGGGATCTCAACGTCTTAGCAGATATTCCCTTAGGATCTAGCAAGTCTGATGAGGTAAGGCAAAGAATTCGAAATCGTCCGGTTGAAAGAAAATCTGCGGCGCATGGTTAGACTTCTGAACCAGGTATATGGCTAGGCAAGCCAGATATGAACTTTTATAAGCTATTAACGTACCATCTTGCAGATGACGCCGGTTCCCATCGGCATGTCTTTTGAGCCGTACGTCCAATAGTCTCCTTCCCGGACGCAGAATTCCGGAGAGGTAGTCTGTGCCAATGACTGGGTTCTTGATATCTTGTCCTAGCTCCTTCTCCACGGTCAAGTTTTCCGGGTATTCAATACCACAGCCACTGGTAAACCCGTTTCCAGTGCTGAAGACCTCAAGGAATTGGTCATGGGTTAGACCTTCCACGCCATCCTCTCCAGACCCTATCTTGCCTGAGAACATGGATGAAAACGCACGGTCGAATTCGATGAGTTCCTGCGCGATGGTGTGGCGTTCTACATGATACGTGTCTAAGAGGGAATCAGGTTTCCCAGATACTGCAGAATCTGGGGTAAGACCATTGATGGAATAGGCTAGTTTCCACGCTAGGTTGTATGAGTCCATCATGGAAACATTCATTCCTTGTCCAGCCTGTGTGAAAGCAAATGAGTAACGTTATATAGATAAAGAGTATTGCCACGTACCTTGGGACTGTGAGTATGGCACGCTATCGTTTGAAAAAGAAACTGTCAGCCAGGTGTACTTCAAAGCTTATCGGGGTTCTTGTGTCCTACCGTCTCCTACAATGAACACCCGGTTAACTCCCTTGGAGTCCTTGACCGTAAAGTTATCTGATACTCGCTGGCCGATCTGGTACGCGGCCCACCAGTCCACGGCCCCGTCCTCTTTCGGTCGAATATAATATGGCTTGAACGCATCCTCTGCATATTGGAAGATGCTTTCTAAGGTAACCTTACTTCTCCGAGCCCGAGCATCGGCCTTTGGAGTGGTAGTCTCATTGACGGGAACCTGGTCCAGGTCTGGCGTAGCTTCCTCGGGCACCTGGACATAAAGACGAGTCAAATATTCACCAGTAGCAATACGCTCACGTGGAATGACCATCACTGAGCCCGCTGGTGAATGAATGGCGCACCGTCTCCTGATGTCCGGAAAATCTGTATCCACGACCAGATCGACCACACCCCAGATATGATCTAACGACTCGCCCACAAGCTGCAGTCCCATGCACCGACGGACCATCGAATGCGCCCCATCGGCACCAACCAGGTGCTTCGCGCGCACGGTTCTGCGCTGCCCATCCGTTTCTAGGTCAGCAACAACAGGGAACTCAGGATTTCCAGCTTCATCAATCCGGGCATCAAGAAGTTTAGTATTACGCTGGACACCACGCTTTGAATAACGCAGTAAATCCGTCTCTATAATCCGTTCGATTCGACCTTGGTGAATAGTCACTTCATGCCGGTACCGCGCTGGAACGGCAACATCGGGGACTATCGATGTTCTTTCGATTATCTCGTCCTTGTTAGCGGAAGGGTTCCAAAATGCCACCTCTTCCATGTGACATCCGTCGTTAATGATCTCGTCTACGACTCCGAGGGACTTCAGCACTTCCAAAGTGCGAGGTTGCAGACCGTCGGCTTGACCTGATTTGAGGGTTCCGGGCTTCGCATCAACACAGAGCAGCGAGTCGTCGCTTAGTCCGTATCGTGCCAGGAGCAAGTTCAACATGAGTCCCGCTGGACCAGCGCCAACAATGACCACTTCATATTTGTCTGCTTGGTCGACACGAGCAAAGGGTGACGAGAGGCGGGGCAATGGTGGGGCAAACGAGGGAAGCACACGCAGTTCCCGCGACGCCGCAGAGTACTCGGTGAATACAGGCATGAGAGAGGGATGTTAAAAATGATTCGAATCGTGACCGGTTAAGGGGTTAATAGATGTACGGGGGCGAGCGCGGAGACTTGGGATTTATATATTGTCTCCGGCTGGAATGGTAGTAGAAATATAATGCTTCGAAGTCTCGACATGGCCCAAACGGGAAAACATCCCCAATGATCGTGAGTGGGGGCTCAAGAACGTGTGGGAGGCGTTGCTCTCGAGTCTCGATTATTAAGAAGTGTACCGGACTGCCCAGTAGTTAACCCCAGCCTCATGATTGGCTTTGGCCTTATACTTTCCCCAGTTTTTGGCGGGGACGTTGCGCTGACTGTTGATTACTTGAACATCACCAATGCCCTGATCGTCATTTCGTACGTGGTCAAGAATTTATGTAGCATAGTGGAATCAGGGGGTTCGGCCACGACGTCATTGCCTTGCGGCAAGAAGCATTAGACCAAACGAAGCATGCGTGTATGCATACCTAGTATGAGTACACCATACACACAAGGCGATTTCGTGGGCGGAGCTGGACTTGCGTCAACGATTTAGCCGAGCTTGTAGTCCGTTTGGTACATAAATACATGACTCGGGAGAATACGAAAGTGGGCATGACAGTACTAGTACAATACGCAGAAATGCCGTGTTGAAACGCGACATGGTTACCTGCCGGGGGTTCTCCGGTGCCAATAAAGTTTAACCTTCTCACGAGAGCGGACAGGGATCTGTTCTCCAATGAGACACGCTGTCCATAGACTCCACACGACTCCATACGCGCCGTAATTCCGCACTTCCCCAATGTCTGGATCTACGATTAGTACTCTACCGACTTCCAATTTTCAACATCCGTTCAGTGCCGTACGGATTTACGGATTAATGCAAGCACATACAATTCGCCAACCCCAACGATAGCATCATAGCACTGTCCAAAGGGACCCTATTCGATCGACCAACCCCGGCTCCTTTGGTTTGACAGTATCCGATCACAACACCATCTCGGGGAGGAGAGCACACCAAGCTTCCACCCCCGCAATTTGTTTTAACCACGGGGGATTCCCGAGACCGGGGGTGGAGTATCCACTGGCTTTCTTTTACTGTACCTGGGGTTGCGGGATAGAACAGAAATTGGTTTGCTTGTGAGAACTTATTGCGCGAAGGCATGTGCATTGATTTTGTGTAATACTAATAGTTGTTGTTCGCACAGTAACCCGGGGATGGTCGCGTACAAGATGTACTACAAGATGTGATGAGTTGGCAGTATCTATAACAAACCATGTTAAGGGCCACCAGACATGGTATCTCTACTCCGAGCCCTAAGAACTCCTAGCTAAGGAAAGTTCGCTACGACAATGCAGCATTCCTTGTTTCTAGGTGCCCACGCCATAGTCTTAGTTTAGTATAGCATATTCCTTCTCTACCCATTTGACTCGTCAGCTGCTGACAACGCGAGTATAGCACAAAAAATATACACACTCGTAACCGAGGTTACAGTACGAAGCTTTGCTCGCAAGGTTTACTATAAGAACTTTGTCAATTATACTCGGAAAATGAACCCTTATGATGAATAACCATTTGTTATTCTCCCCGGACCCGGGCCTGCTCGGGGGGAAATTGGGGACACGGGGAGGAGATCGGCAATCAATCTCCATTTGTGGGGATACCACTGGCATCTAGTGGGTATATGAGAGGCATTTGTGATCTCTGAATGGTTATAAGTATTGCATTGGCTGCTGGCCCGAAGCATCTATTAAAGCCGGCCACAACGCACATACAGCATTCCTGACTTGCGTTTTAAAAGAGTGTTCGCAACGCTAGGAGCCAGTCTCAAGCCTGCTCGCCCTCTTCTTCTGTATGCCAGATTCGACATATATCCCTTCGTTGTTCTCACTGTCTGAATATACCCCTTGAGCGGAAACCTCAATTATGTTACGCCTGCTGGCTCAAGCTGCTGGTGTCGAGACTGTCCACAAAAAGTCTCAATCACCTAGCAGAGACTTTGTTGAGCCGCGTTCGGTTGATGAGAGTCGTCCTATACGGGTAGTCGTCATTGGATCAGGCATTTCTGGGATCATCTCTTCCATCCGATTCAGACAACGAATCCCCAATGTGGACATTTGCGTCTATGAGAAGAACGCGGACATTGGAGGAACATGGTATGAAAACAGATACCCGGGCTGCGCATGTGGTACGTCTAAACTCCCTATCTCTAGCCCTACATTGTGCTATGAGTTGTCCCTATCTAATACATATTGTTTAATAGATATCCCCGCCCACACCTACCAAGCTACATTTGAACCTAATAAGGAGTGGTCAGCATTCTATGCTTCATCCCCAGAGATCCATCAATATTGGAAACGGGTGGCACACAAATTTGGCTGCATGGAGTATGTCAAACTCAAACATCAAGTCAGCGAAGCGGTGTGGGATGAGCAAAAGAGCAAGTGGCAGTTGCAGGTAAATATGAATCATCATCTTCTCCTTACTCCCAAATGATGGTAACTGACTTTCTCTTATAAAGATTCAAGACACCGATGGCGGCTCAACATATTCAGACCAGTGCGATGTACTTATCTCAGCCACGGGGGCTCTAAACAATTGGAAATGGCCCAATATCCCTGGCCTCCATGACTTCAAAGGGAAGCTTTTGCACAGTGCTGCTTGGGACGAGAGCTATGATTATAGCGTGAGATAAACTTCAGTTAAAGCTTGCTCCGAACCATGACTAACCAGCTCATATACAGGGTAAGAAGGTCGCGGTGATCGGGAACGGTTCTAGTGGGATCCAGATTGTCCCTGCAATGTTACCGAAAGTGGCACATCTTGACCATTATGTAAGAGGCCGGACATGGATCGCGCCCACGTTTGCTCGTGAGGAGATAGATAAGCGGGGTGTCGAAATAGAGAACTGTATGTATTTCCTTCCCGCTAGTTTTGTAGCTTTCTAACGGTTTGTGAAAGTCTCGTTCACTCCGGAAGAGATCGAGACATTCAAGAAGGATCACCAAGCATACCAACAATTTCGCAAAGGTAAGATAATCGCAAGTCATATCCGCCGAGAATCTCTTGTAACCTGATACACAGAGATTGAACTCGAATTGCAATCTGTCCATGGCACCACTATGCTAGGTACGCCGGAACAGGTTGGAGCCAGGGAGGTGTTCCTGGAGAACATGAAGCGGCGACTATCGAGAAAACCGGAGCTTTTAAGTGGTTTGGTGCCGTCTTTCCCACCTGCTTGCCGCCGCTTGACACCCGGACCTGGCTACCTCGAAGCCTTGACGGAAGACAATGTGAGCATCATCAGCAGCAATATTGTCCAAGTGGATGCCGATGGGATCATCACAGCCGATGGAACACATCATCCCACTGACGTTATTGTTTGTGCCACCGGGTTCGACACTACATTCGCACCGCGATTTCCAATTATCGGACGGGGAGGCATATCCCTGGCAGACCGCTGGAAAAACACCCCGGAGACATATCTCTCAATGATGGTTGATGGGTTCCCCAACTACTTCATCAGTCTGGGTCCCAATTCAGCACTCGGCGATGGCAACCTCTTGCTCCTAATTGAGAAGGCAATAGATTATTTCACCTTTTGTGTCCAGAAAATGCAACGAGACAATATACGGTCAATAATGGTAAAGAAAGAGGCGGTCGATCGGTTCACGCGATATTGCGATCAATACTTCACCCGAACAGTCTTCGGGCAGAAGTGTAGCAGCTGGTACAAAGGGGGAGCCGAGGATGGTAGGGTGACGGCTCTGTGGCCTGGTCAGTGTGCCTTGCTATGCATAAGATGCTTCTAGAACAATCACCCAGTCGTTCAAATGCTAACTAGGTATAGGATCTTCCCTTCATTCGCTGAAAGTGTTCGCACACCCTCGGTGGGAGGAATTCACGTATGAGTACGTGAACGATAACCCCAACGGATGGATTGGGGACGGGTGGACGGAGAATGAGAAGAACAAAACAATCCACGTCGACTACTTAGATGACGATCATATTGATTATCCGAAACAGTTATTGAATACTGCCTCAGGGGCTTAATGAACGCATGCCAACGACGCCGATCGGTGGCGAGGGATCCAGCCCCTCTTCAGATGTCCATCCTAGTATAATCATCTGCGGCTATTAGTATGATTTTTTTTCGCAATGAAATAGATTTTGCGCATCAAAGCCTGTTGTTCCTGTTTTTGCTGCTCTTCACGGGTATCGAAGTGGTCGTGGTCTTTGTTTCATACCTTGTGTTTAGAACTCAATAGTCTGCGCTGTGACCACCTGCCATCAGCCCATCACATTATAGGATGGATATAATATAGACTCGGTATAGATAGCTAAGTATAGCAGGTGCCATAATGGACTCGGTATAGGTATCCAAAGAAGGTATAAATCGCATACCGAAGATCATTGTGGATCCCTTCCTGAGAAAGCCGGCAGTGGGATTGACGAAACGCATCCCGTTCACGGCTTTTCAGGAGCCGTTGGTACGGTCACGGTATTGAAAGTTCAAACGCTAGTGGGTAACGACAATACCGAAGTGAACCAATGAGACGGCAATATTGACTACGGTCGGAAACGGTGTATTACGTAGCGGGACAGGCGCAGCGTCTGTTTCAGGTAACTCATGGTAAGAATTCATGCAATAAGAATCTCACCTTTTTCCCATGATTTAGAAATCCCAGTTTCTGATAATGGATTTTATGAGACCATGGTTCCCTCAACAACTTATCTTTTGGTTCATCTTCTTGTTCCCAGTCTTTCAGAGAAATCATCTCATTGCCCCCATTTGAGTTAATTCCCCACTGGATTTCCACTTCGCCCCCCTCCAAGAGGTCCCCATCGCTTTGTCTTTCCTCTATCAACACCCCCTCTCCGTTCTACCCCAGAATTTCTTCTCCCCGATGCACGCCAAACTCTCGCCATGAAATCCTCTGCAAGCAAGCATTTCTGCTGTACCATCTGTCAGCGAGGTTTCACCCGCATTGACCATCTTAAGCGCCACCATC